TCTCCCGGGAATGCAGCAGCCACCTTAAATATCAACCCTGACCGTCGCGTCGGTATGCCTAGCCTCGAGCTCGATGTCGCTCGGGGGATGAATTATCAAAATTTCCGCAATAAACTCCGCAGCCGAGCACTCGATGACCTAAAGCGGCAGTATCGCATAAGGAACTAAGGGGATATGTTTATTCAACCCGCGCACAGGTTCTCGTTTACGCTTGTCGCGATACTACTTTATTAGTCTCCCCATTATCCGCCATTACGTTGCAAACGTTACACTCTGAATTATTGAGTTCCATTTACCCGGGGTTGCTTCGACCGGATAAATTTTTCATTACGGAGCTTCGAAAAATAGCTTTCAACGGCTTAATTGATCTGTTTTCCCGGTTGCCAGGAAATGAACAATTTGCATTCTCGCAATTTAAACAATATTGTCAATACAAATATATATATATATATATATGTATATTATATATACTTATTTCGGAAAACATTAGTCGCGCGCTTTTGTTAAACTGTTCGACACGACGCTCGGTAAAGTGCCTTGATCAAGGATGGAAATAGACGCGGAATGTTTACAGTTGCTGAGGAAATAAGACAAACGAAGTTACGGCCGCATTTGAAGTTTATCGATACTTTGTTGCTCGCGCATGCGGACGTTCCACGGAGATTGAATTATCGATACGCGTTGCCTGACACGCCTGAATCGAAGGGAGGCAGCGCCGCATTCTCCTTTCAATAAAGTCACTTTATATATATATCGGTCAGATAAATATTATTAGCCAATAAGCATACTCGCGTCGATACTCGGTATTTCATCGGTATAAAGCCGCTTTTCGCTATTCGCGAGATCTCTCGGAGAGATTACGATAATATCTCCCCGAGATCCAAATATTATCTTCTCTTTCTGCGATACGAAAAGTGTATTTTTTTTTTTTCCTTTCTATATCATTCCGATATAAAAATACTTTGAAAGCGCGAATACCTCCTCGTGCAATCTCTCTCCGTTCCGCACAAAGGGATTCTACATTTTTTATAATAGGATAATAAAAATGTAATTGAGAAATATAGGAGTCCTTCTCATTATTCAAAAAATTTGGGGCACGTACGAGGCCGAGCGTGTTAAATTTCATCGGCGCGTTTACCCGGATGAGAAAGAAAGAGAGAGAGAGAGAAAGCGCGGGGCAGAGTCGCATGAATAAAATACGGGAATGAAAAATAAAGCGAAGGCGAGTGACCCACATGACTGTCGCGCATACGTGTAAACGCGGCACTCACGCGAAAGGGAACGACTTATTCACTGAAAGTGCCTCGCCCAACGGCAACACCGGGTGCATAGCGCCACTCGTTGCAAAACTTCTTTTTTCTTCCTTTTTCTTCCCTCCCCTTCCTCGTCCCACCGAATCTGTCTACTTCCCCCACCGGAGTTTGGTCCACTAAGAAAAGAGGCGAGAAAATAGGTTTCGCGCCCTCCGGAGTGCGCCATTCAGTACGGTAATTTATTTCAGTTTTACATGAATCTCCCCTTTTACCCGGGCCACCTTTCTTTCTCTTTCTCTCGAGTACTGTTGCCTTTCACCTCTGCCGTTCTTTATCAAGAACTACGCCCGTTCATCCGGGTTTCTTCTCCTTCTCTCCATCTTTCTTTTCTCCGCGCGCGCTCTCTAATTTATCTTGTCAAGCTTTCATTTTATCCATTTCTTTCAAGTCGCGAAAGTACTTGTTGCGCAGGTGCGATTGATATTATAAATTCCGCGTTATGCCGGCTTCCCGAAAACGTTTTTCCGTATAAAAGGAAGATATTTCAACGGACGGATTTATCAGCGAGAAAAAGCCTCAGGTCCTCGCGCAAGCCGAAGATCGAATAGGAGAGGAATAAGATCTCCGAATGATCTTTCCCGGCTACTTTTAGCACGCGAGGCGGCGTAAATCTATCCGAATCGATATTCCGCCACCAGCCGGTACGGTAGACGCACAATAACTCTCGGCTTCGCAATATCGAACGTGCCCCCGCTCTCTTACGTGCCGCCACCCGGGGAGAATAATATTGAAATCACGGGGGTTGCACGTCGTCGTCATCGGGTCGTCGGTGATCGTCGCCGTCGCAAGTAGGCCACCGGCTCGAAATAGAAATGCCGTCAACTGGGGCAGTCAATGTCCAACGTAAGACACATTCGTCTCGTCGCGGCTTTTCCACGTATATACATACATATTATATATATACAAGGTGTCCGGTAACTAACGGACCAACGATTACGAGTGGATTCTTTGGTCAATTTGGGAACGATTTTTCCTCAGCGAAAATGTCGAAAAGGGTCATCATTTCTCACAACTTTCCAATATTTGTCATTATGTTTCTTTATAACTAAGTCTCAAATTAAAATTTTATTACACTATAGTAAACTCTACCTGAAATTAACTGAAGAATGTAATTGTGTTAGACTTTTAACTCCAATACGTTTAGTTTTCAAAAACCCATTTTTTTCAATCGCTTATAACTCGAAAATTATTTTATATTATTTTATATTATATATTATTATATTATATTATATTATATTATTTTGACTTCTCAACATTTTTGCTAAGGAAAAATCGTCTCCTAATTGGCCAGAGAATCCGCCCTTAATCATTGGTCCGTTAGTTACCGGACACCCTGTATATATATATATATATATATATATATGTGTATGTGTGTATAAAATGTATATATGTATACATACGTTTATACCCTCGTCTCTCCTTTTTCTCGGGAGATTGGGGCGGACCGCAGTCGTCTGCCAAGCGCGCGAAATATCGCCAGGTTGCACCTTCCCCGCGGGATGCCAAACACGACGATCTACGTCCTCGTCGAAGCGATTTTCCACCGCATCGACGAACGCCGGGATTTCTACCGCTTGGAGCTTTTCGAGATTTTCGAGCCGATCGATCGACCGCCGCGCCGTTCCGCCTTACGAGGGTTTTCGCGTTTTCAACGATCGCGTCATTATCGTAGAGCCTTTCGCGAATCAACGCGCCAATTCGCGATCGATTTGCGCCGCGTTCTCCTGGAACCTTGTCAGCGTTTAATGCCGTCGTTTCCTTCTTCCGGGAAAAATGATTATCGACGCGTTCTGAAATCGTAATCGTCCAATAATATCCGAGTTTAGTCGCGTCGCTGTCATTCTTGTGATATAACAATCGATTATCGCGCGAGAAACGTTAATGAGCACGAGATATGAAATAATACACAGTGTTCTCATCCGGTAACAAAAACCTAATTGAATTCACGTTGCTATCCTCGTCCGCGTTAAATGCCCAGGCGGGCATACATGAACAGCGAATTTATCTCGCTGGATCTTCCGCGCGTTGTTGGAGGGATTAAATGTCTTGAAGCAAATGCATTAATACGAGCGATAACGCAGCGGATTTTAATGCAGGCGTTTACACGGGCCGTTTTAGCTCCGCTCAAATATACGTGCTTACCGGCAGTTTTAACATCCGGCTTAACAGGACGTAATTTTCCGCAATGGTGGCGTAATGAGACGTATATAAAATGACACTAACCCCCGTACGCTCATCATATTTTCGTTCGTATATCTTCTTTATGACGCAGGCGCGAGCATCGCTAAGCTAAAAATAAACAATGATTCCGCTCGGTCCCTTTGTGGAATCTAAATTCTAATTAACGCGCTCAAATAAAATGCAGCCACGCTCTTAATGCCATTCAAACTTTATCGTTGGACTTGTTGTTAATATTGTTAACTACAATTTATCTATGCATGAAAGAAAATCTTTGCTGAATCTTTAAGTAGAATTTCTAATTACGCTTTATTTCGTGCACACAATTTCTTAATGGTATATTTGAAACTTATTATATATACATATCTTGCATATTATTCATCTTCAGAAGTGCCGATGGTCATACGACACATTTGAAAACAAATAATCAAATGTAAAATCATACATAATAACATTCATAATATAAAATATTGCAATTTTCAATCAATAATATATTCGTCATCATATCTCTTTACTGTAAACGTTTTTGCATACTTCATCTGTTTCGAAGATCGAAAGCACGGTTCGCACTATATCTTCTATCGAGTGCATTTACTTGCAAAATTACGAATAATTTTTCCTGCACATAATCCGCACTCTTTTTGCTACAAGTATTCTTCAGAAGCACTGCAAATTATATAATAAACTACGTTAATATACGAATAATGTCGCGAGTGGGAAAGAGACTGAATCCGAAATATTTACTTTCCTAAGTTGAACTTCGACACTTCGTCATTCTTCGCATTTCCTATATGCAACTTTCGTTAGCAAATTGCACAAACATCTTACGCATGCATCGTGGAATGTCGATCGAGTGCATGTCAAGTTGTTCCAATTTACGACGTCATCCACACGTACGACCGCATTGAATCATTGCTTTATTCATCAGTAGACCTTTAGACCGCGCTAATACGTGGAGACGTCGCTCGTCTCCTTATTCCCATCATGTCTTGCGCATACCTTGCTCGGAAAACAAGCGATCCTCGGACGTACGCGCGGATAACGCCCGTAGGTCGTTTTACTCTCGTCAGACACGCTGCATCCCTTGTCTCATCATTTATCATCTCATGATTCACGGCCGGTGCGAGTGAGTAACGAGTTTTGATCGCGCGTGTAGCAAGAGAGAGAGAGAGAGATAGATAGAGAAGAGATCTCTGAATAATGGAGCACGTCTGGACTCGCCCCGTTAAGCGAGATTAAAGCTTAATTTCGGTCACCTTGCAAAAATAATGAAATCGTTGGAAAAAGCTTTTTGGTTCCCCGTGCGAATCAAAATTTTACAAAGCGTGTATACTTTAGCTTTTCTTATTTGATCGGTTGAAAAGACGAATTTCGAGTATACTTTTTATATCGAAATTTAAAGTTCGTGGAAGAATGTTTGAAAGTCGGAAACGTACACTCGCACCAGCTTATACGCGTTCATTACGATCCCTCGTTTATGTTGAGTGTTGGTGTTGGTGCAAGGGGCAGGAGACACCGATATACATATGGTACGAGTCGTATCCAACCCACAGTGGCGAGGGATACGAAGGTCGTGTCTCGAGGGTGAGCGAGAATTCGCCGTACGGCCAGGCCAGCCTCAATCTGACGAACATCCGCGAGAGCGATCAAGGATGGTACAAGTGCAAGGTCGTCTTCCTCAACAGGTCACCCAACAGTCACAAGAACGGTACCTGGTTTCATCTAGACGTCCACGGTAAGTAATCTCTTTCAAGTTTCTCACGCATCTCCCTGAATTCTCAATCGAAGAGAAAATTTTGCGACGGTGTACCGTTCAGATTTTTAGAATTAACGAAGCGAGTTTTCCTCTAATCTTTCTTGTTAAATTTGTCGCATTTAAGTTTGTGCATCGTTGCGAGACGTGCGAATGCAAAGTAACTTTCGGGATATATGTTGTGGAACATGTCACGACAGAAAGCAAGAAAAAAAAGAATTCTTTACTTCGCGTAAAGTTGTCCGCTAGTAATAAAAGTTATGTCCGCTGTGCGCTAAACGCTCTTAGTCGAAGCTTTTATCCGGCTTATATAAGATGAAATTACGTTATTTCTGCTTCGAATAGTCTCGTTAATATTACTTTGTGAATTTAAGAAGATTTTACGACTCTAGCTAGCTAATGCAGTTTTATAACACTTGCGGGAAAAGTTAAACGTGTAAATTACAGTCGTGTTAGAGTTCTAGGAATTATCGTTAATTCTAGGAATTTGTATATTTTCATGTTTCGTATGAATCTCACCCTCATAATTTTATTACGATCAACATTGCAAATTATACACACCTTTATTTTATTTCTTTTATTTATCAGTAACTTATTACTGCTTTATTATTATTAAATATTATTAAACAAACTTTCCGATCGTGCTTCTCAAACATTAAAGACATATATATTCTTCACATTTAAATACGTTGATTCAAAAACAGTCATGCGTGTATGCGCGTACCAAAACACATTTCATAATGAAAATAGATATCTCGTCAGAGAAATGTGGCAGTAGACGGGAAAGAAACGCGTTCGCGCATTGCTGGAGACTCATGAAATTCCGGGATATCCTCCTTTCGCGCTTGGTTAAACATCGTCAAGTATAGTGTACGAAAATATTCCTCCGTCTCGCGAGCGCACGCGCGCGTTTCTTTTCATTCCCGACCGTCTTCGAGCTTTCCGTCGACGTGACTTCCTATCAGGAAAAGGAAAAGCACGGGAATCATAAAAGGCGCTTCAAAAAGACGCCGCCGATTCTTCGATGCGGCTCTATGCGAATTGTACATTCAGCAAACACGCTCCTTGCAACCATGTCTCGTCGTGTTTCTTCTCATCCCCTAACGTTTTAGCGAATCTCTCTCGCGAGCAAGCGAGGACGAAGTTACGTTTTCTCGCTTGCTCAGCACGCAGTTGAGGAAGGCGCCTTCCTCAAGGATTCCGTTCTCGTGCCCTTCATTGCTTCGGCGAAATCTCCCGAGAAATGCGGAGAGGATCGCAAAAAGATCGTGTTATCGGACGAGGGAAATGAGACACGGTGGAAAAAAAAAGAAGGAGGAAAGTGATGGAAGGAACGAGGGAAAAAAACTTATTGCCGCGTTTTGCTCGGCTGTAAACGACAACGAAGGGGCCCGGAGGGAAGAGAAATATTTGGATGGCTTAGGACGAGAGGATGTTGCGTTGTCCTCTTTTTTTTCCCCCTAGTCACACCTCATCCCCCATTTTCCCGTCACTCCGCTCCGTTTATTCCCAATTTCCCCGTCTTTCTACATCGAGTCTCACGGTCGCTCTCAACAATAACAATAACAACAACAGCAGAGTGACGACGCCAAGGATCTACCCGCTAACGGCGTCAAAGGGAAAAATACTCGGGGCACCGGAAAGCATTTAAGGTCCTTTTATACTTTGTAGGCGGCTCCATTCGGTCGCTTGCTCGCGCGTTTAGGGTCATAAACCGCCGCGTCCTTTTGCGTCACTTCGTGAATTTTCTTTTTCTTTTTCCGTGCTCCTTCCATCTACCGAGTTGTGCTGGTATCTCCTCGCAAGCGTCGCTCTCGAAATTAAAATTCCTCGTCTTCGAATAACAACGAACGTGAACAAACGGTGCATCGCAGCGGATGATATCTCGAAAGACAGAAGAACTTTGTTCCGAGTGGCAACAATTTGTAAGGAACTTGCCGCGCAAAGCTTCAGAAATATTTAATTGCGCCCCCTTCTCTCTCTCTCCCCTTTTTCCGCTTTTCTTACCGCAATATAATCGGATTTCTTGCGCGTACCCCAATGTCGATTAAAATTTTTCCGACGCAATAACTCTGTCTTCTCCCCACTGTTTACTCAGAGAAGAAGATTCGAAAGGAATATTGGTCGAAGGGCTGTTTTCTTAACTATCACAACCTAGAATTTGCATTAAATTCAATCGTTCGTTTTTCCACTTTCCTTTTTACCCTCTTCTCTCCGTCGCTATTTTACCCTTTCATTCCGGTCGCTCGGAATTGTCGATCTTACGACGCTACGCCATCGTAGGACAAGAGAGCAGTCGACTCTTTACATCACTTGCTCTCGCTGGCGAACGCCGGACCGGTGAAGAACCATTGTGATTTCTCCGGGATGGAAAGAGGACGGACGATAAAAACACGAGCGGAACTTCTCGAGGAACGTTTTCTAAACGTCCATCGCCTCTTCGCGGACTTGATTGTTCTTCTAACGTCGATTTACCCGCGGCCATTCTCCGTCGTCAAAGTGTCAAGAGCGCGTCGCCTCCGTCTTTTCTCGCAAAAAATAAACGGCTTATACAGTTTCCCGTGAAAGTTTGTGAGAACGACGTTACCGAGTTGCAAAAGTAATCTGTTACGCTAGAGATGATTTCGTTTGTAAATATTCGAGCTTGATCATTTCGAAAATATAAGTCCGCGCCCACAACTCGGTTAGAAGTATAGGATAATAATTGTAATGCGTAAAGATATTATATTAAATCGTATACATATATACATATGTATCTAATTGCATCGTTCTCGTTTCTATTGTGCAGCGCCACCCAGATTCAGCATAACGCCGGATGATATGATATACGTGAATCTGGGCGATGCGATAATACTCAACTGCCAGGCTGAGGGTACTCCAACGCCAGAGATCCTTTGGTACAAGGACGCGAATCCCGTCGAGCCCAATGGTCGAGACGTTGGGATATTCAACGACGGCACCGAGCTCAGGCTCTCGACGATCAAGACCGAGGACATTGGCGATTACACCTGCATCGCCAGGAACGGGGAGGGCCAGATCAGCCACACCGCGCGCGTCATTATCGCGGGTGAGTGCAGTTTCAGCTTTTATCGGAGTGTCAAGGATATCCTGGTGTCGGAGCCGCAATTTCGTCGCGAAGTTGAGCGATAAATTATCCGTTCACCCGTAGCAAGAAGATACGATTACGTTCGACAGCAATGAGGCCTTATCGAGAGAGAGAGAGAGAGAGAGAGAACGCGCGCGAGATAAAACTTTTTTAATTTAAATTTTACTGTCATTCAGAGATATTCACGAGTAAAGAGACATAGAGAAGTGGAGCAGAATACGAGAAGATGAGTATCGCGGGATTATAAGAATAATCGAGCTTTTAAAAAAGTCGTTCCAAATGTATAATGATGTAATAAAATAATAAATATACACGTTTTCTGCGTAATGTATTATCATGAAATATATTTTTCGTTTATTCTTAATTTACTAAAATATTCCCATTAGAAATATGCTGTATACATTATGTTAAATATAGCATTAAAATATATATATTTTTTTATTATTTCGTTTGATCTACCTGAATATAATTACGCGTACAAAGCGAAATTGTATAATTCATTGATAATAAAATCTTAAAAATTGCAACGCATAAAAATTTTTATTGCAATACTTGCGCATAAATATATATTAATCAATTATGCAATGCATAAAAATTTAATATTTAAATCTTTAATAGAAAATGCGAACATAGAATTTTCTACAAGAATCTTTCGATTAACATACCTGCACTTCTATTAGACTCGCGCGTCTCCGAAGTCCTCCTACGCTGCATCTCGCGTGAGACTGATCGCAAGACTCTGCGTACCGGTGTCGCCATGTGATGACGAAACCTAACTTCACTGTCAAGAATGAACCGAGGCACTCTTTCCTTCTATCCTTTCCATTAGACTCGAGCGTCCCATGTGTCCACCGCACTGCACGTCTCAAACGCGACTGATCCCCACCGTAGACTCTGCATCTGTGCAGCGGTGTCACGTGACGACTCGCAGCCAGGAATGAAATCGAGATGTCGAGACGATCAGTTTCGCGCGAGACACGCAGCGTGCTAGGGAGATGCGCGAGTTTAATCAAAGCGCAGGTATTTTGATCGAAAGATCCTTGTAGAAAATTCCATTTTTTCGTTCGCATTTTCTCTGTTAAAGATTTAAATATTCAATTTCTATGTATTATATAATTAATATATTTTTATACATGCATTGCGATAACTTTGTTTCGCGCGCATAAGTATATTAGATTAGATTAAATGAGATAAGAGGAAAAAAAATATATAGAGATATATACAGATATAAGATATAGAGAAAAAATACATATATCATATGTGTAGAGAGAGAAGAAGATGTAATCTTTTTTATACAGGGAACTCTAGTTCTCTCTTAAAATTCTCGGTGTAATTTTATTAATGCGGGTCACGAAGTGGCGTCCATTTTACAGTTTCGCCGCCACAACACAAATAATGACTCCCTTTTTTTCCGTCGGCCACGCGGAAATATCTCGCAGAAAACGTTAGCATGTACACGCTGTTAAGTATTACTGTCTGACAGGAACGCGTTACCGGTGCTGGTGCGGCCGCGGCTGCTTAAATCTACTTGGTTTTCGTGCTGACACGCGGCTGCGACAAAAAGCACAGCTTCGTAGCACAACTTTCGTTTCAGGATTTCGTGCTGAACGTACCGCGACATGTGATGATCGAAATAATTAAACGATTCGTTCGATTCCTGGCGCGTTTTTTTATCTATTCTCGGAGTTGATGCCGGTGAAGGATTAAGCTGTCCGCGTCCTGCTATTTTGCATTTCTCTATAAATATCTTAATCATCACCTGTCAATCGCAACCGTCTCTGTTTGATCGCTACGCAAATATATTGGTTCAAAAAGATAGATGCGTCTATTTATATATATTTATATATATATATATATATATGTGTGTATGGGATTATAAATACTTATCTTGTCTTGGTAATTAAATGCCTCTGTTCCATAGTTAAGTTAGATACATAATTAAAATATAATTAAGGAATATTTCATAAAAGTTCCACCTTTATTCACCGAAGGAGAAAAGCGCAGAACTCGAGAGCGCCTTGAGTATAACGCTAGTAAACTAATTAAAGAAGAAGATACTTTGTACCGAAGGTAATAAGAAGGCGGGTCTTTTTAGTTTTCTTTCTTTTTTTCTCGTCGAACATAAATATGAAGTCGATTGATTAGTTTGCCGACGACGAAGAGACTGTGCGCGATCTCGAACCCTTTCTCCGAAAACTAATTTAATATGAATCGCGCGCGATAGTAAACGCGCTTTAATACACTTCCGAAAATTGCTCCGACATGCCAGCGCGATTAATTATCCGTGATCGGCACCCGAAGAGAATAACGCAAAATACGGTTTGCCTGCCAGACCGATAATTAATAAACAGCAAACTGCCGTGGTAATTATCGAACGCGCCGTTATCAGAAACAGATATCCCTCGGTAATCAGCGTCGATCGGTCGAACACCGGTAATGCAATTCCAATAACCCGCATGCCAGAAAATATCTTAAAGCAAGCGCGGTGTGGTTGGTTTCGCCGGTTTTGTTATTTATCGATCGCGCCGCGAGTAAACCATCTTCTCTTTCTCTCTCTTTTCTATATATATATATATATGTATGTATGTGTGTGTGTGTGTGTCTCTTTTGCTCCCTGTGCAATCGGAAACGAATTCTCACGGGCAGGTAACCCCGGTCCACCGCGCTCTTACGGTACATTCGATAGATTTGGCGAATTTCAAACGGAATAAAAAACGATTTTTACAGGCGATTTCGCGAAAGCTCTTCGAGTCCGAAGGAATTCCATCGAGAGTTGAAATATAATATTATTACCGGTGCTGCGAGCTTTCTTAGTGTCGTTCCAAATTTTTTAAAATATCGTTGAACCATCGAGTAAAACTTGCGACTGTTATTCGTTCGCGAAAATAAAGTTTTTTGAAATGTGTAAGCCTCTTTGCTTTCGATAAGCTTATGCACGTGACGAACGAATTAAGAATCTGCGTCTATATATCTCATTATCCCCGGTTTGATTAAGTCGACTCCTCGTCGTCTTTTTCCTTTTATCACAAACGCCTCGTATCGCGTTCTTAATGCCCCATTATGAGGAGGGTTTTTATCGTGCGGCATGATGCAATTTAGTCGAAAAGAATGCACGATAATCTCGTTATACTCGACTATTAAATACTTATCCGTAATAGTCTCGCGAACCATAACATCTTCCCCGGAGAATAATCCGATACTTTGTAGTTTGCGTATCGTACAACTAAAAATATAGCAAAAATAACCATTCCTCACGGTACTTCCGCGTTCGATAGAGAAACTAAAATAAAATGGGTCGTTCGACTTTTTCTAACTTTCTCGATAATCTGCATTTCCCAAAATGGATGCCGCAGCAGCGACAGGTGTGTTACGTTCCTAAAGTCATCGCTTTTGCGAGCGAGTTCGGGAAAAGATAAGGGATGTCGCAATCTCGTCCGCGTCGTATAAACCGTTTTAGCGTCCATTTCCCTCGAACGGAAACGTTTTCCCGTGATCGAAGGCGCAGCAGCATGCCGATGCATCCATAAAGCTCTCCGGTGAAAGAACGGGCATCCACGACGACATTCCCGTATAGTAACGGTAGCATCTCTCCCTTCGCTTCCGTAAATTTTACGAGCCGATACATTTACTCATATCGATACCCTCGTCCGCGATAAAACTCGCGTTAGGCAAAGTGGTTACAGCAGGAGGGTGTTCCGTTCCGCGGGACCAATTAAGGCTATTTCCGTTTCCCCGGGATTCCGGGACAGCGTTGGGAGGCAGAGGGAGAGGTTAAAAGGCGATTTGTCTTGTTTTTCCGGAGCCACCTTCCGTCCCCACGAACCCGTCTTCTTGTTCTATTTCGCTTTTGCGCTTTCCACCACCCGTTTCGTCCCTTTTTTTTTCCAACATCGTCGCTCGTTTCTGCCCCCACAACCACTGCAAATTTGTAACCCGTGCGCCAATGGCAAACCGCCGCCGGGACATTCGTCTTCATCATCGTATTGTCTTACCGTCTCATCTCTTGTTTTCACGCCCGTTTACCGTCTTGGCCGCGAGATGGTTATTTAATGGATTGAGAAATGGCGCGAATGTCGCCTGTCTGAAACGACGGCGAGGTCGTCGTAAAATTCGCTCGCACGCGAGGAATAAAATTAGGGAACCGTTAACGCAGGGGATTATTATTGTTATTACCGCGAGAGAAAGAGATAAGCAATCAGAGGACAATCTGCGGGTTGAAATTTTAACATTTTTCACGATTATCTTATTTTTCGTTAATTTTTTTTTTTTTTTTTTTTTTTCGTGCCTTTGTTAAAATAGGAAATAAAGTGAAAAAAATTATATGTTTAAGAGTGGGAACAAATAATTATACGAAATTTCTGCGCGCGTATGTGCATAAGCGAGAAAGAAATTTTTTTCTTTTTGTAAATTACGTGCGCGTTTATCTCTCCTGCATTTTTTAGAAGGCAAGAGAGACGCGCTTATTTCACGTGGCGCGATATAATGTTTCGTTTCGGTTCAACGTTTTAAACGAAGTGGAACATTTAAAGAAAATGAAACATCGCTGGAAAAGTAAACATTATAGGAATAAATCATTCTAGAATTTATTCCGCGTCTCGACTGCTGCTCCATTTGCTGAACTACACTCTTCGTGGTTCTCGTAGCGCCGCGTATTCACAATGTGCAACGTGATGCAGCGCGACGCAGCATCACGTCATAGCTATGTACTTGGCATAAGAGCCCACGCGCCCTCTCTTTCTCCTTTCTCTCTCTCTCTCTCTCTCTTCCTCTGAATTTCATTGCCCCGGTTTATCAAGATTTTCGTCTGGTTGGCAAACGCTGGAATTTGTCACTGTGACACTCCTCGCATCGAGAATATGCGACGAGGCTGCTGCGCGCATAAATGCAACACGGTCGGATGATGGTAGCAGACGGCGCGGCGGTGGCTTAATAATCACTTTATAAAAATATTTTTGATGTCTTCTCATCGAGCGAAGCTCTCGAATATTTCGGCGCATAAAAGCGCGAGCGGGAGTTGAAACGAGCGCAGCGACGTCTCGGAAAGCCTTCGCGTATAAAAATATCGACCAATTTCCACATCGCATCGGTGGAAATTGCGCGCCGCTGCAAGTTGGTAAAAACAACCGTCGTTAACGATCGCGCGCGTAATGTGCATCGCCACTTTATGGCGACCGCACATCGCTCGGCGCATGATTCTATAGGCGACTCTCAGAATTCCATTGGCCTCATTCGCCGCGAAAAACTTTCCTGCAAACTTCTCCTTTCGTAAAGTAAAGCTTCCACAAGCTTTCGCCGTAAAATGTATCATCGTCGGGGCGCGAATAATTAAAATGCATTCTCTTAACCGCGCGCGCGAAAATGAGACACGAGCGCCGTTCACAAAGAGAGCTCGGGAGGAAGCGTAATAAAAAAGGCGAAATAAAAGACGAGGGATTTCTCGCGAAAGATATCCCGGGATATATAAGTTCGAACGAAGCGGCGCATAAATGTTAAAAAGATTGACGGATTGATGGATCGACGTGGCTTGATTACGCGAATCCTTTCGCGCGCGTGCCCGGATCTAGAGACTCAGCGAGCGTGCAAGATTACGCGGGAAAGAAAATACGTTCTCTTCTTTATTTTTTTTTTTTCCCTCTTCTTTTTTTGGTCTCCTGGCAACAAGTTCTCATTCCGCGCTTCGTACGTTTATCAAGCTCGTAGATTCAAATTTATTCCTGTCGCGCTGGCTGCAGCGTGCACCGCCGACGCGTATTGTGCCGCATCTTCGGAGGTGCGACCGAGGGTGTGCAATATATTGAGACATCGGGCAGAGCTTAGAATATCGTTGCCCTCGTTTCTCCGGGATTTCCCGTCTGCGAGCGAAACTGCAATATTTCTTACGCGACTCGGAGTCCTCCTCTCTTTCTCTTTCTCCCTTTTTCTTTCGCCCTTTCTTGGCCGCGAGAGATCGAAACTTTCGGTCAGGCATTCGCAACCGCGAACGCAAGCAAAAAGCTTCTTCCGTAACCTCGAATTTGATTATCTCGACAGGCAAGGACAACAAACACCGGCGACAATCTGTCAAATGTTTAATTGCACAAACATTTGTCAATACATTTGCAGCGTCATGACATCCGCCGTTCGTTTGCACGTCTAAATTTACAGATTGTTTGCGCGATATCCTGTTTATTTTGTCAACTAGCAATTTCGAATTCGGTTGCAGTTTACGTGGATTTTGAATATCGCCGTATTCGTGAAATCAAAATTGGAAGACGAGACTTAAAATTCATATAAATATAAACGCAAATAAATATGCTTCTTTGTGCACGTCGGTCAATGAATTTGTATCTTTTCTTTTTTATACGTCGCTTTGTGACGATTTGACAGAGCTCGAATTTAGAAAACGTCAGAGAACTTCTCCAATCAATACTCTTTCATCGTGATTTCCTGGCGTCGCTAATTCCTTGACAATTTCGCGTATGTTTCATTTGATCCCATTCACACAATCTAAGCTCCACTGTATAGCGCACGCGGAGATGAAGGCGACCGTAATCCCGACGAATGACGATAGATCGGATTGCGGAAAATGGCGCGAAACGGAAGTCGGCGGTCTTTTGTGCGGCGAGAATCGATCTTCCGCTATATAATACGGCGAAATATTCGCTTCTAGAGGCGACGGGCAAAGCCGCAAGTTTTGAAATTCTTCGCTATGTGAATGCGCGAAAGACGGCTATGGGCGTGGACGGTGTTGGGTATCGATGAAGATATAATGCACCCTGTTGAGCACACTTCTGTCGAAGGCGTAGAAATCGCGGAGACGAGAAGGCAAATTCGAGGCTACTCGCAGCCGGCATACTTTCGTCTATCCGTCGTGGCTTTTTACTGACAAGCAAGAGAGACGTTATCGAGAATCGATAGAGACGACGCTACAGCATTCAATTCCTCTGTCTGTCTCCGTGCATGACGACGGGTTAGCGTGCACCACATGTTGTCGTCTCTTCCGGGATATCTTTGACAGCGAGACAACCAATATCAGCGGTCAATCGTCACCGCAGATTCTAGATGCAATAGACAGACTATGCGAGTATCAGTCGTGTTTAGATCCGATTGATGTCTCTCGCATATTTTTCGATTCGCGCGAAATAGAATTACGTAATAAAAATCCTATTGCGTTTTCGATCGTCGCAGGTGGAGCCGTCATTACGTTGCCGCCGACAAATCAAACGAAGCTAGAAGGCGAGAAGGTGCAGTTCTCCTGCGAGGCGAAGGCTCTCCCGGGTAACGTGACGGTGCGCTGGTTTCGCGAAGGCGCCCCCGTTACGGAAGTCTCGGCCCTGGACACCCGAGTGTCTATCAAGATAGACGGCAGTCTGGTCATCAACCCCGTCAGTGCCGATGACTCCGGTCAATACTTATGCGAGGTCACCAACGGCATCGGCGATCCTCAAACTGCTAGCGCCTACTTGAACGTCGAGTGTAAGACTTGTTTGAAATCATTTAATTTGTAACAGCTCTTTAAAAATTAATATACATATAAAAGGCAATAAGAGCTAATTAAGTTCTGTTATTAATATTTATTTGTGGAAAAATAAATTTTTAACATAAAATATTAGACAAAAAAGTTCGAACGTTTCGGTTGCCTTTTTCAACCTTCTTCAGCGCATCATTTAAAATTAAAGATTAATAGAAATTAACAATCAATTATTCATAACTGTCAATATACTAACTCTGTTTCTGTATAGTTTTATTGCCTTTTATATGTATATTGTTTGAAATATTATGTTATTATTAGAAAATAAGACGGAGAATGAAAATTTTGAAATACGAACAAATTAAAGAGTATATATATTGAAAAAAATCCAAATGACGAGTAATCGATATCCAGGTGTAATGAAAATTTTCAGACCCGGCGAAGGTGACATTCACCCCCACCGTTCAGTACCTGCCGTTCCGTCTGGCCGGTGTGGTCCAGTGTTACATAAAAGCCAACCCGCCCTTGCAATACGTGACCTGGACCAAGGACAAGCGCCTACTTGAGCCTTATCAGACGAAGGACATCGTTATCATGAACAATGGCTCCCTGCTCTTTACACGGGTCAATGAGAATCACCAAGGCAGATATACCTGCACGCCTTACAACGCCCATGGCACGCAGGGCAGTTCGGGTCCGATGGAGGTCCTTGTACGAAATCCGCCTGTCTTCACCCTTGAGCCGGACTCGATGTACACGAAGAAGGTCGGCGAGACGGTCGAGATGCACTGCGACGCTCAAGAGGCCGAGGGAACGCAGAAACCGTCGATACAATGGCAACGGGTACTCAAATTTCAAAATGATATATTTTCAATATTGCCGCACCAAACTTTCGCTATATTTCACTTTTTTATCATTTTTAAATATATATATATTACATATCACATATAAATATACATTACTTGCAACAGCGTAAAATAATAGCATTAGCAGAGCATATGACGATTGCACTTTTGTTATTTATACTATATTTTTTAAAAATATATTTTTAAATATATAATAAATTTTTAAAAATACATTTTTATAAAAATATTCATTCTTCAAATAACACAAAAAAGCCAATAAGCATCGCAAATAATAATACCTATAATGTTTAAAATATTTTTACTATATTTTTACTATTTTTTTAAAAATATATTTTTAAATATATAATAAATTTTTAAAAATACATTTTTATCAAAATATTTATTCTTCAAATAACACAAAAAAGCCAATAAGCATCGCAAATAATAATACCTATAATGTTTAAAATATTTTTTAAATTCTTATGATTAGTGCATTTTTACGTCGATCGTATTTCCGACAAACTCTGCTTCTTTGCATATAATCATTTCTAAAATCATGTTAGAAGGACGGCGGACCCATCCAACGCACCCGCACGAAAATCGTCGGCGGCAATATAACCATAGAGAGCCTACGACGCGCGGACTTCGGGTTTTATCAGTGCACCGCCTCCAACGAAGTCGCTACTATCTCGGCCTCGACGCAGCTGATAGTCGAAGGCACGCAACCCCATGCACCTTACAACGTGTCAGCCACTGCCACGCAATTTTCGGTAGCGCTAACTTGGTTACCAGGCTATTCCGGTGGTCCTGATTACAAGCAAGATTATACAATCTGGTAGGTATACGTAGATAGGGATAGCCTGATACAGGTATTATTACTTAGAGGTTCTCCTGTCGACGCAGTAATCGCTCTTCTCGAATAATAGAACAATTTTATTTATGCGATACATACATCCTATCGCGACATTATTAGATTTATTATTCGCGAATAGTGAATTCTCTGATAGAATTCTTTGTGCCAAGAATTTCGAATTTGTCAAATCTATTTACGTGTTATCTTACTTTCTTTTTCTCGTATTACCTCGCTCAGGTACAGAGAAACAGGAATTTCGGACTGGAAGACAATCCCCGTGACTCCATCGGGCAGCACGACGGTGACGATCAACAATCTCACGCCAAGTACACTCTACGAGTTCCAGGTAATCGGGAAGAACGCTCTGGGCGAGGGAATGATGAGCAAAGTCATCACAATCAGGACACTCGGTAATGGAAGACGCATTACGCTATCTGAATTATTTCGATTCTGCTAAAGCTCTTGATGAATTTCATTTAATAGATATAAATCTAAATGAGCAAAATTCGTTGATTTAGTGATAAACTCTGCAAATTTATTTTATAGAAGCTAATACTAATCAGCTGTAGTCGTAAGTTCGGAAAGCTATCGCTTACCGAACTTGTTTAACAATATTAGTACTAATCGGATCATAGCTGATAACTAGCATTAATTTGACAACTAACAAACTAATCTTTGCATCCGTACAAATTTCCTTCTCACTGTTCACGTCTTTCGCTGCATTCTTCTCCAAGGCGTTGCTCTGACACAATCGGCCACCCCTTCCGCGCCTGATCAACCCGCCTCACCGGAAAGTGGTAAGCTTCGAATGATAAATTAATATTGTTTATATATTTTAGAACGAGACAGATTATTAAATTCGAAAATATCGAAATTCGCGAGAGAAAATATTTCGAAACGCGCGACGCGTTATTGCTATATATACATAGGTATATGTTATATATACATAGGTATATGTTATATATACATAGGTATATAAAACGTGAATTTGAACACGTAAAATGTCGGAGGCAGCGCGCGGTGCAGTCTGTTTGAGGTGTTAAAAATCGACAATTTTCCCTGCTATTTTAAATCTGCAAGCTAGCGAAACGCGATCGGCTGCCGAAGTAGATATCACGGAGTACTGCGCGACTTCGCAAGCTGAGAATGGCATCTCGATGACTGTCGAAGGAAAATTCATGCGTGTGAATGTCGTTCCCGTCTCACTCTGCGATCCTCTCATCAGGGATATAAAGCCGACAATCGAAAAGTCGCGCGACTCTTTTTTTTTCTCGACTAGGGATAAAAAAAGAAGAAGAAAGGAACAAGCATGAAGGAAAAAGGGTGAGAAGGAGGGAAAAAGATAAGATAAGAGGAAGGTAGGAGGGACGCGGAATACCGATGCGGAATGAGGCAAGGTGAGCGGAGAAAACCGAGAAAAAGAGACGAAGAAGGAACGGAGAGACTTCCGCGGCGACTTATCGTATCGGAAAACCCATCGAGCCGTTCATTCTGCTTCCGCTTTTATTTCCTTCCCTCGAATCCACCGGTTCATTGCCTTCCATTTGTACACACCGTACCTCGAGCATCCCTGATACCGGCGTCTAGGGATTTCTATCTGGTTACCTTTCAAGCGTTTCTTCTTTCGCCTATCTCCCTTTCTTCTCTCGCGTTATATCCTTTTCGCCCTCTAGCGCTTCTTCGCTTCTTATGCCCACGCACAAGCCCGCATCGTCATTGGTTTCGCTTCTTGCGTCGACAAAAGGCCGGTTTCGCCAACGCTGATTAACCACGCTTAACTTCAATTTTCTCTCTATATCTCTATTATTTTCTACACGCAAGATTTTATAGTGAAATCCTTTGAAGTATTTTTCTAGTCATCAATTTTCTCTCTAACGAATATTTTTACACATTTTTTAAATTGCATTTTGTTACAATTTTTCATTTAATTTTAGAATTAAAATTGTGAATCTAAATTGAGTTCAAAATTAATTAAAGAATCAAATTTTAATAGAATAAGAATGCAGGTTGATTCGTTGTTTCAATATATTTGTAAAAAAGAATTGAACTTTTAATTTGCAGAATATAATTAAAGAATTTTATTATAGAGCATTGAAAATAGTTTGGAAAACTTTGTGACACATTTTTTTTTGTTTCATGCTACAATTTAGAGTTTGTAATTTATTTCGGTTATAATTAGAACTAATTGACATTGATGAAACTGACTATCATGATTAGTAGAGTATTTAATAACAGAGTTGGCCTAGATTCCATTTAGAGTCTTTCGAAGGAAAGAGCAATAGCTTATTTTAAAATCTTCTAAATTTTTCGATATGTAAAAAAATGCTTAATTGTTTCTAAATGATTTAATTTTATTTCCTATTGATTTTTATTTAATTTTTAGGTTTTTCTTTTTTTCTCTCATTTCAGACATCCTTGATTATAATACACTCGTATTACCGACCGATTCCACAGGAAATCCCATGCTTCCAATAATCGTTCGACCGAAAGGTACATATATCTTCATCTTTTCGTTAAATTTACCGTATAAAAAACAAAGAAATTCTCGTAGGCAAGATAAAAATGACTCAACATTCGTCTATTAATATAGTAATATTACGAAACAACCATCATTTTTCTGTGGAGAAACGCAAGCGTTCGTCTCGTTACTTTCACCGCCCACGTTCGATAGATTATTTACACCCGGCATGATGACACATACACATACGCGATCGCCTTTCTCGTCGCACATTTAATTAAAAATCCTTGGCGCTGCAAGGAGATTGCGAGAGCTCAAAAATCCAGCTTTTTCCTAGAAGCTCGTTCGTCTCGCGTGAGAAGATTAACCGTCATTATCTACTATGGTGGACGTGAAAATAAGTGTCAAACGGTCTGAAAGGGAGAAGGAATGAGAGAAAGAAATGCGCGTACAGTTCGGCGTACAACGCGATGCGAGAAAGATACAGAGGGAGAAAAATAAAAATGAAATCCTCTTAGCCGCGCCGGAGAAAGAGAGAACTACGACGAGGAGAGAGGTATTTCAGGAGGGAGAGCAGGAAATAACATCATACATTTTGCACGTAGCAGACGGTTCCAAACAATCTACTCCGCTTTAGAGTTGAATAAACCCAAGAAAGTTCTAGTTGCACTTCTCTCTCGCGCGTCGAGTTTCAATCATATTTGAATCGTGGTAAGGAAGGTGAGGTGTAGTGGATATATAAATCAGAAAGAAAAAGAAATGAAATTTTTTTATGTACGATTTTATTGTGTTTCTTTACGCATAATTAAAAAAAGAGTAAATGATATAAAACTATCCTTTAATGTTTTTTTTATAACAGATTTAATTTTGCTTTATCTAATTTATTACACAGTTTATATAGGTATATTGAAATTTTTAACGAAATTTTTATAAATAACATGCCTGAAAATGTACACGTGCATTCCTCAGCGGAAATAAAACGCGGATGTTATTTTTACACAAAAATAACAAAATCTAAAATCCTCGTTATACCTCGATAGAGGCACGAGAAAACGCTCGTAATGGGCAGTTTGTAAAAGAATAGAAAGACAGAAAATAAAAAATTTTATTTCTCTTATAAAACAAATATTCGAAACAATACAAGAGCCGCTAATTTTGCAATCTCGCGGCCAAACCAGCAAGCCGCCTGTGTTTTCCGGCTATCTCCAATTTTCTCATATTGTCTATGTGGTTACGTGGCGAAAAAACCATTACGGAAAAAAATCGATTTAACTTTCTAAACGCTCTGCGTTCAGTTCAGCCGCGTTTACTTCGCAATACCTAGCTATCTGCACAATAACGATGGATTTTTCGACGAAAATAACTTTGTCTCGACTTTGTCCCTTTCGTCACATAGCCAATGCGTTCGCAAATCGATTCACTATACCATGTCCCACGAGAATTTCGAGCGGTTTCCTTTGATCTTGAAAGCACGGTTCAATCCTGCTAGCTTCACGGTATGTTGATCAATTTGAATGACGCTAAGAATTGCTTCGTCCAAATCGCCAATATGTAGGAATAAAATACGCGAACGCGTGGGCTTTGATAAACTCGCCCAGTGTTTTAAACGGATGTAAAATCGCGATACGCTATTCCATCTGATTGTAACCAAGGAAATTTACCGGTCTGTGCGGTTTGCGTAATCAACAAAGCAAATAGTCGTGAAACAGTTGTTACGCTTTCCGACCGCGATTCGCGGCAACAACTACGAGGCAATCTTCGTCAATTTTGTAAATTCCACCGAGATATTTTCCAGAACTGAGGCCATTAAATCGATAGGGCGGAACGCGAGAAAGAATAAAGTGGGATATTTGCTTTGTCGGAATAAACCCATGATTTGATGAATCAGAATATGACGAAGCGTCAGAAAAAAAATAGACTTAAATAAAATATTCGCACTTCTCCATGCGCGAATTATTCCGCGCCAAGTCGTGTCCTTGCTCGTATTTTCACATTGTTTTTCTCCTTTTACGACTAAACTGTTTTAATCCACGACGCGAAGTCGTATTACACTACCTAGAAGAAATAGTATCTCTTATGGACATTAATAAGGTTAACGCGCGTACGCCGGAAGCAATTAGGTCATAACATTATATGTGTAAGAAGTGACGAAAGAAGCTGACCTCACATGTCTGGCTAATCTAATTAAGAAGTTGCACCAATAATCGTTTCATCCAGGCTTACTGGCTTCGTATTCGCCGAAGAACATCGAAAATGTACTATATATACTAGTTTATTAAAGTTATTCTTATATGTTACGTATATTATGCAGGCACATTTTACTAACATAAATAATATGCAAGTATTTCGAAAAATTCCGAAGCTTATCGATTTTAATTTATCGAGACATCTGATATCGTTCTATAAAAAAATACCTACACAAAAATTCGAAATATTTAATATAATATATAATCACTGCCTCAAAATGAACATAATTATGATTTATCGCATTTATATCGGCAAGTATCAGTCAATTCAAAGAATCTCTTTTTAAGCGATGTATCGCAGCTGACCCAGATACACGATGATGAAAAAAGTCAGACGTACAACTCGATAGTGCGAATACCGATGAATTTGATAGATGCGAAAATGTCGCTGCGGTCGGAACGGCGTTAACGTTTCCATCAAAAAAGCTTTTCGCTGGCGTTGCAACCCGGTGCGTCACTGAAATTATTTCGGAGTTACGACAGCAACATTTATTTACTGACGCCAAAGAGATTTTTTCCCCCCACATCGGTCTTTTATTTTATATAGATATATGACACAGATGAAATTTTTTAAATCTTTATTCGTTCAAAACTCTTTGTCAATCATAGTGTTTTAGTATAAAATTAAACTATGTAAAAACATAGAGTCACGTTAGAAGTAAAAAAAAAAAAACAAAAATAAGAATAATATGACGAATATTATATTGTTTCCTATCGATATCTTACCAGGACCAAAGCCAGGTATTCCCCGGAACCTCACGGTGACGGAAATCAGCAACGGTTTCCTGATAACCTGGCAAACTCCTCTAGAAAAGAGCCATCTTATCCAATATTATACTATCAAGTACAAGACGGACGGACCTTGGAAAACGCTCAACAAGGGCCAAATACGACCCGAGGATACCAGTTATTTAGGTAAGAAACCATCTCTCCATCCGCCTGTCCCTTTCTCTTTCTATCTCTATTGATCGCAGAGCAATTGTCTCCGCATAAAGTTTCTTACTTAGCATCGGACAGGCGTCGACATCGAATACGAGTAATTCCGAACACTCATAAGTCAACATAATTTTCTTTGAATCATCGATTTTCGAGAATACGGCTTTCATGCGATTTTCCCGTTTAACGTGAACATCCACAGTGAAGAACCTGGTCGGTGGTAGGACCTACTATTTCCAAGTGTTGGCCAATTCGGCTACGAATTACGGTGCGAGCGAACAGGTGAAGTTTCCCGTGCCGGCTCGAGTGAAGCACAAAGCGATCACCGCGGGCGTCGTAGGCGGCATCCTCTTCTTCCTCGTCGCCATCATCCTCAGCATATGCGCGGTGAAGATATGCAATAAACGGAAGAGACGAAAACAGGAGAAAGGTATGAACGTCCCGTGGCGTTGTCGTCGTATCGACATATACATTTTGCCCGCAATTTGCCTGCACCTGTGCTCCTGGTTGTGTCGTCTTTGCATCAAGGGAACACAAAGCGAAGTCTAATAATACGACTAACGACAGAAATATAATGCAAATGTTTCTAACTGACGAATCACGCAATTGACGACTCGACTGTTTGCATCTAAATGCGCTCGCGAGCGCGTATGTAATTTTACTCTATTAATTTATTCAACTAGAGAATTAAATTACAGAATTGTTACGTTCACATTACGTGCTCTCGGAACGGAGCGGAATATATTCGTAAGTCATTTTTTCTGCGATGTTGCTCATATTTTTTAGATTTTTGGTCCGTTTTGGGCTCGCTTATTCTTCAGGTTTTAAATATGCTCGAAATAGAATTGGGAGGGTATCATTTGCATTTATTAGCGCCCAGAACTGATCAAAGAGACGGCTACGATCTGGCAACGCAGGCGCCGGGCATGCACCTGTGAAACTGAACAATTCATGTTTAACATAATTATGTAACATTGTAGAACTGCTTTCAGCGTATAATATGGTGGCCTGCCGGGTCACCGACGCCAGGAACGGCGCAGGGCAGGGGCCCCAGGGAACAGTGCCTTTGAAAAAGTGAGTGTCTACCATCCGAATTACAATTATCCTCCCAGGTTCCACAGAGTCTTGACTCACAATACTTTGGAGCTCTTAAAGGCTCCGATCAAACGACAAGTAGACCGAGGAGATCGCAGCTGCACTAGAAATTTATTCCGCTATAATTGCATCAAATTGGCACAAGTATACAAAATTCACAATAAAACATTCAAAAAGATTGCTTGAACATTTCTTAACAAACCAATTCGTTATGACAAAGTCATTTGCATGTAAAATTCGGTATTTTTTTGCGAGGTAATATTATGGTGGACAAGTAAATGCACGGTCGGCAAAATGACGTCGCAGTCGCCTTAATAAAGCATCGATGGTCCTCGTTAATGGAGAGGCCTCTGATCAAGATACAGCAGATCGTTCAGGCGTCAAAGATCGATCACAAACGCGTGCTGTCAAAACGCGTCACGCAAAGTGCAGATGCGACTTCAAAGAAACTCTACATCACTTAGGCTTAGACAGAATTAGCGATTAAGTCCACTCCACCCCCTCTTACGAGCAATAGGCGACCGAAGCACAGCAAGCATTTATGAAACCTTCTCACGAGTAAAATTTCTTCTAGCCAACAGATACTCGAACATTTACGCGCGAGAAATTACGCATATGTACATTCATATATATTTATAAAATTGTGTCCCGGATATATCGAAATTTACATTTACTTCGATATCGCTATTATCAACTTTGCAGCTACAACTTTAATAATAATTTTTTTTTAAATCGTCAATTCGATTATTTTTATAAAATTAATGACAATTATTCGATTATTTTGTCAATTGGAAATAACGATGATATGTCATTGTGTCGTATCAGCGACACACTTACAAAGATATATGACCGTGAAACTTATGGACAGAGACAGACGTAAGGAGAGAAAAGCCATTCTCTCTCCTGCCGTCAACTCGATCCGCTTTGACAAAGGACAAGCACTATCGTCTGAAATAGGGGGATTAAGGAAACGAGAAACGACAGACCTCTTTTGATCTACTTGCGTCATACATAACACTATGAGCTTCTAGATGTATATCTCGTAGCAAATTAAACCGGCAGACTAAACCGCAGCAGCAGAGGTATTTTGGACGAGGTTGGAGAAATGATCTCTCGATAATCGATAAGTAATTTACGCACACTCCCACGCGTAACATCACGCGTGCGCGTGCGTGGCACGCGTGCACGTTTCCGTTATAGGCATGAACGAAAGAATCGAGCCCTATATCTTCCGATGCGATCCGGATCGAGTCGGATCTCGTTGCGGCTTGAATCAGATGATGCACGATTCGTTTGCGCGTGTGACAATATCAATTTGTTTTCTACATCAAAACTCGTTTTTCGAGCGATATAGGGGATATACAACAAGAACGAGAGAAAATTTCGCGCGTGTGTATACGAGTCGGATCGAGAGAACGATAGTTTTTACTCTAGTATTATTCAAAAAGAATTTTTTTTAATTACAAAAATAAGAAAATACTTTACTGTATATGAAATATTTTATTGGATTTTTATAAAGAATGGAGGAGATGTCTAGGATATTTTTTAACGCAATCGAAAAATCGCGTAATTTGATTCTACGCGAAATACGAGTGACTCGATTCGGATCGTCGAGATTCGCACAATATCATATTTACACATTGAGAAAGATTATAAAGAAAGGTTTCAACGTACGAAAAGAAAAAAAACGAGCCACACATTTCGGCTCGTTTTTTGTGATTTCACGCCAAAACGGACTGCACGTGTAGTAGCGGATAAACTACTCAGTTGTGACCATTATAATTTTCATCGCGGCATCCAAAAGTCCACAATACGACTGCAGTGATGCCTATTCTGGATCGTGAGACCTTTAATTTTCCGGAACTTTTGGTATTTCGTGTTAGTTACTTCTTTACTTATACACGCGTCTCTTTTTGCCTTTTTTGGCTGATCCTAAACCCGCGATGACTTTTTAGAAACGAATCATTCGACCCAGTCATTTTCATCGTCATCGTTTTATCAGACGCACCGTTTCAGTTTCTCTCGAGTAGTACTATGATTGTTGTATGTGTGTGTACCGAATTACACTCTATATATTTCCTATATGTAATACCTATATCATGGCGCTTATCGTGAGGGTGCAAGCAAAAATTCCATCGGCTAATCCAATCCCATTTTAGTCCGTAAATCATCCTTACACGCACAGGCAACGGTATCACATTCATACTTTAATGAAGAAAATCAACTTCACAATCTACGAATTCTGTGGAAGCCGAGTTTGATCGTATCTAACATCTAATTCAGATTTTCTCGTAGGTTCGAAGCTGATTGCGAAGCCATTCCAAAATGAACCGCACATATATGTAATTATAAGCCACCACTAATTTTGCAATATAATGGCGCTCTGTTCTCAACTATGACATACCACATCAATTTGCGATCGAGCATGCGCTTTTGTAATTTGATATGTATTACGGATATTAATCGTTGTCTTTTTCTTTCTTTCCTTTATTTATTGCGATCAGCAATTACATATTAGCCCGTACCGTTTAATTATACATATATACATTTCAATGTATCTATATATGGAAACATTAGTGTCAGTATAATTTTACATAATATTGCCTTGCGTGTAACAGTTCTATATCATCATCTCCAACGAATAATCCTTCGAAGTATCAAAATTTCACGTCGCAATCATCATCCCCCCGTCATCATCACCCTCATGATAAGTTGAAACATTCGTCGCATTTGATTTTTCACTAAACGCGCGGGCGCGTTTCTCGAGACTTATCCCGAGAGAGATCGATATATTGCACGTTTATACCTACACGTATATATCCAGAACGGGCTGGACGGTTCAGCCACTGCCAAAAGCTCTTTTTTCTCTGCAAGCTCCGCATTCGTGGTCCGGGCTGTACGCAAAAGCCGAGTGAAAGCAACGATTGCAATTTTCTAATGCTTCGACAGCATCGGACACGAGACATTACACTAATTTCTCCGGCATAATGAGACTTTCGCTTAACCGCGAAAAAATTCACGAAGCTAGAGTAAGTTAAGGATCGCGATTAACGTAATTTTCTTCGTTATTTTTACTCGCGATGATTGCACTCGAGTGCTTATCTCGCCGAAGCCCGAAAATCGAAATATCGACCACGAATACGGACTCGAAATAATAATTCGGCGATGAGCACCGAAGATCGCGATCAGAGCAAGGATCAGAAGAGAGCCGACGGAAGCTAGAGGAGAATGACATGAAGGGTCGAGAGACTCCGGAGAGAAAGGACGCGGGATGTCACTTCGCGAACGTTGTCGATCAAAAGGCAGAAAAGAAAGGAAATTGTAAGGAAGAGGCACGACGCGTATAGTATAGAGTCAATTGATCGCCTCGTGTCGTCAAAGAAGAGAAATTTTCCCCGCTACCTTTCTCTCTCTCTATCTCTCTTTGCTTCTTTCATTTCGTGTCTCCGACCCTAAAACAATTCTCGCGCGATACGGTAACCGCGCGAACGATGGGGACAAAGCCGGGACAAAGTCATTGTGACGGAAAGAATAAGAAAAAACAAAAAAAAAAAAAAAAAAAGAAAAGAAAAATGACAAAGACTATAAGAAAAATCGTGGGCGTCTCTTGTCCTCCTCTCTCTCTGTGTTTTCTGTAGGTCGACAAATCTAAACGCGTGCGGCGAGTCAGTCTCGACGCTGACCCGTTGCAGCCCGTTGAATCCGCAACTACCACCACCACCACCACAACCTCTTCATCAATCACCACTTCCTACGCAAGTAACCACCCCCGCCACTGCCACCTCGGAGCCGGTCCACGAGCAGGCCCCCCCGAATCGTGATCGTGACCATCACGCACTCCATCTCGATAATCGAGATTACGAGAGCGTGTTTATCATAGAGAGGCGGAACAGTAAGCCTAACCTCCGCTAGCCACACAGAAAAAAACCAAGTACTATCACTACTACTACTATTACTACTACTACTACTACTACTACTGCTACTACTACTACTACTACCACTACCTATTACCGCTACTATTACCGCTACTACCGCTACTACTACCATCACTACTACGTATCCGAGACCACGGTTGCTCCCAAGAACCACGAAAATAAGCTCCCGCCGACGGTATACGTATATGTGTTTGTGTGTGTATAAACACGAGCGGTCCGTCGATCGATCGAACGAATCTGTCAGATCGATTTCACAAAACAAAACAAAAATCTCCATCGATCGTCGTCGATCCACCTCGGTCGATCGAGCGAGCGAACGCCAATTGCCGGTGGGAACATGCCCGTTACTACTAGTACCGCTACTACTACCACTACTGCTACTACTACCTACTACTATGCGAGACTACAGCTCTGCAATGTTACCTGCTAGGACCTACTAATATACCACCTACTATCTACTACTACTACTTAGGATGATTGTCATGACTGTAGATGAGATCTGCAATACAGGCAAAACAGCTAGGAGTTCACACTAGTAACATCCAGTCAGTACCCTAATACCTTCGTTCGGCGGCCTTAGGGAGTACATAGATAAGGGATCGAGGCGGTAGATATTGGTTTTTTTTTCTTTTTCTTTTCATTTCTTTTCCGCCGATTTTTTCCGCACAAAAGACTCGCGACACCTCGTTTTATGCATATACTCACTGTATTATAGATCTTCGTTGCTTCTTTCACGTTTCGTTTCGCGAGATGAACTACGGGAGTGAACGCTCTAACGCGGTTATATTTGCTTCCTTTTTATTCTACATATTATATTGTACTTTACTCATTTCTCATCGCTCTGTTTTATTACGTTCATATATATTTCTTCGTTTTACTCAGAATTTTTATTGTCATAAATTATTATTAATATTATATTACTTTATACTCTTTGACTCAATCTCTATTCTCTGTTTTATTCTTCGTATTATTGCTCCTCCGTGAATCACATTTTATGATACCTTTGTGCAAACTTCTTTAGAAAATTATGAAGCGTTTAACTCATTACCTTTGTGTTAATGCTTAATTTACTTTTTCATTATTAAGCGGTAATTACCAATTTGTACTCAACGCAATATCCATTCACGTGGTCATTCTGAGGAATAACTTTAATCTGTGAAAGACTGTAATTATTCTATATTGCTCCTGATATTTTTAAATGAAAAAAATGTTACATTTATTATCGTTTCTGTATACAAATACTGACTTTTTCAGATAGGTTGCGTCTCTTAAATAATTTAAAGAATTTCGACATCTCTTTTCGCGTAAAGTTTCTAAAGTTTTTTTATCTCTCTATGCATTTTTTTTTTATATATCGCTATTGTATTCTTTGTCATATTTATACTCACATCTTTCATAATTCTCCATATCAAATTTTGATTTATATATCTATTAATATCTAAACTTTCTATCATTCGTACTTCTTTGGCTTTTTACAATATTCGACACAATTGCAATATTTTTCAGAGTATGTCATGAAATTTCAGAGTTTTCTCTTCTATAAATACTTTTATCCATTTATACTTTAATTATTACTACCTTCCAGATAATTATATCACAAATATGATACTAAAAGGTATATTATTCTGTTAATGCGTTCTCTTATTCATTCACTACAAATCATTACTATATCGCTTGATTTTCACTAATGCTTTTACCTATCACTTTACCATGTTTAATTAATTTAATCATTAACTGACAAATAAATTTACGGCTACTCGATGTGTTATTCACGTTAAATAAATATTGTTCAACTTCATTTCTTGAGTTACATTGTTGCTCTCGAAATAATAATCTCTCTCTTGATATGAAAATGACTCGTATTTTTTTAAATTAACCATCGAGTTTCCTTATAACAACTTTCTTTATTATTTTACTTGTATCGCGCAACACAAAGATTTCTCTCTCTTAAATATTTCTTCTTAGCATTCATTGAAATTCACTTCATAAGCAATTAATAGAAAGTTACTGGTGTATTCTCATAATTTCGCGTATTTTTAAAATGCAACTATCAAAATTTTCAGAAGTAAATCGTATATCATTTAAAATATTTATTATAAAGAGAGAGATTATCCAGTAGCTTGCTATACATTTCTAGACTATTTAACCAACTTCGTGCATGTTATTTAATCATGTTTGTAATGTCTTTTTTATTAAAGACAAGCTATATATCAACAGCTGTTGAAAAATTTCAAAGTACACATTTCATCGATACCGGGCTTATGCTATATATCTTCACATTAGTAATCTTATTTCGTCATATTCACAATATTAATCAATCTTTACATCTGCTATTTTCACAGTATTATCTAATACAATGCTCTATCCATCTCTATTTCTTCATACATACACAAATCGCATGCAAGTATCACTTTTGCTCAGTCAAACACAAAAAGCAGTATTCCGACAATTGGTCGTTATGAAGGAGAATATACATATATTTTGTCAGAGGGTTTTGTCGAATGAAAAACTTGGATTCATCAAGTTTCTGAAGCGGCGTACAAACGGCGCGTAGAGCCGCAACGATTTATTACGGCCAGTCGGAGCTCTAATTCAAGCTTCTTGTGTTATTTGATTGTTTCCAGTCTGTCGATTCTAGACGACCAATAAACAGACACGCTCACGCTTACACGCGAACACTCAGCAATAAGCAGGGCGGAGATAGGTAAGCCGCGCTCGTTGCGGCCACGCGAAAACTCTTGCATCCATCATATATATACATCTACCGTTGTCGTATTTTTATATACCTGTTAATCGTTCACGATACTTTCCTGCATTTCTCCCCCGTTCAGTCCAACTCGAGTCGATATTTATACATTTTTCAATCTCTCGGTCCCTCCTTTTATAAATCTGTAATATCTCATTATCACTTGATTTTTCTATCAACGGCACTTTTTCATTTATCGCGATACATACATTTCTCGTTTTTCCATTTTCTTCGCAAGATCGAGTGCTTCCCCGACGAACAAGAATTGCGAAAAAAAACTCGATCGCATTATTCAATCAATCTTTGTAGCGTGTCGCATTATTCTCGTGTGAGGATTATTTTTTATCAAAATAAATGATACTCCACAAATCATATTAATACGCCGATGTAATCTCTTTATTTATTATGAAGCACTCGACTGACCATTCATATATATATATATATATATATATATATATATATATATATATATATATATATATGTGTGTGTGTGTGTGTGTGTGTGTGGGTGTGATATCATACATTACTACATATTTCATTGTGTCTTTGTTAAAAAATACCTTGTAAACGAAAAAAAAAGTATATGTACCCGTTGCAGATTTTTGTCCACTTCTGATATTAAATCCGATTAGTCGATTCGATGTATGCCACGGCGGTGAAAGCGCGTCTCTTCACCGACACCTATACGACACAATTTATCTATTTGCTCCCTAACACCACCGCCTAGAAGTAACGTTCGGTTATTTAGCGTTATATTTCTTATTATTACCGCCACGATATATTGTTTTTTGTGAATGTAATCGTTGTGTTACAACATATTCTCTCTCCCCCATCTTTCCTTGCTGCCGGACCCGATGAAGGAGGAGAAAAGGTGACGAGTTTCGGAGCACCAAAATTCACAATTGCTACATATATTCACTGATCAAAGTCTAAAGTACAGAAAATCGTGCAAAAAAAAAAAAATAGTAAATTCTATGAGAACGAATCAAAATTTTGTTCGAGTAAAAAAAGAGAGTATATACAAGAGAGAAATATATAAGATTCTCGTTTTATGCAAAAAAATTAAAGAGAGAATTCACTGCCGAAACCATCCACAACCCACGTCACGCCCGATCACTCGTGCACCGGAATGCGCATGCGCATGCCTTCCCTGCCTGCATCCGTTATTTGTTATTATACGTACAAGTATAATTAATTATCTTGATAATTATCTTGCCATATATATATACATATATATATATATATATTTAACTTGAACATTGGCATTTCCGTTTGTTCTAGTACTTTATTTAACTTTTGTTCGTTAACGTTGCGTGTTTTTGCCGTTCATGTTGCACGTATTTGCTGTACCGAGCGGCCGATGGATCACGTCGGAGGAAGAATAATTTGAAAAACTCGTATCTCGTATATCTCGGTGAGATATTTAATTAAACAAGAATGCTCCTCCATGGACGAGAGCACTGCTTTACAAATAAATCCACGTGTACAATGAAAACGAGTACTGAAATTTCCCGATGTCGCAAAAACTTGTGGATATAAATTGGATTAAAAGAGAGAGAGAGAGATACAGTTTCTATTTTCATATCAAACACATGTCGTTCGCAATAACATAATAACCACTACTGTGAGTGTCTCTTTGCTTTCGTGTCATTTGTGTCGTACACGCTAGAATTTGCAAGAACCGCTTACGCTGTTGAGAGAAATTTCGGTACTCCGTAAGAGAACTTCCTCCGACGATCTCGATCGGACCGTATCCGCCGATCACCACCGCCGCGATCGCTCTAACGCTCCTTCTGTCCTACCCATAGACCTAGAAAAAGCCGAGTACCAGGTTTAAGCCTCCTGAAGGAGATCCTGAGTCCGGATACCCCGGACTCGTGCCGCTGTCGTCCGCTGGGCAAGATCTCGCGGGCGGCCGACGGTCGCTTCGTCGTCGCGGACTCGGTTCTCAGCTCGGCCAACAACAGCATCCTGGACGTCTCGAGCAGCGACGACGGCGGGTTCCTGCCGAAGCAGCGGATCAAGTCCTCGTGGCGACGCCCGCTGGTCGGCATCAGCCAGCTCAGCCTGAGATCCGATGGTAGCGGAGTATCGATAGGTCCTCTGCCGTCGGCCTATCATCACCATCATCACGGCGCGATCAACTCCCTGGCGATCCCGGCCGTGAACGTCTGCGCGATCGCGTCGCCCAGGTTCCTCGCCAGTTCGCCGAGCGGGACCCAGGTGCCCTGGAGCCCGCTGTATTTCAGCGATCTCAGCTCGGTCAAGCAACCATCCTCCGGCGAACGTTCCTTCCCGACGCCACCCGGCTACCTGCAGCTCCGTAGCGTGCACCAGCGATACAGCCAGGAGTTACCGTCGCTCAAGGCGATCCACGCCGAGTCCAGGCGATTCGTGCCGGTTCAGCCGCTGGCGACGTCATCGCCGCCGCAGCCAGCCGGACGACCCAGAGCGAGGCTGCCGCCGAGACACGCCAGGCACGCCCGATCGGCGCCGGAGCTCGCGGCCTCGCCCGATCTGGAGACCTCACCCGAGAGTAGATCGAGCAGTTCGGGTTTCGGTAGTAAGAACACCTCGCAGCAGAACCAGAGCTCGAGGAGCGGTAGCACGGTCGCCGAGTGGCGACCGCCACCCTACAGGCCACCCCCACCGCCTCTGGTGGGTCGCTGGCTCGAGCTTCAGGACCAGGCCAAGGTGGGGCATACGCACATACAGAACGCCGTGGACGCCGGCAGCGTCGACGGCCATTACGAGTTCGATCCGGTGTCGTGCACCCCGACGCCTACATCGGCCTCGACGCCCACGCGGGAAGAGAGACCGCCGATGCATCAGATCCACGCCATTCACGTTCCCCACATCCATCAGGTGCACACGGTACATCATCAAGCGCCGAGGTACAGCAGGGAAAACATAGAGGCCAGAGTACAAGCGATGAAGGAGGAGTTCCATCAGTTTCGCCAGCGACAGGCGAGAAGAAAGCAGAGCGCGCACTTGGAAAGCGCGTGTTGAGACAGTCGAAAGACCAGATTTTTCATCATCGATCGATCGATGGTTTTAGCGAATAGAGTTCGATACACGATGTGTGGAGAGACAACGCTTCATTCAAGCCGGAACGGTACGGTAGATACGATGGTGAGCAGTGGTCATTATACGGAGGAAAAAATTAACAATTTAAGACGTGACGATGAGTTTACACTTTAAGAGCTGGCTCGGAGAAAGCTAGATTCAAATCGCGATTACAAAGGTTTTGATACTGGCTTTTATCTATCATAGAGAATCGCGTTTCAACACGACGATGACGATGACGACGACATGATCATCACCGAAGACCAATCACCGCAGCACAACGAGGATCATCATCACACGTGATTCCGCATGAGAGGAGTTAAGTCAATTCTAGTAGCTGGACATCCATCTACGAAAGAAGGCTGTTATAAGCATCAGCTCAGGATACATAAGTTTCGCACGACCACGGGAGACAGGAGCGACGTAGTAAAAGAAAAAAAAACCGTACGTTATAAGACGTTAATAATCCCTTCGGAGTCTCGTCCGAATTAAGAGGACCGTCGAGTATATTCTTCGGGGAAAATAATCTCGATATCATTTACCCAGCGACGCTCTACGACCTCGGTCGCGCTGGGACAATAATATATAGAAACGAAGTGCGTAAACGAAAACGTTCGCGAATCCGATTATTATATTGGTCATATCCCGCGTACACCAACCGCGCCTACGTCCGGTTTAGAGGACCGTGATTTTTAACGTTATTATATAATATTGTAGAGGAACACATACTGACAAGTTTACACAAGGACGAAAATAAAGGGAGGACATTTCTTTTTTTTTTTTTTTCATTTTTTTTTCTATTCAGTGGAACTGTCTTAGAGCTAGGAAAAGTGCGCAGAGAGAAGATGACAACACTCCCGGCTGGCTCAAAGGGATGCTAATATAAATAAACGAGACGTCGTCCGCATCGCAATCGGGACGAGAGGGAGAAGAAAGAAACGGAAGGGAAGGAAAAAAAAGAAAGCGAGAAAGGAATAGTTACATGCGTTTCGGCATGATACTCCAAAGAAACTGTACCACTGTACATGCTCCGTATACCTTTTAAACGAAATGTAAGGTTAAATTTAATCGTACACTGTAAGTAATAATTAAAGAAAAAAAAACGAAAGAGAAAAACAAAAAAGTAAGATAATCGAAGAATTACACAACACATACACACACACACACACAGAGAGACAGATACACACATACAAAATAAATAATTATATCGATGAGCAATGGACTCGAAACGTGATATTAGGCCGAAGCTTGCCTCGAGATTGCTTAAGGACTCACTCGTACTGCACTGCCTGTTTAGGGTTTCGCTAGCGACCCAACATATTATCGGCACAATAATTTTTCTTAAGCAACGTAAAACGAGAATAAGAATAACGTTCTATGAATCTACGCGCGTTCGGCCGGTATAGCGCGACAATTGCACGCGCACGCTCGTCATCCGGAGATCTACCGGTCGTCCTTTTCGAAATTATGTAGATTAGCGATGACGCGAGCACGTTGAACGGACGACGGACTCTCGATCGGATTCGAAAGAAAAAAAAATAATAATAATAAGGAAAATCATACACGAAGGAGAAGAGGAGTCTTTTTTTCTCTCAACGAACTGCCAATAAAGAAGATCCGATCGCGCGCTCGGATTGATCTCGTGCGAAAGGAGCGTCGACGTTGAATAAATAAGTAAAACTAAAAATATATTTAAGCGAGGAGAAGAGGACGACCGATAGAGAGAGAGACACGCGACCGTCATCAACCGGAAGAGGCGTGCGCGTGCACACACACGCGCCGATCACGCCGGAATTCGTGTGTGTGTGTATTAGGGAGGAAAGGGAGTTATATAAAAACACACAAAAATCGACACACTCATTCACACGCGACAGCGTGTATATAAATATACACAATTATACGCTGCAGAGACACACACACACAGACATACGAACACAGAGGACACACACAATATGAGAGAAGCGTTCTTCGAGACCCACCTAATTCTCACCAAACGCATCAGATCATCTCGAGTCTCGTGAGATCGGGGGCCGGCGATCGCCGATCGAGGGGGTTTTCGGGGCGAATCTACGGGCTAATTCAGTGTCGAGCTGCGCGACCTAACGCGAGAACGTGTCCCACGTGTTTCGCGGACACGTCCACGATTAAGGAGAGACCGGCGGCGCACTCGCGTTCCTCTTACCCTTTTTTTCTAAACTCTCTCTCTCTCTCTATATATATATATATATAAATATTATATATATTATACATACGGGCGACCGTGAAGACACCCCACGTGGAATCGCGATCGGCCCGGCCCGCGACCCCAGGCATTTTACTTTCTTTATAGTACAAACACTTATTTATATATACGTACGCATATTATACATATTTATTATAAATATTAGCAAGGGCCCTACACTCTCACGATTCAACTATACTTCGACGAACCGTAATGGCGAGAGGAGAATGAAGAAGAAGAAGAAGAAGAAGAAGAAGAAGAAGAAGAACGATGATGATGATGATAATGAGTAAGGAGTGGCGGTGAAACGTCACTTCCGTCGAGACGGAACGCTCTGTACAATTTCGTTAAAATACGCATATATGCATGCGTGCGTGCGTGCGAGAGAAGATGAATGTTGCGGAATGATGAGGCTGAATGAACGGAGTGCGAACGCGCGACAGTGTATGGGTTAGAACGCGAGAGCAAATGCGGTTGTTGAAACACAAGACGAAGCATAATGTAACACACACGATCACGCAGAGATATAAAGCAAAAGAATAAAAATAATAAAAAAGAATACGATAAAAAAGTTACGGAGGTGACGCGAAAGAGTACCAATATTCTAAAGTAATTCTAATGGTTGAATTAATAATTTGATAATTAATTGATATTGTAAATCGTAAACGATGTAGCGTGTAGCGTATTAATCAACGAGATCGACGAGAACGCGGCGAGTATTTATTAATTATTATATCCGCGCGGAGGAATAATTATGATAAAAACGGGGGAGGTGGTACACCTTGTGAAGAATTCGCGCTGAAGGGATTCCATCATCGTGAAAGATCGTTGACATATACGTTATTATTAGCGATATACATAAACGTATCGGGCGCGTGAGAAGATGCATGTAATGCTGAAAGGTGTCAAGGGAATAGAAATAAATTTTTCTCGGATCAATCGCGGGGACAAATCTCGCGTGGACGCTGAGATGAAACGCTTTCGGCAAAGTGGTGATAAAATAAAACGCTTTGTAATCGTACACGAAAGATATACACACCCTCTCCCTTCGACGAATGAATGGATGCAAACAAGAGGAAGAATCGCGTACGTGAGAGAAGGTGATCCAACCGATATATAGATGTATAAGTAACGTGTAGATATATATCATAGTTAGATACAACGATCTCAAAAAAGGTCACGCTGTATGAACGATCGCGATAAATGTGCGAATGAATGAAAGGCGCGTAAAACGAAGAGAGAAAATGAAAGTGAGAGAGAGAGAGAAAAGTAAATGAAAGAAGAGCGTAAGAAAGCGAGAGACAGAGATGGAGAGAATTTTGAACGATCTTCCGCGTTATCCTCGAGCCTACGTAGCGCGAAAAAAAATGGCTCATACGACAAGATGAATATGTTCGAAACATGTCCGATGACGGAAAAGTGAGTCTAGGGAAACTGTGAAAGTATATCGTGGTTCTGTTGCGCGAGAGAAAGATTAGGAAGAAAGAACAGGATTATAGAATGAAATGACAGTTTTTCGCTTGACGGCGTGTTTATGGATAATATGGTTGAATCGTGAATCCGTTCGTGTAAAAAGAAAAGAAACTTCATCATCACCCCCGTCACGTTATACTTTTGTTATTCGTTCGCGAATTCCTTTTTCATGACCCGTGTGGATTGATTTGTTTGTCGTTGTCATCGCGCGTTTTGCGTTTGCGTATCCTCGCCAGCATCGCAATTTAATCTCGCGCGAGTTTGTGAGCGAAACGTCGTGATTCGTGGATTAATTCATTCGAGTGTTTCGTTCGTTATTGTACCTGAAAGCCAATCGCGGCATGACGCATTGTTTGTAATTCGCGAGCGAAATTCCGCGGCCTCCTCGAAGCAGAGACGTTCGCCGAGAGATTTTGACATTTCGCGATTCATGGCAGCTTCTCGACACGTTCAACAGTCGAAACTTGCGCTTATATTTCGCTTATTAATCGGTTCGTGTTAGAAAAATTCTAATTGTAGATAGTTATAAATATGTATTCCGCATAAAATGCAATCGCGCAACTATTGTGACTATTCGCAAAAAGCGAACGCTTGACAGATACGACGATGACAGATTGCAAATGAAGCATTAGATAAGTATGTAAAAATTCATAGTTAGTAAATCTCTCTCCGCGATCTCTCATATTTAAATCACGATTATTGTAAAAACCTTGAAAATACTTTAGTACATCCGCAATAATAAATATTCAGCGTCTTTAGTGACAGAGATTTAAATTGCAAAAAGCGACGATACTGCTTCGAGGTAGTACAGTGCGCGCGTAAGAGATGAATATTTGATTCGAATAGCACGTGTAAGAGATGCTAATTTGACGTGAAATATGCCAGTGTCGTACATTACCGCGATACTATATCGGTCGAATAAAATCACGTCCCTCGGTCGAACGCGAAACGCACGTTCATGTCAAATCCAACCAAATGGCTCTCGGGTACTGCGTTTCTCGCTTGGATCTGCGATTATCTGACTCGCTTCGAATCTCTTGAGTTTGACAATCTTACGAGATGATATTTTCTGGCAATATAATATTTTAGAATTTTTATTTCATTTTTTTTTATCTTAAGTCTGTACGCTCTCTCGCAAAATTTCAAGATTGTCGCAGTTCCAAGCACGGCATTACGTCATCGTACATTGGCAATATTGCTAATAATATTTGTTACGAACTGAAGGAAAAAGATAGAGAGAGAGCAAAGAATTTTTTTATATTCTTCTAGATTATATATCTATTATATATATATATTTTTTTTTGTTTCTTGTTGAGTCGTTTCAGAATATACTTCCACACTTATAATCGTTAGCCTTCTCACGCCCTACATCGAATTGCTTCTATACACACATGTAACGTTCTTCTGTACTGTCTATCCTCACTTCCGCTTATTCTCGACTATATCCGCCGTCAAAAAAAAACTTGTACACGGTGCGTTAAATCGTTTCGTTGTCACTTTTGTAAATGCTCGTTGTTCACCTCCATACCCAGTTTAATTGAATGATCTATGCTTTCTCGCGAACCCCCCCACGAGAACTCCAAGACGTACTAACTTAGGACAAATTGTAGACAATTTATTATTAAATAAAATGAAAAATAAATCGACATTTGAAACGAAATAAGCAACGTTTCCAGCACACTTGCATTGCATTGATTAATATATCCCATCAAACATATGTATTCCCTTGACAACGATCAATTTCGATGTTGCACTCCTGTGACATATCAAAACTTTGATTTTTAAATATTTCTGAGAGTATATATTTCCAAAGATTTGACAAGAACGTACGATATAATCAAATTAATGATATAACAGCTTAACATTATAAAACTAGAGAAAAAAGAAAAGATATTTGTTAGATTAATATAAAAATATACATTTCATAAAGCAACTCATTCGCCTGCAATTATCTTTTACAGAAATGCAATTGCATTACAGGTACATATTAAAAAAATACTACATTGATGAATATTAAATAATATTTATAATTATATATTGGAAATTAATGTACATCACATTATTTGATCACATCGTTAAATCAATTTATAAGATTAACTATTCTCTTTTTTAACTTGAAATTTGCACATTTGATAAAAATAAAATAAAAGATGAAATTGTGCTGGTCACGGCCAGAATAAAAAAATCGAATCACTAGGCAATTATCGCACATTATTAAGCTGTCAGATAAATTAAAAATTAATCTACATTTTTTATATATTCTGTATGCGATATAAATATAACTAATTATAAAAAAATAAAATATCCGTAAGATAACTAAAGAAGACAACTTGTATAAAACACGAAACAGTCTTTAAATGAGAATAGATTTTAACGTCTGATAAACAAAATTATAAAATCACGACGCAACTGTAATTTCCTTGAGAAACTATATGAATGTTAACTGTCACAAGAAGCATTTACGCAAGACGTCTACGGCACTGATTAATGAAAATTACCGTCATTTCCATTATTCTCCTCGACATATGTCGCGATGTTGTACCACAAACTAGAGCGCGGTGTTTCATTGCAAAAAATCTTTTATCTAAAAATATCTCTCTTGCTTCTTGATACGTTGATACAGATATCATTTTTATACCGTCTACAAATTTTCAAGAAGCATAAATCGTTTCGGAAGACAGAGTATATTGCATAGATAAATTATTCTTCAGCTACTACCTATAATCTACTCTGTATGATATTTCCCTTACAAAGGAGATCATATATTGCATTTTTGTGATAAAGTACTTGAATAATCTGTGACAACAGTTCGATTACTTAGCATCGAGAAAATATGCTCATAAATCGTCTTATACATTATATATTTACTGTAGAGATGTCTATTATTATGAGTCTCTCAAGAGCAATACGGTTTATACGAAAATTATATTTCTATTGTATATATTAAATAATACATTACATGAAGAGTATCGCAAATAGTACAAAAAATTATTATTTAATTGTCACGTAAAAATCAACAAATTATAAATAGTTTTATTTTCTAACAATACGATAATTTGTGCAAATATCGATTAATAATGCAAGAGCGATTATGGAGAGATTATGCGGCACGAGATACTAATGATACAGAATGATCCACTGGAATAAATCATCCCCACCAACGACTCACTCTGAAAGAGATATTTTGCAATGGCACACGATCGATTCGAACCACGAACAGGACAGGTGGACCAGGAACGAGCCGTTCCCTCTTCTGCTCGCGTCAACGATGAAATAATACGGTCAGTATCATTATGCACGCATTTATTTCCAGTGTCCCGGGCACGTCCAATCCTGAATCGTGATCCATGCGAATGGATCCATTATCTCAACAGCATGACAAGGCTGTGGGCAGTCTGCTAATGCGGCAAGGGACGGATGTGACGTAATCTGAGGTCACCCACGCGCGCGCGACTGCTCCGATACAGTTTCGTCGTGCGACTCCGGTGCAGGAACCTCATCGGAAATCGATGATCCCTCAATCGTGCGCGAAATGCATTTCGCCGATTTGACATTTGCCATTTCGGTTAAGCTATATATTTTTACGACAGTAAAGAGCACTTTGCAATCTGCTCGATAAATCGCATCACACTGCGAAATAGATCTTTTTGACAACTATTTGTACAAATACATATGTATATGCAAGTGACAGTTTAGCTTATAAATTCTATGCATTAAATGTAAAGAAGAAAGCAGGTACGTCAGTTATTTTAAAATTTTTTGCATTTTTTATTGTCTTTATATACAGATTGAAAACATATATTGCAAATAAATATCGTTTATTTTCTCGATTAAGAATGCGTCGACGCGAAAGGCAGGTTGCCAATTTCATGAACGTAAACAAGTCGTAACCGGAAAACAGCATCTTAGCTAAAAGAGCTCCGTAAATGACAATTACGCGATGTAGACGCATAAATAAAAAGGTTCAAAAGCCTTGCTGACATGTATCATGAGACTTTATTTAATATTCCTTCTCTTTCCTTTTCTCTTTCGTTTTTCTCATATTTAAATATTTTTTATTTCACATTTAAATACAGAATTTAAATTAACATATTTTTTGCGCATTATTATTCATTTAAATAAAATTGATATTGTTTCCAAGTTTCAAGAAGTGAAATAATTTCGCTTTCTCGTTTTAATAAATAAACAATTGTGCCTTTCAATGCAAAGTACGATTGACAAATCTACATTGCAACCGTGTCGTTTAAAGAGATCAAGGATTTGTGTATGTAACCGAGTGTAGCGAACTTTTAATCTCTACTTGTACTGCACGCGGAGCTCAATTCTCTCGAATCAGCTTTGAACCAAGAAGGAACAGCGATGAAAGAGCGCGAGTCGGCGACCGAAGATAAATTGTGAATACAGGTTAATTCTTCCGTTCTCGTTGTGAGAGCACGAACCTCCATACGTTTCAACGACGACACCAAAGATTGCGCATTCTAAAAGATTCTGAAAAGATACCGAGCAAATGTTACTATGACTTAATTATATTCATTATTACTTTCGAGAAACGCATTGTTGTGTCAAGTAATTACTTTCATTAAAATTACATATTAAAAACTATACATGCAAAAAAAACAATGAAAACACTTATGAGAAATTAAAAATATCCACTATCCTCTAATTATCGTTTCATCCCATTCAACGAATAAAATATCGAATTTCTGTAAAAGATAATCTCTTGCAAAGTACACGCTACGTCTTCACATTTCACAACCTACGACAACGTTAATTAAAACGTTACTGCTTCTATATCGAGCGATGCGCTCGTTTCGAGAAAATACAGGGGCTTGGCCGCAGGTTTTTTTACGGGATCGAACTAATTGGGTGTAATAGGCTACGTTTTTTTTTCCTTTTTGTACAACGTCGTTCATTCGTGTCGTCGTGGGTGTGCCAAAGTTCGCATGCGACGCAAACCGGAGCGTGCACACCGTGCCCGTAAACGTAGAATCGTGATGAATCTCTCTTGTATGTATCCCTCCCGCTTGCATAGCCGGTCCATCCACCCTCGCAGCCCCCTCCCGGTGCTCATTACTCTTGGCTCTTCGTATCCGCTTGGATTGAGCGAGAGCACGACGCGATTACTCGATTTAGTGTCGCCTCCGGAGCATTCCATGGTGAACCAACCTCGTCTCGGATCGAACCGTGTGTCGTTTGACAGCGACACCGGCGCGTAGATTACCTGGTGCACTTTCGACGCGTTCTCCAGAGTCAACGACCCTTATACCGGTGTCCCGAACGAAGCTCTGAATCAGGACACAGCGGTGATCAATTGCGATTCAACGTCGCTTGAACAGTCAAATCGACGTTCGAAAAAAATCGCGGGATAACCGGAATAAACGAAGACGAGGAAAGAAAGTGTTCGGAGAACAAATTTAAATTTTCGAGAGCTGATTTGGAAGAAGAGCACGAGGATAGTCACGCACATTTATGGCGTGACACGTCAGTGTGCCGAGAATTGAGCCAGAGGGTGGTCGCCGATGTTCGATGAGTGCGAGTGGTGACAGATGTGTCGGTTGTTGTCACGGAGTGTAACCTATCGTCGATTCTGCCTACGCGTTCTTACGATACCGGCGTGTTGACGTGATTAAGTGAAAACGTGAGATATAGGATCGAAACGCGCAAGGATGAACCGAGCCGTTATAGTCTGCAAACTTCTGGCAGTCTTCTTCTGCTATGAAGGTAAGAAGAGAAAGAGAGAGAGCTTCGGAAATAAGGTTCCATATTTTTAATACGTATTTAATTAATAGAATCATATCTCTTATTACTTACCTAAAATAGTGATGAATACAAAATATTTTTTGGGGAGAAGGCAATTTTTGTTATTTATGAGCGGACAATATGTTGTGAAAACCAGCATTACAGACTATCATAAACGGCACAATTTGCTGATTGGCAAGGCGGATTAAATTCAAGATCATCACTCAAAAGTGTTTAGATAAACATTTTGTTTATCCGAATAATTTAGTACGCAATCATCTGTTTATGCGAGGGAACAGATAACAACAACGTATCATTCTGTTAACGCGCTCGATCGTCGCGCATAATCCGGCGGAAAATTACGCAATCTCCGGAAATTAGTCCCAATGCGTAATATCACTTTACACGCGACGTTTTCTCGCGGGCATTTATCCATAATATCCGTCGCCGAAATACGCAGATAAATAAAAAATTGTTCGCAGTAATCGAGATGATCGAGATTTTAAATCGCCGGTTTTTCAGTCTGCAGCTACAATTTAATCCTAGAAGAGGATAAGGAACCGACTTACCTTACCGCCGGGGTAGGAGAATATGCGGTATTTAATTGTGATCTTGATTTTCCACACGAGACGCCGATTCCGTACGTGCTTCAATGGAATCGTCACGTAAGTATAAACTCGTAGAATTAAAGAAAAACGCATAATCTCTTGACCGATGATGCATGCAAACTCCCTCAGGAAAAATATTCTTCGATCGTTTTAAAATTCCGATTACTCTTTTTATATCTCTAATGTAGCGTGTCGGAGATGACATATAATTTAAAAGATAAAGATTATTGCAAAATATGTAGGATATAGTAATGCAAAAAAATTAATATTACATGTATTGCGTGATTGAAATATGTGTTATTATGTCATATGACATTATATGACATTATATGACATTATCTTGCATCGAATACCAATTTGTTACGTAAATATTTATTAAGTCATTATAGAAAAACAAACATGTCTACTAATGTAACATTGATTTTTATATTAATTGCAATATTACCGGCTTGCAAAAAATTAATTTTATTGATATCAGGAAACTTATATCGTTTATTTGAGATGCGTGTTTTATATATACCTATATATATATATATACATATATATATATATACATATATATATATATATATATATATATATATTTTATTAATAAAATACAATGAAAGGAAATGTAACGGTAAGAAACATTTTTATTAAAATAAATTCAAGTAAAAAAATAAATATTCATGTTGAGGTCAAAGAGAAAAGAGTGATTCATTTTAGCGACGTACGCATTTAATAACATACCGCACGTAACAATGGTAACACGACGACGTGCGATTGACTGATTGGCGATTAAAGAGCGTTAAGGCAGGCTGTTACTCGGTTAATTTACATACGGACGTACTCGTCGCCTTCCGGCAGAGGCGCGTAGGAAAAACGTTCAAGGTAGGGTAGTTTATCCAATTTCTTCGAAATTATATCTGATTCCGTTGACATGACAATCTATCTCGATCTGGATTTCCATATCTCTCTTCTCGATTTCAAGTAGATATATAATATGAAACGTAGAACGTATTGAATATCTTATGATATACAAAAAGATGCAAAAATATATTCTTATATAATTATATCATTACATCGCTGCCGATAAAATGGTTCCTTGAATCGATTAAAGAAAATGAAAATAACAGATAGACGCTACAATTTGTATCTTGAGAAAACTCTTTTTAACATCGATTTTCGTAAAACGGCAAACAATAATGACTCAATGAGGAATTTGACCGAATGGAAAGTTGCGGATGTCGCATCGGACAAGCGACATGCGACGGAAACAGATTGCACGTGGTCATCGCATAGAATCAAGTGGAACTTAACCTGATTGGTCCCTGATGCGTATGCAAAACAGGTGCTTCTTCCCTCTTCGTCTGTCCGTCGTGGTAATTGGAGTACGGGACGCAAGGCTGCATTATATTTAGTCACGTTCACGTCTGCAGCATGAGGGGTCCAACTAGTGGGTCACTGTTAATGCATTGTCAGATGATTAGAAGCGATTAACGCGATTCTCGCTCCTCTCGTCAAACGTATCCTTATTCCGAAGGTTCATTTTTTTAATTGTCGATGAAAGAGTTTGACTGGCCGACAGATCGGTAAATTAAGAAATGCCGGAAATAACGTAACGAATCTTGAGTCATTAAGCTGCGTACTTCATTAACGTGAGACCTTGCGTGAATACAACTAGAGTTTAACGCACATTATGCTTTTTCGTTGAGTCGCGTGAGTCTTGCATTCCGCGAAAGGATGACCCAATTAACGACCATCACTGCAGTTACTATCAGATTACGCGGTTGTAATTTTCTCAAGGTTCTACCTACGATTGAATTTATAAATCGGTCGTTCGAAGAATTAGATATTCTTTGATTAAAAAAAAATTTTTTTAAAGAAAGTAAGTGCAATTACTTTTCATAAAATACGTCTTTTACAGAATTCAATGACAAGAACTAATTTTTGTATAATTTATCAAAAAAATAGATATCCGGAAGAAATCTTAATAATATTATTCTATAATGCTACAGAGCCGTACAGTATTTTCCTGGTACGATGGACACGTGACGGTGGATATCTCCTACAAGGGTCGCATACACTTGTTGGACGATATCGGACATCGTGGATTTGGTCAGGGTAGCATAAACCTCACGAATATTCGTGAAAGCGATCAGGGTTGGTACGAGTGCAAGGTGATCTTCCCCAATAGAACACCGAATTCTAGACACAATGGCACGTGGTTCCATCTCGCCATCGATGGTAATTCTCGTCATTTACAATTATTTATATTTGCATACAAGAAAAATTGTGTAATGAAATTAAATAACAGAAATTTATATATTTACATAGACTAACATATTTATATAATATATATACCAATTATTACTAATTACATAATTTTCTATGGGGTACAAAAATATACCCCTTAATATGTATTATAAATACATATATCAGATAACACAATAATCTGTTAAATATTACAAAGTATCTGCCATCAATATTATCAATGATGCAATCAAACCTAACATGTTAATGCAATTTGATGCTTAACAAAGAATGACTATTAAATTTGGTCCGATGTGTGCGAGCTAACCGAGCTTATAACTGTGAAATTCGTGCTCTAATTTTTTGGCAAGAGTCTTAAATTTAATTGTTCATTTAAGCATCTCCGACTTCTCTTAAGATCCAGAAGGCAGAATAAAATAATCCATCTTAATTAAAATCTTAATCACTCGCGCTTCCTTTTTCTTATTTGATGCATTGTGTTATTTGTAATTTTATTAAATTATTTTTATTTTTACTAAATCATTATGAGGAAATATTAAAAATAATTATGGTTGTTCTTGAACGAGATTTACATTTTGATTATTTATAAAAATTTTAATTATTTTAAAGAAATTATAGAGTTTAATAAAAGAGAGAAGTTATATTTATAATATTCTCTAACAATAAAATTAAATTTATCGATTGTACTAATTGAATAAAACTCACGAGTATCATCAGTTCAGAAGTCTCGTTTTTTGTAAATTGAATTCTATGACATAATACGAGAGAAGACTGAGTCATTCATATATTCGAACAACAGCTTATTTATCATGATTTACTGCGGAAAGCGAGTATTTTTGTGTTAGAGTTAATTCAAGGTTTTACTCTAAACTAAGCATTACATGTTTCCCATGCGTATTACAGAAATATCGCTCTGAAATAATAACTCATTAAATACGAAATTACCATGCATTTATATACATATAGCTTATATGATGGCTCACAATATTAATTTTAATACTAACGGATTTGTTTGACGCGTTTGCCAAAACTGAAAATGCAAGTGACTTAATTAGTCGTCTCGTGCCGTTAATCCCGCTGATATGAAGCAACCGATAATAATAATAACGATCGAAAGAACATGAGCGAAAAGATATTATGTAACCCCGCTGCTGCTTACTAACCTGAACCTGAGCAGACTCGTTAAATCGTTCAACCTAGGTGCGTCGCCGTTCCCGACGACTGTTGCAGGCGATACTTTACTAACGGTACCACCTGTCAATAAGACTGCCATGGAGGGCGAAAGTGTCGATTTTGAATGTGTCGCTAAAGGCAAAAATACGACCGTAGCGTGGTTTCGTGAAGGAACACCGATTCCGGAAATACAAGTACAAGCATCTTTGTTTTTGATTTAATTCAATCAACAATTAAGGGGATCCCTCAGCAAATGACGAATCGTATTTCTAATTACAAATTTTTATTAGACTTTTAATCTAGGTTTAGAGGATAACAGTGCTTTCTTTCGTGTCCTTTAATCCCAGGGAATGTGTATTTTATTCGTACAAAGTGCATATATTTTATATAAAGCACATATTATGATGAAATTGACAGTTCGTCTGCAATTCAAGATGTTCAAATCGAAATGAAAATAAATAAGAAAAACTGTTATTTCTCATTTTTCTTATCGAATCGAGTTTCCCTGGGATTATTGATGCATATATTGGAATCGTAAAGAAGCATTTTTAATTCTATATCAAATTAAAAAAGAAGATATACTAGAAGTACGAAAATATACGACTGCGTCGATAAAACAGAAATCGAGAGGGATCCCCTTAATACATTAAGATGTATTTCAATGTTTTACAAATTACCGAATTCATTATCGCGATAGGATCTCCAAAGAAGAACGTCTATCGATGCCAACGGAACGTTGATTATAACTTCAGCTGCCATGGGTGACCTTGGGGAATACACCTGCGTGGTGACCGGGGAAAATGGCGACCAACAAAGCGCCTCGGCCTTTCTCAACGTACAATGTGAGTATCGTAATAATATCGCCAAGTGTGACATCGTTCAATTATTTCACATAATCAAGTCTCATTATCGATAATTGGCATCTCCATTTTCTAGATAAGGCAAAAGTAATTTACGCACCCCGGGAAGTCTATCTTCCGTACGGCAAACCAGCCCTCTTAGACTGCCACTTTAGGGCGAACCCGCCTCTTACGAATCTACGTTGGGAAAAGGATGGATTTCTCTTTGATCCTTACAACGTGCAAGGAGTCTTCTACAGGAGAAACGGATCTCTCTATTTTAGTAAAGTGGATGAGACGCACGCGGGAAGTTACAGTTGCACTCCTTATAACGAATTAGGTACCGAAGGGCCCAGTCCTTCGATCACCGTAGTGAGTATCTGTCATCGCTACAAGATCAAAAACGATACAGATCGCAAAAAAAAAGAGAGAAAAATTTATCAATCAATATTTTTGTCATATCGAGTTAATTATTACAGATAGTTCAACGACCGCCGGTGTTCACAGTCACACCGCAACATTTATACATGCGAAAGCTAGGCGAGAACTTGGAAATTCCTTGCCAAGCCAGAGACGGCGATGATTCGCGTCGACCAACTATCGTCTGGTACAAAGTACGACACCTTGATTGCTAATTAAATACGTTTCATACGTATACGTACCATTTTATAATAAAATAATCTTCTGTTGCGAAAGGACGGAATGCCTTTGTCGCCCGACAGAAGTATCATAACCGGTGGCAATCTTACGATAGAAAGGATCCAAGAACACGATCGAGGATTGTATCAATGCGCAGCCAGCAACGAGGCAGCGACGGTCGTCGCTGATGCTGAGTTAATGGTATTAAACGTCCCGCCTAGAGCGCCGTACAATTTAAGCGCCAACAGCAGCAAAAATGCCGTCACTTTGACTTGGATACCTGGATACGTCCGACCCAAGATGGAGTATTCAGTATGGTAAAATATCTCGGTTGTTCGGTAATAACGATAAAATTAAATTTTGAAGAAATTTCTGTATAATTAATTAAATAAAATACGTGTCTTAATTAAATTCAATTGCATACGTGTCTTGTATGCGCAGGTACAGACCGACGGACACGTCAGAATGGAGAACCATGAAAATTCTTTCGAGAAAAATCACGGAGGCGACGGTCAACAATCTTTATCCGGGACGAGAATACGAGTTTATGGTGTTAAGTCAAGATAAGCATGGGGACGGAATGTTCAGTAAAGCGCTTCGAGTATTCACTCAGCCGAGTAAGCTTATCAACTCTCACTCGAGTAAGATTGTCATCCTCAATCATATTGAAACGTGCGCAGATATACATATGTATGAAGTAAATTAACAAACAATTTCTAGGTTCCATCGATGAGAACTCGGCATCGGAATATCGCAGTCCGCAAGGTGAGTGAAAAAAAAATTGAAGAACAGATTTGATTACATCTCATTGTGAATCGAATATTTGAAAACTATACGAATCATTTTAGAATATGAAAGCATGGGTGCGCCGGTTAACGTAAGGGTTCAAGCAACAGTCGAGGGTTACTTGGTTACGTGGGAACCACCTGAATACGGCAAGAACCAAGTTAGGCTTTACACCGTGAGATGGTTTAGAGGCCCGTCCGAACATTTGTACGGAAGAGCAGAAACAACCGATACTTATTATCTAGGTAAACGATTTGTCAAAAAAAGCCATTCTTTTATGTAACAATTTATTATGTGTAATTATCACTTTAGAAGTTAATTATTATATATTACCGTGTTTAAAAAACAAACAATTGAAATCTACAATTAATATCGTTTCAGTGAAAACTTTGGAGGAGGAAAGCTTCTATACTTTTGAAGTGGCAGCGATGTCTCTTGTAGACGACGTAGCAACTAGTGATCGAGTCGGCATAGAGGTACCTGCTTATCGTCGCAATAGAGCGATTTCCATGGGAATCGTCGCCGGTATAGCTTTTCTGGCAGCAGCTCTAGGAGCTATATGGTGGGCGAGAAAACGGTTTTGTCAGCCGTCTAATGAGAAATAACCGAGCGAACTTGTGGAAAGCACATGTGTGTACTCAAGCAAGATAGTTGTTCGTGCGCATAATCGATTACAAGTATTCACGTCACTCGTGCGAAACAAATCGTTATAACAAGAAAGAACAGCACTACATTTCTCGTTCGTGAAATAACACAGAGAAAGAGCGCACGGTTCTATCCAATGCTAATTTGTGCATTTATAAAAAAAAGATATAGGTTTTTGAAGCCTAGTTAAGGACATGCATAAATAATAAAAAGGAATAGTATCAAATATTATTATTGTGTATGCAACCGAGTGTGAAGAACAGAATTAATATATTAGAGACATGTAGATTCTTGAGTATCACCTGTGTAAGCGATTTGATTTTATTTACCGACCTTTAATCTAAGTTTCTTGAGTGTTCTTGTATCGTTAATTATGTCATACTTTGTGTATCGTTTAACAGCTTTATTAAGTAATTGCACGTTATAAATGGCTAGACTTTATGCAAGTTATAAGTCATTGACCGTCAAATATGAGACTGCGTGTCAAAAGAAATCGTCATTTGTAATACATTTTTTCTTTTTTTATTGTACATAAATTATGCCCATTAACGATATGCACAAATATCTTCTTCATTTCTTCTTACTACTTGTACTGAATTTTATCGACGCAGCATTGTTACATGTATCTGTACATTACAGCAATTACAGTCAACAATAAAGAAAATTGAGAAAATATATCATTATGTCAGTCAGTAATATATATTACTTGTTTCGTAAACATTAAATATATAGTCTACATAATTATATATTTTTTAAAAATTATAAATTTTTCGAAAATAATGTTTATATATATATATATTTTTTTTTTTAATTAGACGTTGAAACATTTAAAAATATAAAAGCGATATTTACACATAATTATGACCTTTTCTTCGGAATAAATTAATTTCTGAAAATGTTCGAAAAATATTTGTACGGTCTTTTAGGAGTATTGATACTCCTAAATTATAGTATTGAGACATGTTTGCTACTATGATCACCTAGATTATATCGTATCAGCGAGAAAGCCACCCGAATTCTATTTAGACACAAAATTGCATCTGGTAATTGGCTCTCCCAATCGATGTACATTTATAACACGTCGTTGTACGAGACGAGCATGATGAAATACCGGGTGTTCTTACCAGTAAGTATACGAGCATTGACAGGCTTCGTAAGCGGTCGGCTGATACCTGGTGATCCACAAAAAGATAGTGTTTCTGCATAAGTGGATAGCTTGACGTCGTGCTTGCCAGAAGATAATGGCTTCTTCCAGTAGCTCGCCATTGGAAAAGCGAAGCGATGTAAACACGAGGCCGCTTATGAAATTTGCATTTCTACGTATACAAAATTATCAACGATAGAAAATCTCTGATGATAGTAAGATCAGAAAACTACGCATCCTTGACCGCAAAAATTGTTACTCAAAAACTATATTATGGTTATAGCTTATTCATTTTTTTTAAAGAATACTTAAAAATAATAATGTTATTACAGATTCACTTTAATTTATAATAGACGTATTTACAAGCGAGTAAAAACCATCCTTAATTGATACCGCTTATTTACCGTACCATAAAAAGATATTGAAAAAATGTACGTATAAATTTCACAATATCTAGTAGTAATTCAAAATACCTATTAATTTTTTTACGTAGTTTGACGTAAATCAATAATACTTTGAATATTTTTTGGTATATCTTGTATATAACACCTATATATACAAATCTAATCATCTAATTGCTGAAATTATAACATTAGTATTACATGTAATATTTTAGAATTATCTGTAATTTGTTGGAAAAATAGCTGCATAATTACTGCATATTGAGTTCAACAACAAATCATTTTAAATAACAAATTAAATATTTAATCATAAAATTAAATATAAATATGATATAATAAGAAAATATTATTTCCTACTTCGATTAAACTTAACCTTTTACCATAAAAATAAATAATTTTTCTGAGTCATGAATTAAAAAGATAAAACTTATCAAGAAATATATAAGATTTTAAATGTCAAGATAAACATTGTATTTGTCATAATAATGATCGAAAATAACATGATATATAATCTATGCATATCTATGTATTATTATCATCGTTATCACAAAATATATTGGAGTATTAACACTTCTTCTTTTTATCTCGTATTTTAAGAATATAATAGCACATTCTGTGATTTCTTAGTTATTATTTCTAATAATATCACTTCATTTATCTGTAAGTAATCTAATAATATCATTCCATTTATCTGTAATTAGTCTAATAATATCACTCCATTTATCTGTCTGAGACAGCCATCTTATAATGACAGATAAATGGAGTTATATTATTAAAAATAATAACTCAAAGATCACAGAATGTGATACTGTATTCTAAAATACCAAATAAAAAAATATTAATAGCTACAGTAATAATTACATTATAAAGTTCACAATCATATTAAATGATTCAAGAAACTGTATCCGCTGCTTGAGTATCATATACAAGTAAATAACATACAACAACAATACATATATATGTGTGTGTGTATATATTTTGCAAAATTTCAATATATTAATATTATACACAAATATAAAGAGAAAACAAAGGAAACAGATTTGTCAAATTTACAAAGCCTTTATAATTAGTGTAAATTCTATACGATGACACTACATATTGACTCGACTGTTAAGGCTCGCTTCCACTCGATCGTTTTCGAACAGACTGTATCTCTAACGAGTTCTCCTATCTTTATCTTTTTAACGCTTACGCACTCGGTTCCACGCCTAAGTCCTTCAGTCTCGGCGCCTTCGTCGCCGTCATTCAAGCCAATTTCGTGAAGCGCCGGCATCTGGATAATTAGTTGGATTCCTTTTTCCGAACAGACGCGACGATTCCACCAGCTGATCACGTGCTTGACTCGCGTTAATGAGGCAAACGTTCGCGAGGTCAACATTACTGGCTCGGGTCAATCAACGGGAGTGACGATGAGATTCGCGAAGATGCCAAATGCTTCTGACGTACGCTGAGCGACAACTAACTTGCAACGAGGGTTCAAGAAGAGGTGGTGGCACTTTAAAGGCTTGCTACCCGTTCGGAGCATCATCATTTTCTCACTCGGATTGCATACGGTTTCGACTGCGCGTTGTTGACGGATCGTAGGTCACCGCAGCACCGGTCTCTTAGTTCATCCACCCCTCCCACGAACCAGTAGACCTCGAAATAACCGGTAAAACGAGAAGGAAAGCATTTCCAGTGCATTGAACGGGGACCAAAATGTCAGAAAGTGTTTAAAATACAAGTAAAGAAAGGTAGGCCCATGCGACACAGAGGCGAGTGAGAAACTAAAAGAGAAAGAAGAGTGAGAGAGAGAGAGAGAAGTGAAATACATCTGCATATTTCAGACACATTTCTTCAGGCATTGACGCGTTTCATTTACATACGTGGGAAATTTAAGAAAAGGGAGTCGAGATCGCGAGAATCGAAGATCGAACGAGGAATCGTTTGGGTAAGTAAGTTGAGAGTGATTACTTATAATTAGAGATGCTGAGAAGCATATCGGATGAACAATTGTAGGCGCGATGATACATGGAAAAAAATAACTTTGCTGTTGCAGCAAAAACGTCATTACTGTTGTATATTTTACGTAACAGCAATTAAATTTGGCTGTTATAATTGATTTTTAATTTATTTAATGTTACAGCAAAATATATATTTAATTGATAGAATAAAATCATTTTGCTGAGTTAATTTGTTCATATAAACATATTAATTTGCTATTAAAGCAAAATAGTTTATTTCTAGCAAATGTATATCATTTCTACAGTAAAATCAATGGCAGAGTAAAGATAGTTTTTGTCATTATAACAATATAATTTGCAGGATTAGCAAATATACTTTCAACAAATAAAATCATTCTTAATCTCTTTCTAATAAAAGTATTCTTAAAAAATCCATACTAACGAACTACGGTATGTAGCATAAAATATACTGTGACGCTTATAAGTTAATATCGCACAAATACCTAAAGAAATTCTTCGACATTTGATGTGGCAATGTGTACTTTCAATTTTATCAGAAAAGATTTTTGTCATTTAGATAAATCGCATTTTTATTTACAATTGCTCAACCCGCATAATAATCTTCATTTCGCTTAAAAAACTTGTGCGATATGATAATATGTATTAGAAACAAACTTTTATCATATAAAATATAGTTTTTCTACAATAATTCCGATAAACTTCCGGTATGATTATTTTATCATTAGACGCGCCACTTTCTTTATCTCATAAATTCTAAATATAGATAAGGAAATACTGACAGAGGGTGTGTATGAAGTACAAAATCGAATTACTTCCGTTCGATACACTGACGCGATCCGACCATGCGACAATAATTTATTCATGATTACGTAACACCATAAGGCCCTCAACTATTTATCTCTTATCGGTAGAGACGCAAAATTTCTCTTCGTAAAACTATTTATCATATTTCTGAATTAATTAGTCACGAAATTATTAAGTAAAAAGAACACGTTCGCGTAGTAATGAAAACAATAATTTACTGTCCCATGCAAATTATGCGTCTCGACTTACATTTTTTTCCACGGTAGACGTCCTTCGCGAAAGCAAAATTTGTGGACTCTCCTTGAAATGCGATTGCAACTAACATGTATTCGATAAATAAAAAATTCACTTTAATATCGGCTTAATTGGTGGAAACAAAGTTAAAATGTGCCATAAGCATGCAGAGGAATTTATCGTCTATTTCTGTGAAAGTGGTATAAATATTAATACCAATAAAAGCGTTTAAAAAATTCAATCATTTTACTTATTTTCATATTTTAATGATATAGAATGTGACTTTTTTTTAAGACGAAAAATATAGCAAAAATCTTATGATTTGTTTTAGTAATGTAAGATATAGTATAATGCTACAAAAATGTTAGGCTATAACTGATAACTCGGTTTAAAAAAAGATAACTTGTACTTTTACACAAAGCAAATATGATAGCGCGTAAGCAAGTATTGTTATTAATCTTATGTAATTTCATATATGTTCAAATTTCCTACAAGATAATATTTACAATTATCAATATTCAAAAAGAAATATTAGAAGCTAAAAATATCAAAATATGTAAACATAAAAATTTTTGTTTTCGCGATAAAATAAGAACACACAGCGAGTAAATGATTATATAATCGTTATTCGGAAAAGCTTAGTTAATATATAATAAATTTTGTTCCGCATTGATTCATCATTTTATCAAAAACACATATTCGTGCATTAGTCCTTTTTTCAAAAAATTCGTAAAATTTTAAATTATATATGCCTTTATATTTATGATTTATATTCCACAATAATATAAATATACGTTCTCACTTTGAAATTATTTATAGTACAAACCTTAACTGTTTCATGCTGAATCATAAAATTGACGAGATGAAGATAAAACCCAATCGCGAATTTAAACGGACGACAAAAGTCTCTTCCCACGTGGTCCGACTTAATTTAAGTTGAGGGGACTTGAAAGGGAACGAGGGGCGCGGTCGCGTGAGGGCGCAAAGGACAGACAGACTCTCGCAGAAAAATTCTCCCTAAGAGGGGATAAGAGACCATGCCTGCTGATCGCAGTACCCATCAGTAACAAACGCGTCGTATAGAGAATCGGAGCACAGAGTCGCGCACAGGAGTAAGCAGTCCCTGAGAGCTCAACGGATATTTTATCCGTCGTCTTTGTTAACAATCCGATGATACGGTTTCCCTGCATATATTAATATTTCAACACTTGAAGACGAAACCAGACCAAACTGTAACTTTGACATTCTGGATTCTGGAGAGCAGATTTTCGCGCTGACAAGTGAGTCTAATTGTAAGTGAAAAAGAAACTTGATTTTTGAAGTTAACGAATACACGTTAATATAGAAATATCATTAATTTTGTCATTTACATAATGAAACGTACAGAAATATCAATTTCACCTGTACAAATGAAAAAAATTACAATACAAGCGCGGAAAAAGTTCTTCTAGTTTCTTTGCTTCTTCTATTATTCTAGTTATACGCAATAGTGTTTTATACTTTAATCATAATTTATCATTAATTTATTGTCCAATAACCTCTGATGTCAGTATATAATAATCAGATATGTATAATGACGCGTAGATTAGAGATAAAAATTCATAATGTCATGAAAATTTATTGAGATTACATATAATTATCTAAATTTGACGTCTTTTGGCTTTTATATTAAAGGATAAATGAAAAGTAATTTTTAATCTTGTAAATTTTCGTTAAAAATAACAAGACAAATCGATAAATCACTTGCATAGGCAATAGACATTGTTGCATTGACTGAACTTCAGATAACCCTGCACGATTGTTATTTATAAACCGCGAAATGACTTGCTAAAAATTATCATAAGCATAAATGCATTAATAATATAAATCATTATAGTAATATATAGATCGCTAAAATAAACGATTTTCTCTCATCAAGAAACGCAGATGTTAAATTGCTCCATTTATTATAGTTTGAAATCACCTTATTTGTCCCATGTAAATGTAGATGAGATTTTTTTATACATATATATTATTCGTCAAAAATAAATTATATGTTCACTTTGCTTTTATAACTTCCTAAGTTGGTAATTTCAATGAAGAAGACGTTTTCACAAGTTTGACAAGTTTGAACTCTATCAACATAAGATTAAATTATTTTGAATTTCTTATATAATATGTACCTCTACATGTATATCAATAAAATTAAAAACATTTGAAAAGAGATGACATTTCTACATTTATATACATATATAATAATATACATACAAGTATTTTATTCTTATATACTTAATTATATAGTTAATGTACAATATACTTAATTAAAAAAATAATTATTTAAATTGTTGAAATTATATAGTGTGTTTTTTTATATACGGTGAGTAAAGTTTTATGATAATAGTATTTTTATCAAATCTGCTATAAATTTAATTTATGTAAATGATTTTATTACAAAGCAAATTGTACGCATTGCTAATTGCGTTAATTTACTAAATAATACGCTTTGTATACATATATATATGATACATGACATTGCCCTATTATCATTATCATTTACTGTTGTATATTTCAGCTGTTTAATGATTGTAATATATGTACATATTATATACTTAATTAAGTAATTACATTACAATATTAAAATCTTAATCACATAATACAACTTTTACGTTGTTTGGCAAAATTTAATTTATTATCATACACAGATAGATATATGTCAAGATTTAATCATGATATTTTAAATGTTTTTAATAATTCCTTCGATTATACACATATAGGCACACAATCATTAATTATTTTCTTGGACTTAGCATAATTTGTATTTTGTATAATTACTTTTGACATAAATCATGGACTTTATGCGATAATTTAAGTGGCTTTGATTAAAACGAAAAAATCGTAAAATATGAACAAGCGCTCTATAATTTATTAAAGGTTTTGCGTGCATTTCTTGATGTGCTTCAATTGTTTGATAAAGTCAATTAACAAATAATATATCTAATTTATTAATGTATATAATTTTATTTTCGATCAATAATTTCAAAACGCGTAAATAAATATGATATATGACTACTTTAGCATAAATATATTATATTAATATAAACAATATTTCACAGCTTTTTTTAATATCAGTCAATCATGGTTCGCGTATATATTTCTTATTTATAATAAATTTCATAACAAGTCCATAATAATTTATTTTGTTACAATTGAATTGAAATGTTTAATATTGTCATGGTTGTATAAAAAGAAATCGTAAACAAAAGAGCTAATTAATGTTATATCGATTCGCCTAACAATGTACATGCAAGGTAACGAATGTGTAATCAAAATGTTGTAAAATGAATAAACAGATCTTTTTTGCACTGAAAACTTGAAAAGATAAAGATTTATCTTGCAAGATTTATCTCTCTGCAATTACTGAATTATTTTACTATTTCCATAATTGCGATGCAAGTAATTATTATTGATAAGATTTTTTACTACTAATCTATATTCATTAGCAATACATTTTATAATAAAAATGTTTATTAGAGTATGCATGTATATGCAATATATATATTTTTATTAGACTTGTATTTACGTCATTATAAAAAGAGGGATAGAGAGATATAAACATAATATTGTTCAATATTCTTTGTACTGAACATTTAGACAAGTATTTATTTTCTGATTATTTTAAATGTAAGCAACAAGTAACTAATTTTTAATTTTTAATTTTTAATTTTTAACTTTTTACATATACTTAAGTGGATTTCTATTTCATAATATAAAATTTTTTAATTCAGTTTATAATTACAAATATTAAAAAACTTGGAGAGGATGGACGATCATTGCCGGACTGATAGCCTTTCGCCGACTAACGATGAGTGATTGGTTTGGAGTAATGTTTAAGTGCCACTCCGAGGTTTTAATAATAATTTTAAAGTATTTATTAATTAGCCGGATGAATTATTTTAATTCGATTTTTGCTTCTAATTGGGACTTTTCGTGTTGAACTATTTTTAATAATTTAAATTTATTGTTAACGTATTTCGCCTTTTAATTTTGACATAATTATTTAATTTATTTTGACTTTGTATTGCGATTTTTTATTAGAATTTTTATTTATTTTTTATTTATTATTATTGTTTTATTGCGCGCTAAAAAAGACTAAGTATAGTTCGAAACGTTTGTAATTGGTTTTTTAAATTAAAATTTTGCCAAGTTTTATAATCATTTTTTTTATTGCTCGTTTTACATGGCCTCGTAATAAGCTATCATTGTGTTTAAATGTAAGTTTGAATTTGTAATGCAAATCATTGTCAATTACATAGTTTAAATTTTTTATCACTAATATAAACGTTTTAATGGTTCATTTTCTAATGAAAAGTTTCTATTATAGCAATAATCTTTATATTCACTGTGTTCATTATATTGCATTTACATCATTAATAAGTAGAGAAACCGAAAGTAGAAGGTATATAGAGAAATTGATATAAAAATATCAATACGTGAAAAATCCACAAAATGTGATAGATTGTTATATATTACGCTCTATTTTCTTGATTAAAATGCATATAATCAATATAATTGCATCACACAAAGAAAGAAAACTCAGATTTACTATTTCTTTTTCTAAGAGGCCTCGAATATGATACCGGACCCGGAAAATTCTAAAGACCTCGTCCTATACGAACCTCACCCAGTCGCTTTGTTCAAATTATCCCATACATTTCCAAAAAGTCTTAAGATGCTCACGGATGAGCTCCAATACCAGTTGACACGCATGAAATCAAGCGTGTCTATATATTCGTGTCGACGCCTACACAGTCTTGGCCGACTAAGGAACGTCACCGAGCATAACAAGCTGAAGGAAACGCGCCACGCATAGGCAACACACACGTGCATGTACATAATACCAGCGTATACTACGAGGCGTAAACTGGCCATCTCTTTCTCTCTCTCTCTCGACCATGTAGCAGATTAGATACGTTTTATCTTGCAGACTGCGAAGCGCGCGGATCGTTGGCCGAGAAGTCAAGAGAGTGAGAGAAGTGATCGAAGGGGCCGACTACTGGGAGTCCAGGGTGCACATGCTGCAAAGACGAGGATCAGTGTTTGCGGAGACACGCGCGTCGCTATGAGACCGTGGACGAATAAGTCGCTCGGCCTCGGCATTTTAGGGCTCTTACTGGTGGCCCTTGGGATCTCTCTTTGCTTCTTACGGCCGCTATTCTTTCACCATATACTTCAAAAAGTGAGTGCGGACGCGACAATTGCTTTCATCCGTGATAAATAATCGATAATAATATATATATTTTTTAAAGATCGCCTTATTTCATAAAGTGATAAGACTCGTGACTCTAATCAAGATTCTGTGTAACGTTAATCATTAGCTTTCTCTCTCGTTAGATCGCGCTAGTGTGTATTTACTTATTCGATTTCCACTCTAAACCTTGATAAACTGAATTCGAAGCGAGTTTGTACAACGCAAAATCCTCCATGTGTAATAAATAGCACATGAAAAGTTCAACTCTACTTATCTCTGTGATACAGATGTGAATTGCCACAGTATCATCGTTAAATTGTAATAAATTTTAAGTGATTTTTGAAAAACACATTTAGATAATGAAAAATAAAATATTTATTAAGGCGCAATCAAAAGAGACTCCCCACTTGAATTGACATTAAAGATAACATGCATATTACAATTTATAATTTAATAATTATTAAGTTAACATGTAAGTTACATATCAATTCTAACATGGCTTTTAAAAAAATTTATTAAAAAGAAATTTCCTAAAAAAAATATTAATTTAAATATTACAAAACGTAGAGAATAGAAATATGCTGATTGAATATAATTAGTATGGCAAAATATGCATAATAAATTCTTGACCGGTTTAAGTGCGATATGGATGTAGGATATCGCTTCCTCTTTGAGACTTGTCATGCTCATATTTTTATTTTATATATGTATGTACATATGTATTGTATATCGATATACAGACACTACCGCTCAAAAGTATTTGCCCACCTAGCAAACTGTGTTTAAATGACTATAAATAAATAAAATTTGTCTATTACTCTTTCCGGCCTTATAAAGCCCGACAATTATGCCTCTCTTCTCTTCAGATAATTCCTTTTTTTGACCATTTTAATTATCACGTGGAAGAAAAAAGAACAGAAAACTATTTTTGCAAAATATGCGTTGAAAGATGATGTAACTGAGGCAAATCTATATTCGCTACATTCTAAAATATCATCATAAAATAATTACTTGAAACACGCGTCTCTATAGAAAAACTTAAAAGTACTCATTCTAAGAAGAGTCATAAATACCTTATTTAACTTTGTAGCTATCTTTTAGTAACTATGAAGTGATATTTATAATATAGTTTTTAAGAACGACTTTCCGTTAGCGCATAAACAATAAACATCGATGAAAGGCAATAGACACAATTTAGTTTTCGTCTTAAAGTAAGGGTGAGCAAATACTTTTGCGCGGTAGTGTATATAGATACAATCAGTGGGAGAATAGCCTTGCTTTCTTGGGTTATCATTCAACAATAATATCTTTTAAAATTCTTTTACTCCTTTTACTTATTGTTAGTAAAGCAAGACATAATGTCGACATAAAAAAATGTCATCGACTTTTGAACGATGATTAATCACACTTACTGCTCAAACTTTTCCGAAGGGAACCGAGCACGTGTGAGTCGCGTGTTGTTTTCATTCGTGATCACACAAAATGAATCACACCCATGTGCACAATAATACCACGCATCCGACCATTCGTATGCAAAGAATCGTGTATATATAAGTGTATATAAAATCACTTGAACTAGTCTATATACTCCGCATTTATAGACTGGAGTCTCGGCGCTAGTCCCGAGCCCGATTGGAAAAGTGGCTGATTGTCCCATCAATTGGCGCGTTTCTCTGTGCATTGCAACCCGTTACTAAAACGATTTCACGTCACGGACAACACCGGTACTAAGATTATTCGCGAGCGAATAATCTTAGTACTGAATAAAAATAGGAATCACTGCGTATCTCGCTTCTTTCGCCTCCTCTGTCCTCTGTGTCATTTTCAAGATCGCGAAGATTACTGACAACTGCGCGGGTAGATTCTTATTCGAGATTATCTCGCTGCCACAGCTGCGGATCACGCCTTATTGAATAATCGGTTTAATAATTAATCAACTTTCTGACGCTTTAATAGCCTCCTAATCTCTCAGTCCGATCGTGTCAACGATACGATGTCAATGGCAATTTATTATCGTCATAGTACATTAAATTGGAATCGCGAAATTTGTTAACGCGACAATAGCGTTATACATCAGCGATCAATGATTTAATGTTGTTTGCGCAATGATACTTTGCAATGATATTGCGATGACAAATTTTTTTTTCAATTTGTATTGCGTTCACACGCGATGATTTCTACTGTACAATCTGACCGAGCATATTAACTAATGTCAATCGCAGAATCAGATTTAAGTAGCTACTTAAGCGTCGTTGTTAAGCAAAGTTATTGAAAGAATTCTTAACTCTCCTCTTGAAAAAATGAAAATTTTACATAACTTAATGCAAATCAGATAATTAAAATTTTAATTTATTTGCATACACAGGGATTGGCTCTATCGCCGACTTCCAATAGTTTCGAAATATGGAAAGACACTAGCATATTACCGCCGATGTACTTCAAGATATACATCTTTAATTGGACCAATCCGGAGGAACTTGGTATAAAGAAGCCGCGTTTGGAACAGCTTGGTCCTTATTCCTTTAGGTAAGAGTAACCTTCATTCATGATAAACGATTATTACACTCGATCATGAACGAGATATTCGAAACGAGTACAAAATAAGAAGGCACTCCCTTATATCGATGAGACTCAAGATCAACTTTCACTTGTGCATTAATCCGTTTTAAAATTTCGCCATATATAGATTCTTTTTTTATCAATTAAAATCGCGGAATATAAAATTTCGAGATGACGTACTTTACGCATAATCGTCAGATGAAAAATTGCAATCATCCAGTTAATGCATCTCGCATAATCATGTGCAGATTACATTATTAAATCATATATATCGTACACTTATCTCACTATCTTATAAATTATGTATAAATTATTTTATGTATACGCTGTGGTTTTTTAACAAATGACAAAAAACTGTTTAATTTTTAAACCATAAAATCGTACTAAAAATTAAGTAGCAGTAGACACTTGCTTAATATTGTTATGTTCGTGTGTCGGCCACGGACGTAACAATATTTATTATAGCATAAGATAATTATTTTGAATCAGTATGTAGCATTGTTAAGTGAAATTATAGATCTTCGTGACACAGCAAAAAAATTGAACAATTTTTTCTCAACAGTGTTGAGTAAAACTTATTATTAGCAATACATTATTGATATAAATAAAAGCAAATCATGTAAAAAAATAGCAACGATTTGATATGCACCGTTCGGATATTAATATAAAATTGTATTAATAAAATTTCTGTGAAGTTATAATGCAATAACAAACCTAATAATGACAATTAAGAAGAAATAGTTAACCTTGCTGTATTGACATTTTAATGAACAATAAAACATGCCAGTCCAATTGGCACAAGCGTGGGCGAGAAGTAATTGACTACGTAATTACTTTCTTCTCAGTCGTGCACTTCATAACAAGTGCAAGTTGCAAAGATGCACTTTGCCAATTTGTGTCTTTCGTTTGACTGATGGAATATAATTTAAAAATTTGTCAAATATAACACATTGACTTACAAAAATAATTGATGTTAGTATCTCTAATATAGTTTTAAATTCGTTTATCGTAAAGATATTTTTTATCATAAAATCAACAGTCTATAAATATATAATTATGTTTTTTAAAGAATATAAAAAAATAGCGATAATTTCAACAAATTGTTTCCTTAAAATGATTAATTAAAAAGATTTTATAATCAAAAAGTTACCGCCACAAATAAAATTGAATTTTAACTTAAAAAAAAAGCTTTATTTTTTTATCATTTCAGCCGATTATTATATATATAAAATCTTGATAATTGAGACATGCAAATAAATCTATGGTTTTTCAATGCAAGTTCAAAGAATGAACTCGTCAATTCATGCAAATAGCTAAACTGCTTCTTTTACGGATGTATTATCATTTCAAATAGCACTCTTTTTGTCAAAATTCTTCTACTATCATACTTGCATATCTGATCTTGTGCCAGTTACATGACAAAGATTGCGCCTTTAACAATAAGAGAACATTAGGCATGAAATCGTCATCATTACACACGTACGTCCTGTACGATTGCACAGCAATTGGCCCGTTAATACCAATAAGCAAAATATGTAGGTCAAATGTCTAAACTACGGTCAGATAATCGACTTCAGATGTAATGGCAAACGATGCATGATAGTGATTGCATGATAAATATAATTTATTATTCATACTAATAATTCAATCTCTCTCAATAGTACTTTCTTTTTAATTTATACATTTATAAACAGTATTTGTAAAAAAAAACATTTATAAATAATGTTTGATAGAAAAATCTAATAAATCAAGATGAGATAATAACAACAGAAATTATCAATGTAATTATAATTATAAATTACAGAGAGATAAGGCAAAAGGACAATATTACTTTTCATCATGAAAACAAAACTGTCAGTTACTTGGCGCGACGAATATGGTACTTCGATGCAGAGCAGAGCAATGGAAATCTCAGCGATACCGTCGTCCATTTGGATCCGGTTGTTGCGGTGAGTTTAATTGTATCTTTTTGTTGTATAAATAATATAATAAATTAGTTTGTTGATGTATAAATTATGTTGTTTATATAATATATAAAAAGGATTTGTGTAACAAAACATGTCCGAGTTTCCTTCTCCCGTAACACCTCCCAAATCTAATTCTATCGTGATGTAAAAATAGAACAATGCGAAGAAGCAGAGGTTCTCGCGGCGCGCGAATATTGTCTATTGTCTATTAATATAATATAGCGCTAATATTGTCTATTTGCAGTCGGCAGTGCACAAAGTTCGATACTGGGATTTCGAATGGCAAAAATCTTTATCCTTCCTCTTGGCTGGCAGAAAAATCTACACTATAAGAACAGTGGACGAACTACTACATGCAGGTTACAGCGACCCCTTACTTGCTATGGGCAAGGCGATGGTTGATGATCCTGAAATACCGGCTTTTGATCGTTTCGGTTGGTTCTACATGGTAGGTCGTAGTTAATTATCTTTTGTTTCTCAACAATGTCCAAGAGAATAAGAAATTATCTTGCAATTACTTATATATTCATTTTAATGATCATTCAGTTATCTTCACACGATTTCAATTTTTTACTAGTTGTTAGCCTTCAACAAATCATATATTGCACAGTCATTCGCTCTGTTTTTTTTTTTAAATCTCGGGAAATCAATGCTTAAACATTTTTTTCGCTTCACCATAAATTTCTCACTCCTTCGCAAGCTTTTTAAACTATTAACGTCAAGGATGATCATCCGAATAACATTGAGGATCGCTATGCGAGCAATGTGCGAACTATTATCAGATTAAATTATACGTCTATTAACACGAAGCACATAGTGCATGGAATTTGAATTGCATGACACTGGACAATAGCGTCACGAATGATAGTAGAGTATTTGCAACTGGGCTTAAATTAGTAATGAATAGAAGAGATCGTACATATACATCTGTAAGTTGCAGCGAATAAAATGCCCGGAAGATATAGATTATGCGTTGCGCATATATTGATGCTACTCAAAAATTGTATTTTGAATAATATAAAAATATATTTTAAATATTTTAATATTTTTAATATTTTACTTAAAAAATTAAGAAAGGCAAATCTTATATTATATTATATTTAATATTTTAAAACAATTACGCGATTATATATTATACAATGAAACAGTTTGATCTTGCAGAGACAATAACAGGTGACTCATCCACTCCGTGATTATTATTGTAGCATCATCTTTGATAAAAGAATTAGAAATGAAACGAAAACATAATTTGTTTTACTAGCAAGTTATTTTTTCCGAATCCTGATATAATTATTAAAAAGTTTAAAATTGCAACAGAATCGATGAAAGTCGTAATTACAATTCTATGAAAACTTGTTACACATATAGAGAAATGGCAGCACAGAGTTCGATGGACATTTCAATGTAGAAACAGGCGAGAACGACATCAGTCAGTTGGGAATCATAAGGAAATGGAATTATAGAGACACAACAAAGTACCATAAGAGCCCTTGCAATGTCATCGAAGGCAGCGCGGGTGAATTTTGGCCACCTGGCAGGACGAAGGATGATATTACTCTGTTTAGCGCAGAACTATGCCGGTTAGTAAAAAATAATATTAATTGTACAAAACAGAGAACAAAGTATAACATTATCAGTAACAAATCAAGCAATATTTAACAAAAACTTGAAGCTTCTGAACTTACTACCATATATTACATAATAATTACATAAACATTATTATATATTACATAATCGTTACATAAACTGTATCTTGTAATTATAGGAGGAAAATTTCTTGTCTTATTTATATTATTATGAGACATTACACACACTCACGCATAAATAAGTGTTCCATCAATCTTCAAGGCATTATTAGAATCTATTTAACATCATTTAAATATTTATCAATTCTTTCCTGAAGCATTGTAATGTGTTTTTTAGGCAATATTTTTTAGCTGTTTGTCAATGTACTATAACCTCTTGACTTTATCTATGTATAAATCTATTTTTTTCAGTCCACTAGTCTTTGAATACGAAGGAATAACTACTCACTTCGATATCGAAGGTTATCGATTCAGCATTGACAAAAAAACCTTAGAAAATGCCACAAAGAGACGTTATCCTCACGATCAAGCGAAATTTTTCGAATCAACCACAACTACCGAGGACTTCTTTGACGCCGAGCATTCGGCTGATATGGGATTCACTACCGAAAGCATCTACAATAATGGTCGTACATCCGAGAACATGGATGAGAATCCCGACAATGATCCGGATGTTATTAATATGGGTAATTGCTACTGTAATGGCGAGTGTACGCCATCGGGTCTGCTAAACATAACAGCGTGTCGTTATGGAGCGCCGGTCTTCATCAGCTTACCTCATTTTCACAAGGCTGATCCGGTTCTTCTCAACGCGGTTGAAGGTCTGAGACCCAACGCGAAGGAGCACAGCTTCTTCATCACTCTAGAACCCGTAAGTGGCATTCGAATTGCTAAACATTGCGAACATTGAATCTACCGCGACATGACAACGGTCAGTCAACTCTGCGCATGCTCTATTATCAAGATACTAATTTTACTATCACCTTTCATCCGGGCTATTCATAGCACGTGATTGTTGCGATAATATGCGCTATTGAAAAAGCAATAGCGTGTATTGCTCGCAGTAATTTCGCACACGCGTTGCATTGTTATATCGTATAATAATTAAGCAGCGTAATTATATAAGAGTCATACAACATGAAAACGCGTTTGATATTTCAGACAACCGGAATTCCTTTGGAAGTAACAGCTACATTTCAAGTTAACATTCATCTACATTCATCGGAGCTTGTGACGTAAGTATGTTTCAAAACAAAGCAATTTATTGAAAGTTATAAAAGTACATAATTATGTATATTCTTATAAAAAAAGAACGATCGTAATAATAAAATTACGATATTAAACTTTATGAATTGAAAAAAAGAAAATGATATGTTTGTTTAGACTCTTCAATAAAGTACCAGACATCTACTTACCAATGATATGGTTCCAATTGAAAATAGAAGTTACTGAGGAAATGGCGTCTAATTTAAAAATTTACTAGCACTTCCAATCGTGATGCTGTGTAGCGGCATAGTTATGACAATTATTGGATTATGCTTAATTGGCGCCGTGGCGCTTCATCTCGGAAGAAAACGACGTATAATTCAAACGGTATGTACATTCATTCTGATTGGTAAAAATTTACAAAGTTTCTTTTCTTTTTTGCCATAAAAGAGAACTATATTTTTCGCATTTTACAGGACGCCACGTCAGAAAAGATGGTCGACAACCCTGACAAGAAAACGGAAATGGTGTACATAGATAAAACAAATAGCAACGACGATAGTAACGTCAAAAGCGATCGCCGTTTGCACGCGAAACCCTAGTATAAAGAGCTTCTTCAGCGAATTATGCTTCCAAAACGGATACGTAAATGGTGTTAGGAAAATGTGTAATGGAAATAAGGCAACTCTGACATGTGAAGTTAATGTTAACGTGTTGTTATTCAAGTGAATGTTTATGTGCCTTTAGCCCGACAATTCTAGGACGACTGGACACACTGTCCTAAAATATAAATTTGTATTTAACAAAGTGTTGAGCAACACACAAGCCAATAGAATATATTTACATACAATTATTAATAATAATCAGTAAAAAAATTGCAGATAATTATAAAAAGTAAACTTATTATGATTGGAATTATGATATCGAGTACGTTTGATGTCGACAGATTACATTTCGAGTCGATATTCCTTAGCTCGAGTAGGAATAAATTTATTATACGATAGTAGAATGTACAAATAATCATTTTCTCTAATCACGAGCTGCTTGCAATCAAAGTGTAATATTGTATGTGAGACGAAGTGTGAAAGCGAATATACGGAGAGATATTATAGAAAGGTACATACAGATTATTCGAGCAATGATTATGCATCGTACTCTTTATAAAAAAAAGAATACAAACTTCTTTTTAAATTCGAGATCATATTCGCTTTATGAATATCGAATTCATCGTGATTGTTACATTCCTGCATGACGTATAGATGTAAATGGAATGATATTAATCTTGCTAAATTAATTTGGTACGCTAAGACTGACAGAACCGACGTTCGTCTCGAAAAGCTTTAATTATTCTTTATTACTTTTTCTATTGCAAATTATTTTAATTCGGTTATTTTTTATTAGTTTATTACATCTAGTTTATTATTTCTAGCTCATTACAACGTTAAAATTGTAAAATTGTTTTGATTTAAATAATCTGTAAATATATATATCACTCTATGCGATAGATAACTAGAAGATAATTCAAATAACATCAGCATTAAAAGATAGTTGCAACACAGACGAATGAAAGGTAAAAAAAAAGCTTTACAATAACAAACACACTACAACGAAACCGAATTTATCTTTTGCTTGAATTCAAGCAAAATATGACTGTTACTTCCCTTTTGATTCGTTTAGATTTTTAGACATTAATGGGGAGTACGAGAATTGTATACAACGAATTCTGTCAATAAATTAAGGATATATAGCTATAGGAAATATATTATATATATACATACTTATATATATACATACTATTTTATTGCAAATAGCAATATGCTATTCTTGTATAACAGAATATCTGTGATGTGCCTTGGTGTTATAATTGTGATTGTCGCGGGTTTTCGGTACTCTATTTACACAAGTATTTAGATATTGACATCATGCATAATCTCGAGATAACGTCGCGGTTTTTTAACATTTGAATCAATGTAAAAAAATTATCTCTTATCGTGTTAACATAGAATTAGAAAAATTCCAGTATACATGTTTCTTAACATGTGTTTCTTTTGACGTGTTATCATACTTAGCGTGTAGAGTAATAGTGTTATGTGCGTATTGTCCAAAGTTAAGTTACCATACTAATTTTTTGTTAAAATATATACACCTCACAGGATAATATTTATATGACAGAATTTGTGTGATACTCTCTTTTTGAATTATTTCTATTTATGTAGAGCAAGAATAGTCATTTACTAGTGCCAATGACATTTAAACTAAGCGTTATGTGTTCGACAATGAAAGTCTCGGCGAATGTTACCAATTTTAGCGTAATTTTACATCGATGATATGTAAGTGTATTGAACGGTTTTATGTTAAAATACAAATATGTTGGCCATATGATCCCAATTGGACAAAGTTAATTTTATATTGTATTTTAATAAAAGTTACCATTTTTATGTATGTGATTACTATTTTTATTTCATTATAGATTACTTTATTTTAATAAAGATTACCAGATCGTTGACCTCATATGATTAATGGCACTTTTTGAATAATGAAAGAATTTAATGCGGTATTTTTTAATTGAGAAATTTGTTTAAATTTTTTTGTCTTCTATATTTTTTCAACTTTTAATAACACATGCTCACAACACACAGCGCCAGATTTGATTTCTAAAATACCATCAATAGATAACAGGCTCATTCCATATTACTTACTATGAACTGCTAACACGAATTACTGCATTGTCTGTGAAAGTTCTCTTTCATTTCTGAGTATGTTTAGTAGCGCAGCGCTACGAATTTATCCCTAATAATTACACTTACTTGATACATAGGAATATTTATTTTAAACATGAAAAGTTGTGTATCATGCTAGAGTTTCCTATCTTTAGTATCATGCATTTGCACGGTGAGAAACGTTGCTAAAGTTTTGCACGTAGAAATGAATTTGCAAGAATAGTTTCGATCCAACTGGCGAATCTACAGTATGTCATATTCAAGTAAGAATACCTATATTAATAATCTCACTGTATAGATATAATAGAAACAAGAAAAAGATCTAAATATAACGCAAGTGAAGCGTTACATGCCAAGCTGATAAAGAACGTGAGGCATTGTTGTGCCTACTATCGATCACGAGTCTCGTAACTGCGAGTACGCTGTTTTACGGTCTTCTAAGGTCAGATCTAAAGAGGAGCTGCTGTATATGTAAAATTCATTTATGCTTGATCGCATCTGAACAAAAGGTGGAATGTGCAAATGAGCAAAGATATTTTACGTTTACGATTTTAAATGAAATATCTTTCATATACGAGATATACTTTGCAGCCTATAATATATTCATATCTGTAAGAGTCGTGACATATGCATAAAAAATTATATTTTATATTCTATCTCTGATAATAACTCTTACAATTCTTTCTCTTTAATATTGTAATTATTTTATTATTGTCCCCTTCCCGTAACTTTAATGCTCCAATAAAAATTATTATGGATAGAAATTATTAAGAATATTTATAGCTACACATAAACATTGTCCACAAACGCATAAAAGTTGAACGATTTTTAATCATAAAAATGATTGTATATCTGTGAAAAAAAAAGATGTTGGAGAAAGAGATTTTTTTTTTAGACTTGTACTTTATGAGATACTACATTTCTACTTACTTTTTATGGGAAACTTGTAACGAGATGAGAGACAATAGGACAACATCTTTGACATCGATATCCAATTTCCGATGCGCGCAACAAAATACACACACGTGTATGAAACAAAGCAGAGCCAAGGAGAAACGATAGAATATGCATGGCACGGTGCGCAGAAAGTGCAATATTCGCACGTGCGGATCTTTTTTCTTCTTTCTTTTTCACGCGATGCGTTAAGCTGTTTATCACATACGAATCGCGTAACTCGAGCGAAGTGAGATCACATATTTAAAGCGGCAAGCACGCAAATGTTGATTTTGAATGTTGAATACGGAGGCATGAATACGCAAACAAGACGTTAAACAAACACGCCGAGAGTTACGACAACGAGAGAGGAATTTTAGAAGATGAATAAGATCAGATTCGCGATACGGCAAGTATCAATAGCGAAGGACACATCGCAAATAAATCATCGGAAAGTGAAAATAATTTTTATCAGATATATATATCTTTCAGATTTCATTATAATTACTACTTGCATTTCCGGGCGATAAAACGATTAAAAAAAATAATTCTATATATATCTAGTTAAAATAAAATTTTTTCTTCGTTTTATCATCGGTTGTCAGGATAACGTATCAATTACACAATCGTTAAAACATTATATTACATTATATTTAAGTAAACATATTTGATTAATCATCAGTGAATTATTGATATGTTTTTTTATTGCGAGAGGAAAAATATTGAAATAAAAAAATTCCCATAAAATGTTTAAAATTTTTCAAAAGGTATATTTATCTAACGGGTTCTCTTTTATCTTCGATAAACTTACTCTATCTCATCTGTCCAATGAGGCCTGCAAAAAAGATCGCTTGTGAGAATGGAGTTTCGCTGTCGAGGAAACGCTCCGACTCTTTGGGATTCAGCTCCACTCTGTTTTTCCGCGCGTGCAAGTGAAATTTGCGATGACATTAGCATACGAGCGAAAATTGGAACGTCTTAATTGTCACATCGTGCCCGAGAATAGAATATTTTTTTTTAAAGTAGATGTACCTGAGCGAGCTTATCTCTTTCGGGACGACGACGAGTTTCGTCGGTTTTTGGCAACAAAGAATAGCGTTTGCCATATTGTCTCATAAAGGTTAATCCTGTCCATTGTATCTCATCGTGGCGCCAGACTGGATTGGAAGGTGACTCGGAAAAATTTGAGAAATACACAAGAAACATCCGTAAAATTGCCGATCTTTATCTAGATTAGATTGTCTAGGCCTCTGGGTTTATCTTCAAAATCGTTCCAAGAAACTTTGAAAAAGTTTGATACAGATACGAATGCGACGGACGAGAGGACGAAGAATGCAATAGTTATGTCGAGGATATACTTTACTTGAGGGTAAAAATCGAACGTTTCTCATAATTGAAAGCGTCCACCCAGCTGACTGAAGATGGCCATCGCGAATATTAAAAGAGCTCTCGCGCAGCGATATTTTCAACCGCGCTGGAAATAAAATGACATAAATCATGTAGGTGCGAATGTAGTGCGTCTGTAATTTTTTTCCATAAAATATTAACTGCACCATGCGCTATCAGATACGCGAAGCGAGAATATAATCAATGACGCATAATGGCTCATTGTATCATGGACACGAAGTTGGAGCAAACATTATCTATGCGTTGCAACGAGATCATTAAAGAGAGAAGAATTTCTCTCTGAAAGACGAGTCTCAATTCTAAAAAGGGTACAAAAGGGCCGCAATTTCAGTGTTAAATAAAATAAGCTGCCCTTCTCTCTGTAAAACTAGCGTGACGTTTATTCGTGAAATTAACTCATTAACACCGCTGACCCGTCGTGCCAGCTTATACATGTAAACGATAATTACATTTGTGCCTTTTACGAACGTCATCGTTGAGAAAACAATATATGTCCGATTCTAGACTCATTATCGACAATTATATTCCGAAATAAATTATATAATATTAATATAAAAAATGTGAATCACAAAGATTCAAATTTGTGAAAACAGAATGCAATGGAATATTTAATTAATTGTATTTAAATTATAATAATCATGTAACTTCTTTTTAATGTTACACATCAAATAATTAATTTTCTTTCTCGTTAGAATTAATTATGAGTTTATGTTTTGTTGTCATAATTGTGAATAATTAATGGAGCTTTTTTCTTTTTGAAAATAAGATATGCATGTGTGGCAATTTATTGAAGCTATTAATATTATATATATAGTCCAATAATTACAGTACGCTAATATTTCGAGAATTGAATACTAGACACAGAAAGCCATTATGCATAAATTCAATGAATCTTGCTTAAAACGTGAATGGTTCTGTGAATGGCTCTTGTCAGCGCGACGAGACGATAAGACTCATTTTTTTCCATAAAGTGTTACGCGTCTGACACGTCGCGTAAATTTGTCACATAATACAACCGGATGATTCACTGAATAAGAGATTATTATTCAGCAACATTCTAATGCTGAGAACAGCAGAGTTTAATGATCACTCTGAGAAAAGATGATTCGCAGATCCAATTGCGATTTCGTTGAATTTTATTGGTCTACTAAGGTTTACATTTTCACGGTCGAAAAAATTTTCTTAAAAAAACTTCACGAGTAACGCTAATTTCATCGATATTCATCAAGTTAAGTAATTAAAGAAATTAAACGAAGTAATAATTTATGTATTAGAAAAATTAATTATTCCCAACACGGTTCATGGATAAAAATATTAAACGCTTATTTCTTTCGAAGAAGAGTGTCTTATTAAAAAAGTAATAAGAAAAGAAACGCTGGATATTTCGTCAAATATAAAAGTTTTGCAGATCTGATGCTTAGCTGCTTCCCTACGGTCGTGAACCCTCGGCAGATGTTTCACCCTGCCGAGTCACGAAAACGACCCTTGTCGCCTACATTTATGGTTCGTTTGGGGATCCTACGCATTTATGGTTCGTTTGGGGATCGAACACATGTCGAGCGCAGTCGCTATATGAACTATGCGTAAAACAACGCGGGGTAACTACGCGAACTCATTTCATCGTGCTTTATATCGCGTAAATTGTCGGCCTTGTCCTTTCAGAAATCCCCGTCAAAGCCATTTCAGTCGATTAAGTCGCATAAGGGTGTCGCTTATAACCGCCGCATTAATTGAACGTAGTATTGACAAAACACTATATCGTGAGTCGACTGATTAAAGTTCTTATTGTTTGATCGATTTCTCTGTTTTTCAAAGTTGCCAAGAAGATGTCGAACAAAACGTAATGTGTGAAAATTGCTCATAGCAACACGATCAGATTCAGATTGTCATATATTCAAGGTTTTTTTTTATTTGAAATATATCTCTAGAATAGATTAAAATTTCCCGTATATCTTTCTGTCTATTTAATAATCTTTTCTTTGCAAAAATATATTAACGCATAAATGTGCGTGTTATTCTCGCTAATGTATTTATAATTTCCCCATTCATACAAGGGACAAAGCCGTATTTCAAACATTCACTGAGCGGTGAAAACCCCAGAAAATCCAGATTATTTTTTTTTTTTATGTATATATTGGATTTTTCAACCCCCAGGCGTGCGATAGCTTTTATGCGACGAGCAATCTACCTGTTCGGGCCGATATTTCCGTGATCGCGCGTCCACTCTTCCGGTAGTAACAGCGCATACATACTCGTACATGTATGACAGAGTCTGTCGCGAGCGTCCCACGTGGAAATCCCGCGTCGAAGGCCTCGATAAGCTATGACAATGACAGATCCTTTCTAACTCCTGCTACTTAAAACGCCTTCCAATTCGATCCACGCATCGTCCTTCCGTCCTCCCTCTCTTCCCCCTTCATTCTTATTCTTTTCTCCCTTACATCCTCCCGACCGTTGCGACCCCACGTTTTGTGCTGGGGAGATTCAGCCCTCTCCCTCGAGCGAGAGAAGTGATGAGAGAGCACGTGTGTACCGGCGCGGCATTGCGGCGCCGCGAAATATGACCGGCGGCCTATACGTGCCATTATGTAGGAGCCTGGATTTCGACGATCGGCCGACCAACCGCTCCTCTCGTGGAGACACTCAGTCGTTTCGAGGCAGCCGAGTTGACCGGGCGTCTTTGCCGAAGAACCGCGTCGGTTCGTGCTGAGTGTCTCTCTCTTTTTCTCTCTCTTTTTCTCGCGCCGATCCGTCCCTTTCTATTGTCGACCACCCTATTTCGGATAGACACCCGGCAACAAAAGGACCATGGGTACCATGATCTTGAAGGCTGCGATACTGCTGGCGGTGTTTCGTAAGTTGACATAATAGAATTTAGAATTATTCTGAAGAATTTCGTCTGAACGCGACACATGATGTGTTTCGATGTGTATTGTATAATGTATTTTTATTTAGATCGCGTGCTCCGAAAATAGAGTTTATAGAGACGAATTTGTTTCAATTTTATTACGGAGCAACGGTGATTTTTTTGCAGTCAGTTGCTGATGAATGATTTACTATTAGATTCAGATTACATTTAATTGATAATATTGAAAGAGACGTTTAAGTAATGATGTACTGAATTACTACTTTAATTCGAAATCTCGTTATACTCCAACAAAGAAATGAATGATCAATATGCTACTTTTGTAAGAATACTATTAAAATCTCTCTTTTCTTCCAGCCTTCATTAGTGATATGCGCCGTGCAAATCAAATGCTAGCTTTCGTTGATAGTTCAATATAATGTTACGTTCGAGGACATAAATCATTGCGATAATAATGGTCATTTACTAACAGTTTGAAACGGAAAAGCTCGGCCGTTATAGGTATCGATCCTGTTTTAAGGCCACATCCTACAAGATTACGAGCCTGGCAGTTAGCAGATTGTGAAATCCGAGTCTGGAATATCTTTCTCGGGCGTCGTAAAACCTGTAGGGGCGCGCCTAGCGCATCGAAAAACCTACACGCCTCTAATAGACGTATCGATTTTCTTTTTTTGTCACGCCGTTTCTCCGCTTGGCATCGCCAAAGGGAAAGATGTTCTTCTCCGAGTCGCATGTTAAGTCGTGGGTAAAGTTTACGTAGAGTTTGCAGATAAGACCTCCAAAACCGAGGCTCGATGATGTACTTAGCTGCGTCCGGAATTTTCCACTCAATTCTGTAGATGAAAATCAAGAAAAGTTTAAAAACTTCTCTTGCGGCAGAGATAATGAAATCCGACTTGAGACGCACAAATCGTAATCAACGGATTGTGATTTTACGACCTAAAGTTTTTTACAGATCACGTCAATTCAAATGTCCTGGCACGTTCGATCTTTTCGCAATGAACAAATAAACAAAGAGTATTATTTCTTCACGTAGAATAGAAAGTTTCATAATTTAATTCAATGGAACGAAATTCCTTAATTAAGGAAGCCGAAGATGAAAAACGAATTTTACGGATAACGAGGCTCGAAATTCGTGAACGATCGGTGACAAGTTAAATTGGCGATTGTAATTTAATTTTCTTTAAGCTCACCCTCCTCTAAGTGTATAATAACACATTTTTTTCGAGATATTAATTCGATGCAAACGCGTCGGAAAAGTTTCCAAACAGAGGGAAATTGCAGAGACTAAATTACAGAATAAACAGAAAATACGATCCGGATGACATGTAATAAATCCTCGTCTCGATCCATCCCCCAATCGATCGCTAATAATAATCTCGCGGTGACGCACGCCTCGAGGCCGACGTATATGTATATATGTACTCAGCGAGGTGTCTTCAGCGTTTTACATTAAATTAGCCCATTAAATTTTAGACGGCTTCGCCGCTCGGATGATGGAAACGTGATTAATCTCATGACAGGAGGATATTTATCATTCACGACCAACTCGTGCGTGTCTTTTTTTTCTCTTTCCCTTCCTACTTCCTACTTCCTAACGCACATTACTCCAATTCCTTGCTCGTCAATCTTTTTTCCTCCCCTTTTTATAATACATATAAAATAATGTGATAACAATTGATGTTAACTCTGTAGAAAATAGAAAAAACATTTTTTTATGCATTTTTTCTTCGCCATTGTATCGTAATACTTATTGCTGAAACAAGAGTTGATCAAAAGTACGCTGCAATCCAGTATCTCCCACGACGAAACGTCCACAAAAATAGATTAACGCCGTGACCGTGGCGATACCGATGGCATATAAGTTACAGCATCCCGCGCACGAAAATAGTATGAAAATAAACTGTTTTTAGTACTCCTTTGCCTGTCTATACCAGCGATTTAAAGATGTAGATGGTACAAGCAGACAGCGACGAAAGTGCAAAAATAACAAGATCGATGTAATCTCTGGTCAGAAATATTTCGATATACATCGCAAACAAGAGTCGAGTCTATCAGCGACCTAGAATATGATAATAGAAAAATAGATGTGAGTATCAAATTATGTCTTTCCTTGAAATCCCAGGATACAAGGCGGACACGTAAACAATTAACGAAAAAAGGGTTAAAACTCTTGAGAATGAGATCTCGTGACGTCAGTCGATTCTCATTAAGAAAATGAATGGGATGGGCAGTATGCAATTACCAGGAAACAATTAATTAGCTATTTATATCAGGTTCAGCCGAGCAAATTTTCAATTCATGATCTATGAGGATTAACGAGATCCCACATTGCATGTCAACAACCACAATAATCTTCGTTAACTTGTATTTTAATTTTCGGAAATGGTTTACTATCAAATATATATTCGAGATTAACATTATTACATTATTTCATATCGCAAGTCACTTGATGACGTATCTATTCGCATATAGATACCGATATATCGAAATATACAACGGAAAATAAATCGTGTATCGCTATAAAAGCAAACCGGTAAATAGCAATGAGAAGCAGAATCGCATCAATCGCGCGCGAACATCCAGACGGCGTACAATGACTCGTCGAATGAATAATTCGTATCGAGTGGCTTTATAAAAACACGATGAAAACAAGTATGTACGCGGCGATGGGTCGCGTTTGTTATTACGCAGCGCTGTACAAGGTTATTTCGATACGATATTGAAGCGTCTGTAAAATCTTGCGTTGTAAATGAATTATCGAGGAGTATTTATGCGAAAGAATCACTTCGGTGCCATATGACCGTGCCGCAATCTCGCTTTACATTAATATACCGATTTTTTTATCGTATTTCGACGAGAAAATACACTGTAGACGAGATACAGGGTACCGCAGTACGATTTCAACCTTATCTGTATCTGGAGAGTCACGATACCGCCGATTATTTTTTTTTTATTTGACGACATCACCTGGATGGAACTCAACAGACGATATGTAATGTCGTTTACATGAAATGGAGAAAAATATATTGCGCCGATAACGCAGGCGTGTTTATCCGCGATAAGCAGAACAAATTCATCGTTCTGGGTTGCACGCTGGAATGCAAGTAGACTACGTGCGAGCGCACATGTTGGTATATCTGAAGATCACGCCCGAATAAATTTGACTAAGATGTGTAGAAATTGGAAATTCTCTGTAGATATCTTCAGTCATTGACTTCGGAATAGAAGCCGCAAGTCGCAACACTCGCAAATCGATTGTATAAATCGCGCTCGAACAGAAACAATAGAGATCGAAGCGAAATCGTCGCGTGAAAAACGACAATCCTTCTCGACACATTAAACGGTGATTGATATTTCTAAAGAAAAATTTACTTTACTTCTAAATAAATGAGCAAACGAGAGAATATTATTTTGTGATAAGTAATCATATTTTTCTTTTATATAGGGAAATCGCCACATGATTCATGCTGCCCAACCAAAATCCTTAAAGTTTAGTAGTAATTTAGATAAGTTCTTATCTGCAGAAATTATTACAAATATAACGACTGAATCATCGGATAGCCGTGCCTTCATAATTAATCAGCATATTCGAACAGCGAATTTCGATATTAAATTCCAAATTAATATTCTACATGCGTGCAATTCGCGAGGTCGAATTCTGTGAAATCTTTAACTTGGTTTTCAAACTTGGTCAAACTTTAAGATTTAACGTGATGCATAATGCAAGTTAGTCATTGTACCTTAAACTCCGTTATTAATTTAATGAAAGATCTCTTGATAAATTAGCAATATAAATAGCAAAAATATTGTTCTTTCAAAAGTCAAATCTTTAATAAAGTTTAACAAATTTTGTTGCATATATTAACAGATCGATCCTTTACAATTGAAACAATATACTCTTCGCTATATGGCCGATATCTCCTAATACCAAATTGTCCCTTCTAACTGTTAGAACTTTCATGAGAGATCAACAAATATTGAAGTAATCGATTTAGAGAAACATGATTGTAATTTGAACAGTTCGGAACAAATGTGACAGATGGCCCATCAGCTATTTGTCGGACTGCCTGCACATTATTATTTATCATCGACATTTTGCACTTGGTATCACAACGCATAAATCATTTCGTGATTGCGCAGTTTATACTACTGAGTCAATAACATAATTGCTACAATCCGTAATACATAATTTTTAACATCTGTAATCTTATTCCTCGTCTTGAAAGATGATCGAGCATTACATTACAGGAATAAGATAAATAATTTAAAATCGATAATTTAATAACAGTCATCTCTCAGCACATTACGTGTAAAATATAATTATTGAAAAAAAATTAAAAAGAAATTAAATGTGATGTGTTCACGTCCAAAAACCTTTCCTGCTTGCCAAGACCAAAAATATCAATTACGTCTAACAAATTCCTCATTTCTTTGAATAAGTCTCTGATAGTCATAGAAACTTAACTGACACGGAATGCTTATCAGGTAAATCCACAAAATATTAAATTCCGTTTAAAGTTTCGAATTACTGTTTTCAAGCGGGCCGTTCGAGAAAAGTAATAAATGCGGCCGTAAGTCACGCTTTGTCAGCCAGCTGACTCAGGCAAAATCCGTCGAAACGAGGCTCTCCCTCGCCTCGACCTGAGCCTTCAGAAGCATATTCTAAGCGGAAGAGAACGGCGGTAGTCGCAGTTATTTGCAAACTATACGCGGCGCAGTGACGCGTGAAAGATGCTTTTATCAGCCCACGAGGGCCTAGGAATTCTTTTGTATATCGCGAGAGAAGCAGCCAAGCCGCCGGCGATGTTCTGTTCACGGAACTGGAAGTCTGATTTGATTTCACCGTTGTATCCTCGTTGTATCCACGTATATAACGCCACGTATGAGCTAAGAAAATACGAGGCGCAATAAAGTACCTATAATTCGAGACATTGTTCAGCTGAAAAGCCGAAATGCAGTTTGTAACATTTGACATTTGCTGGTGAAACTACAAAAATACAATTAAAATTGACGCTCGGTTTAGAAATATCAAAAGTTGTTAAAACGAAATTTTACACGGGAAATTTTATCAGCGTTATTTTCTCTTACGTTTCATGTGCATAATATATATATATATATATATATATATATGCATACATACATACATCGGTCTATTTGTATTATAAAATATACAAGAAAAATAAATTAGGATAATGAAAAAGATATATGTACATTTTGTATCATAATTCATCTTTTCTGCATATTTGATATTATAAATGGATCGCATGTTACATAAGAAAATATATTAACATTTCATAAAAGACATATTGTTTCTTCGTAATTAAGTCTTTTGATACGCTTCCTTTTCTTTCTCCAGGTACGTTTTCATCTCTTTAAGTGGGTTATATGCAAATGTATTATTGTTAGCTTAAGAGAAGCTTCTTAGTCTCAAAGCCAAATTTATTAAACAATCAATCAAGTGATGAAGCATCTATTTCTAACTTTAATTAGTCCTGCACTTTGCGTGTACAAAGTGGATACTTCAATTTGTAATGCTTTATTGCAACACCATGTTATACAATAGATATGTACGTGGAAGACGTCGCGTTTTTTAAATTAGACACTTCCGGATCGGTAAAAACATATATTGTGATGTTGAATGCGCACTGACATCACGCTATGCGTTTCAACAAAATAAATATTTACCTTCTCCCCAACTCGCGTCATGTGACGCGAAAGAATTTCGCAACAAAATGAAACCGCCGGAATACCTGCTCGCGGTGCAACGGTACCGCGTATTGTCGAGAAACCTCGAGAGAACAGACGATTGGTTGTTCAGTCAATTAGCCATTTGCCTGAACTCGACCAGTTCAATCGCCTCGATCTCGTAGAGTTCGGTCGCAAGCGGACCTCATAAAAAGAAAAAGGACCGCTCTCACGGTTTTCCCTCGTGGTCAGGCCGGTTCGAGCACAGTACAAGTCTCTGTACGAGACCGTCGTACCGGAAATGGCCTGTTCGTAGACATTGTAGCGATGATGCGGCGAAAGGGCGCGGGAGAAGCTCGAAATTTTGGCAAGAACATCGGGCGCGAGGTCGTGGGTAAATAAATGTGATACATATCTTGAGCAACTTCGAGAAAAGACTGGAAAACTTGATAATATACGAAATATCTGACGAATGACAAGAAAAGATCAACATGATATTAATATGGCGTGACCATTTCAAATACTATCTGCTGAGTCATCCCCTTGCGATCGTGTGTCTAAGTACACGAATGAACATTAGCTCTCCGTAGGAATGTCATTAAATTAACCCGGGAGTGGTCGCGCTAAAGTTTGTTATCATTGTCATTGCTCGGCAAATGCAATTTCCTCCGTGACGGTTCTTCCATTCAACTATATAAGCAAATTTCTCATATACACAACGATATGTATCCTACTCCCAACTGACACAATTATTTTGTATCTCTGAGCAACGCATGGGATTCATAAAAAATTTTTAATTTCCACCGGGATCACAATAGTAACGTGCAAGTATTAATCGCGAATGCAAAATAATCGCGTATTTCGTTGTAGTTATTTTAGCTCTAAAATTGTAGCGGAAATGTACGGATAGAGGGCTACTATTAATGTTTTTAAAAAAGCCGCCTCAGCATCTCTCTCCATTGACCGGCCACATTTAGTCCATGATCGCTGGACCGGAAACAGGTCAATTGGAATCATTGGCGCGGCTAGTTATCGATTCTTTGCACGCGAGAAGAGAGAGAGGAGAGTTTTTAGGAAAACTTTGCAAAAAATAAATGATTAATTTAATTCCGAATAACTTAACGTAGTATTTTAATCTGTGGTTGACGTGGGAAAAAATTCCCCGTAAAGTTTTTGCACTCCGGTTGCAAACTGATAATAAACAAGGAACAAACATTGCCCGCGGGCCTGATTAGTCACTGAAACTTTTTTATCACAGTCGATATTCAACTTTAAGTAGAAACACACCCGCATCGTCGAACGTAACATACCTATTAAAAAATCCGCAATCATTTCCTATTTTAGAGAAAAAAACCAGAAAGGAATTTTTAATTAAGTGAAACATTCGTGTTGATATTTGCCATGATATATTGATCGCGAAAATTCACTTACTTCTGTAAAATTCGATGTTTGACTTATATAATTTTAAAGCAAATTTTTTTCACAAATCTGATTCCGCCGTTAACCAGTTCATAAAGAGAGACCCAGTTAAAAGAGAAGGACCAATCGCCTTCACAATCTGTTCGAAGGGGTCATTCGATCCGCGCAAAGTTTGTTCACCACATGGCTCGAAATGTACCGGAAATGATCTAGGAGGAAGAGCCAAGCGCGCTGTAAAATTTTCCAACACAATCCCGTTATTAATTCATACTGACACATCCCCGAGCGAGCGCCGGAGCTTATTTCGACCCTCTACATGCGGTTCTGTGATGTGTGTAATCCACTTCTAGCGATATTTCCGCCGTCGAGCGAATCGAAAGGAAAAAAGAAAAAGATTCCGCCCCAGGAAGAATAATATATATGTATATATATATATATATATATATATATATATAATATGTATGTATGTGTATACATATACTATATCTATCTCAAGATAACCCCCGGATTGCTCGGCTCACCACCGCTACGCTAGTTGGAAACCCCTCGTGACAAATGAACGTGATTATCGATCGAACAACACAATAGAGGGAGAGCGAACAGGGTCCTCTCCGTCGTCTCCGAGAAAGCAGCTGGTTGCCGCGTCGCGCGAGGAATTCTCGAGTCCTCGCTCAATTATGAAGTGTGCTCGTCGAATATTGGGTCATGGTCCGCGCGGTCTCGGGAATACTGATGGAGGGAAGGTCAAGTCCGCTGATGATGCAAATGCGATCTGACGAAAGCGATTTCCCGTGTTTCAGAGGCTGCCATGTGCGACGACACCAGCAACAAAAACGCCGGCTCGAGCAGCCATGTCGCACCGGATCCAAACACATTCTTCCCTGCAGCCAAAGACAATCTCACCAAGATTGTCTGGGCGCACGCCGTCAATGACCAGAAGAAATTGAACGAGGCACTTGCGAAAGGTAGGTCGATCGCGATTCGTTGCCTGAGTTTCCTTCGCTCTTCGTTCTTTTATTGCACTCGCGAGATTGAGGAAAGAACGACGGCGCTCTCTGATTATTCTCGTGTGTTCGGATAGTCGGCATTGTTGGAAACAAACGTCGGGATTGCTTGGAAAGTATTTGACGGGGCTTTAATAAGCACCCCATTGTTTCGGTAGATGGAAAAAATTTTAAATTAAGTCGGGATGCTTCCTTTCGCGTAAGATAACGACATCATTAAAATGTTGACGGAAATTTCGAATAGATATTTCGTAATTTAAAATCTAAATTTAATGCGCATTTAAGAGAATCTTAAAGACATTTTCGATATTTTTTAAATAGTAATGATAAAGTTATGTTCTCAAAACGTGATTAATACTGACATTAATACTATTGCGAATATTTCTTAATTTGAATCTAAATTTAATGCGCATTTAAGAGAATCTTATTTAAAACATTTTAGATATTGTTTAAATGATAATGATAAAGTTATGTTCTCAAAACATGATTAACACTGGCATTAATGCTATTGTCAATAAAATTACAGAGGATGATAATTACATGATAAGATTATCTAAATGATTCATCTCACCAGACAGTAATTGGCAAATCCTATAAAAGAATAGTCGAGAATGCAATATTAAATAATACAAATAATTTAGATATGAATATCTGCGGCGCAGCACCTTGAACTATTTTGGTTGCAAACGAGCAACAGTCACGGTAAATATTTAATGTCGAAAAGTCGGAAAATAGTCCCGTCAAAACTGTCGTGTCTCGTTAGAACGATCATTTATTGTAATTTCGCGACTTTCGTCGATCAATATATTACCAATTAATGAACTCTGTGGCATTTCGCGATGTTAGACTTTTTAAATGCCGACGCTTTTTTGCATTTGTCTCATTCTCATGGATATCTTTATATCGAGTTCAATTGCGCGTGTCTTTGTGTACAACCCGTATGGTACGACATGTATTTTTACATCGGCGCGCTTTAAATAATGGTGTGAAACCTTGAAAAGTGCGCTCTCAGAAATATCGACAGCAAGGGAGAAAGCTTTATGCAGTATCCGTTTTGCGAGAATTCTCTCACACGCCTTCACAAAGCAAGTCTATATAAAATATAAATGACATCGCGATTAAGTCTTGTATTTTCGACAGGCACCTCGTCTCTTTTCCTACGTACGTGCCTCGTGTCTCTATATGCTGGATTATGTGTCAACTTTGAACTTCGGAACTCAAATTTTCCCAACTTTTCGCGCTTCAATTCTCCTAAAAGGAGAAATCTAAGTTTTCGTATTTAAATTTTCTACATCTATACGATTGAATTCTCGTAGATAAGTCGTTTGTACACAGTCACGTCCAATGTTAGAGTTTGCGAAAAGGACATACGTTGAATCTCAATGAAATGTAAAGTAATAAAGATGGAACTTTCGATTTTTGACCTTCGTAATTTAATTCTGCGACTAACCATGTCTTTTTCAATGACACGAATATTATCAGAATTTTAAACAGCTTCCCACCTTCTTGCCTCCACGATTACATATTTTTCCGCATTTCTATCTCACATTTTTTAATTAATTATTACAATAGAGATTGTAATAATTAATTAAAAAATAGAGATTTTATGATGAGAAGAATATTCATCTTTTTTATAATCCTCCGCAAAGCTCGCTCAAAGTGTACGATGGTCGCTTTGATACACGTATATATGGTACAAGAGGCAAACTTTAACTCGCAAAAAATGCTTGTTTCTTTTCGAGGCAGGCTTGACAGCTTGACGTCAGTCAGTCTCTGTAGTCTCCATCGTGAAAAAGCCGGAGATTTTTGGTCATTTGAACGCCAACACCGACGAGCGGCGTGAATCCGGCAATCTTCCAGCCTCTTTAGGGTCTGATCGATATTCGCTGCACGTACATATATATGCACATCTCGCTCCTCCCGCCCAGCTGGTCGTCTCAAACTATGCCACACACACTTGCATACACATGCATACATATACGAGCGAAACAGACAACCGACTTTCTTTTTAAAGAGTACATCATGATGTTGGAAGCCGACGTCGTTGTGGGAAAACTAAATGGTACCACCGATTTGATTCCGATAATGGCGCATCCACCACATAATGTGAGTGATCTCTCGCTCGAGAATTTCCTCGACACCATCATTCGTGGGCAATACAAAAATAAGGGCATCAAGCTGGACTTTAAGACTACTGAAGCGTTCAACCTTAGCAAACCCATTCTCGAAAAACTACGAAAAAGCGTGCGTATATTTATATGTATATATTTAAGTATGTAAAATGTAGATCTTTGAAAAATACATAAATAACAAATAAAATATTTATTCGTTCCAGCTGACATTCCCGGTATTTCTCAATGCGGACATTATTCCCGGACCTGTGAACGCTACTAATATTACGGTTAATGCGGAAGAATTTCTGAAAGGAGCTAACAAAACCCTACCAGAGAGCATCCTCTCCGTCGGCTGGACAACCAGGTAAACAACTATCGAGGTGCACTTGTGTGAACAGAGTAATAGCAGTTTCTAACATATAACCTTGTAATTAATTAGCCGTATAAGCAAAGAAATATATATCGTGACCATGGCACGATCTTTTATAAAAAAGGGAATTATAAATATACAGTCCCTGAGAAGAGATAATCAACTTAGTGCTTCGATAAAATATCTGTCAATGCCAAAGACTTATATTAATAATAATTAATGTTTAAAGAATCAAGAGATGAAAGTAAGACCGAATGTAGAGATTGTCGAAAAAATGCTTCACTATTTAAAAAAAAAAGATTTAGTCTCGAGCTTGATACTTGTATAAAAATATTAACAAGGCACATCGATATTAAGTTGCATTTATAGATTTTGTTTTTTATATATTGTAATACTAACAAAATAGTAAAAATGAAATTTTTATTATATCTAGTGTAATATAATCGAGCTTTAACTATCCGTCAATACTTTAGATACGGAAAGGAGTTCAACCTTACCAAGGGTCAATACAACGAAACGCATATTCAAAAGATGATCAAAGCCCTGAAGGAGAATCACGTTTCCCAATCGGTAACTTATCCCGTACGAGCTGGCCTTGTAGTAAACAATGTCGATATCATAAAGAAATTATTGCGTGAGGCGCCAAAAACCATCAAATCCGCAACACTAACAATCTGGTCGGCGGATAACGATGAGGTCGACGCCGCGAAGCTCTCGAAATTCATCAAAGAAGTGGGAGTCGAAAAGGTCTACGTGGACGTACCGGAAGATCTGCACAAAAAGCTCAAGCTTTCGGCCGCGTCTGCGATGAATTCCGCGATAATAAATATGGGCTTCTCGATGGCGCTCCTGGTCCTCCTGAGGATGCTGTGAAGTCCAAACGTAGACGTCTAATGTAGGACTGGCGAGATTCGAGCAGGAAGAGAGAAGGTCCCAATCTTCTTCCGTCTCTCGATAAAAAAACGAAAGTACGAGCAAATGGCAAAATCCGATAACGATCGCGTGTCGTGAATTTGGTTGGATTACCATCGCGATCGTTCGTCGGGACTTTGTCCGATCTTCATTGTGGCTATACTTCCTATAAAACGTACCTCTGAAGATATTCGATTCGACGCAGCAAACAATTTCCATAATATAGAAAATATTCTCCACGTGGAATTTCAATTTACCGATACAATTTGTACTTAAAATCGGATTATTCAAATGTTAAAGAAAGATTCCGTTGAAATAGTTCATTCTTTTATAATAGATTTGACGCAGTATAAGTCATAAGAGGCATATAGATAGACGCGTTTCGATTAATCTTATATCGAGAGTAACTTTAACACAGTTAAAAAATTCATTGTAATGCTATATACCTACTGTTAATTGATGTCGAAAAAGTTTCTGAAATATTGAATTACGCTTTGTTAAAAAAACACACATTTATACACGCTGCGATTATGATCGCACATTTAAAAGAATCGTTGTATAAAGAATAACAAGTATAAAAATCGCATATGAAAAATGCGCACATATTTAATAATATAATGAATTTCTTTCGTCTATTTTTCTCAGAGTGTTATGCAGAGAAAACATTTTATGTGTAACTTTATATTTAATTGTAAGTGCTATTATACTTGTATCGTACTTGCCGCGCACATTCATCGTGTTTAATGTCCCTTCGCAAATTATTCACTGTATTATTCTCTACACCTGCGTTCAACATATCTGATCTAGGTGTAGCAAAAGATGATATTTAGTCTCTACGTAAGTACATATCTAAGCCAAAGGGTTAAAAATGCAGTATACGATGCAAGTGCATTGCGTTTGATAACGAGTCAATAAAAATAATACGTAAAATTATATCCAGCAAAATTCTTCAAGATTATTTACCCCGAGTATCTCGTTTCTAGTATAAAATATCTTCGATCTCGACGCAGATATTGCAATTTTATACATTGTATCCTAAAATCAAACGAAAGCGCCTAAACTCAATGGAATCCGAAAATTAAAGATCGTAATCTCAAAATGGAATGACGGTCTGTTCAAAATCTATGTAAATCTACCATCGTAAAATTACAACGAAATAGTTGGTATATTATTTACTCATTCAATAGAATCTTTATTGCCGGCCATTGTCGTACGTAATTATCTGTGAAAAGAAAAATGCAAACATCCGTCGTGCATAGTGACTATGAATGAGGTAATCTAATTTGATGTCAGGAGAAAATAATGGTACATTGTACGCTGCATCTTCTATTATGGTGATGCGTAGCTTTTCCTTAGGGTTGGCAGACTTATGTATGCAACATCGGACGCCAGTAGATCGCCATATCCGTGATAACAAAGACCGGTCTTTTTTTAAACAGACTACTTTTATTTTCGTAAAGCTGTAAAGATTATTACAAAGACCCTGCCTGTTTATGAACTACCACAGCTGCGGTTTGTTCCCCGTTAACTGGAAGGAGCTAAAAAAAAGTCGGAGAACTAAAAGGTTCTCATCAGCGATGTTTGCATTTAAAATACGGAGCGTAAACCATATAGGATCCCACCCTGTTTGCTTTCCTCGTGTTTGTCGTCTAGTTATCTTCGGAGCACTTCCGCTCTCGCTATCCGACAGAAAAGTGGCTCCGATGGGCGCGAGTTTACCGGTCGGAGAAATTATGAAATAACGCGATGCTCGTCGATGACCAAAAAAAATTGTCAAACGTACCGCTGATATTTCAGAGAAAGCGAGAAAAAGGATCAACGAACTTCCTGCGTTGCAACTCGATAAACGCATCATGGCGGAAACATATTTCCCCCCGGTGGAATGTCGAGTCACTCGCGAAGTGACAAAACCCGGCGCTTTCTCTCCCTCTCGGGAGATGCCGCGTTGACATTTCAAGGTGAACGCGCTGAAAGAGGAGCCGTGGAAGGTGTCGCGCGAGATGTCAAAGGTCGCGCGACGACGCACCCTCGCGACCTTGAAGGTGCGAATACAGAAGACGATGTTATATTCTGGTTATCGCGTTCTTCCTCACAGGTCCTGTGTTCGCAGGTTGCCACTCAGCAGGTGCCATTCACCGTGCAAAATGGGATTCTCTGCATGCCCACGAGAAAGCGGCGATCATCAGACGAGAGTGTATCTCGGAGATTGCGACCGCCGCGGCGGGTGTTCAGCGCTTTTTTTGTGTTGTTTTTTAAGCGGAATCGTCTCGACCATAGTCCGCCTCTACCACTCTGCACCCTCGTAACTGTTTTTAGAATGTTAGGAGTGATTTATTTCTGTAACGAAGAAAGTCGAGAGTACTTACGGTAAATGTGTGTGTGTCTTGAACATTCGTAACGGAGACTACGATCATATTCACGAGCGTTAGTGTTACTTACATATATAGCATATGTTGCAAACAAGAGATGCAAAAAATTAATTGAAAGTTCTTCGTCGCATCTGAACTGTCCGCTAAAATTGGCTATCGCAAACGGAAAGTGATATATTTCTTCGAAATGGCAAAGTGACCCAAAAGCATAATCTTCGCCGATAACCCAGCTGAACTTGGTTAAAAATGCGAAATCGAAAGATAACGAAAGAAAACGTATGAGATTGTATATACGCATCATACGCCGATGAACAAGTGACACGAAATAATTTTTGTTTCTAATTCACGATATCGATGCTGACCAGTTTTATGTAAATACGTTCGCTATTATATTTCATAATTGCGCTATTATAAATTATACATTATTATCTGCGTCAATGCACGCGTAAAATATTCAAATCCATGGGCTAATAGAATATCGTCGTTTATATTAACTTTGTAAAATTATAATATATGACCATAAATAATAGATAGGAAAATTTTACATGTTTCTTTTTTGAGTAATTTTTACAGGAAAAGACATTAATTATTTTATACTTTTAGAGGACATATTAATCTTCTAAAGATATTAATAATCGATCATTAGTTACGTTTTCAATTAAAAAATTCAAGAAACGTGTGATTATTTCGAACTCATCCAAGTATTAGTTGAAAATAAAAAATACGAGACTTTCATGCAGGAGAAATTGGACAAGCAAGACATCAGCTGGCGAGCGTCACGGATCTTTAAGTCGGTGACTTATGGAAAACTATGTGTGCATTCGAAGCGGGCCTACACGGTTGTTTTGTAAGTAGAACAAATCGGTACCTTCGCGTCTGTGTGTCTTGGCACGAAAGCCGCGCTTAAATCCGCGTGACTAATCTCGTTTCGTGTCCACGAAAATCTTGATGAAACTTCACGTGATCGCATGTCCTATTCAGTGAACGTTCCGTATCTCGATGATCGCATAAGTCGTGAATACGCCGGAATCACGGAACAAAATACTTGTAAATATTTTTCCGTGTTTCGTGTAACGCGAAAATACTTATTCTCTCGTGGTACAAAAAATAAATAAATAAGTCTCTTATTATTTACCACGAAAAAAATTAGTAGCTATATTTAAATCTGTTGATATTTTAAAATCTTATTTTTTATATACAGTTGTACATTAAATAAATTTATTTTAGCAATATTTTATTAAAGAAATATTTGAATTTGACAAGATTTTCTCGTTCCCCTTCTGTAGATTTATCACATTTCGAGAATAAAAAAAAATATAATTCTGAATACGTGTTTCATTTATGTGTGGAAAAATTTCTTCAAAAAAATAGCAATAAAATAATAAAACTATATATAAAATGAAAAACTTATATATATTCTCTCTCTCCCCACGCTGCATTTATTTACCCGGACGCACCTGGTGTCTCGCCACGTTTATCCGGCAGGGTGCACAATTATGCGCACAGGGCACACGCACGAATTCTGCCCGGGCGCGGGTGCGATTTAATCGTTATTTTACGTCGACGCGCTAACGAGCGTTCGTTTGTCCACCGGGCGAATCCTGACAAATGGGTACAAATTAACACGGACGAGCGTCGACGAGGCGTGAAAGCGAAATAATTAGAGAAATCCGCCGACGCACAACTGTTAAACGCCGCTCGCGCCGTGACCGACAGCGATTCCGCGTTGTAAAATCAATTTTACAACGCCTTCACGTGCCGTGGCCAACCGGGTTATTGCATAACCGCACTCTCGACATTTAGGAAAATAAGCATGGCGTGAAACATTTTAATGATCGTACGAGATCTTAAGTAAGAGTAATTTTGATTCCCCCACATCCCACGTTTCGTAAGATAATGTGAAATGAAAATTCTGATTCTCTCCTCGTCACGCTGCGTCATAATGACTGAGCAAGGTACATAAGTTCTCTCTGCACCCCAAAAAAATTAAAGAATCAAATCCCGAATACCACATGTTGCTTTATATCGACGAATCGTGCGAATTTATTAAAACGCGAGTGCACGCTGAAATCAATCAGACGCCAGTCAGACTCTATTTCTCCCGACAGATTCGACAAACTTCAATCACTTTAGATGCCTGACACATCTCGCCAAGTGTTTTCCTCTCTTCTCTTCCTGGCGCGTCGGAAAAGCTCTGGGTGACATGTCGGTGACGTTTCTTCGCCGGCAGAACGCGCGTTACATCAGTCGATCGATCGAATCGGCGGAAGGTGGACGCAATGCGGTAGCTGTAGGAGGGAGGCTGTCGTGTTTATTTATCATCGTAAGCACCCCGATCGGCTTAAAGGGGGCGACAAAAAGCGTCCTGCGACCTCCGTGCGCGACGAAAAAAGCAGTCCTCGTTGTACCGGTTGCAAGATCGGCATCAACGATCGTATCTTCTCCTCGCGCATTCTCTCTCTCTCGCAGTTTTCTCTCCGATCTCTCTTCTCTATATACATTTCTCTCTCTTTCTCCCGCGCGATATGAGACTTCCTCTTCTTTTTATACGCGCGGGTTCTTTCTCTCTTGCTCCCCTTTTCGATCCGGATTTCGCGGGCATCGTCTTCTACTCCAGCATCTCTGAATGGCGGCGCGAAAGTGAATGGAACGCCCGGCGAAAAGACCAGCCGGTCGACTGTCGTTCGACCCAGACGATCGTAAAATCGGGGAGACACAAGCTCGCGGTGTCACAGAAACGCATGTCCCGCGCGGTACATCGTAAACGCGGAGAAAGAAAAAGGAGAAATTAAAATCGAGAGGAACGTTCTTTTTAGCCTGTATGATATCTCTTTTGACTAAAAGCACCGGTGACGGTTGGATAATCTCTTGCAAAAAAAAAAAAATTACTTTCGCGCAAAAGCATAAGATAAACGACGCGTTTAACATCGGTCATCCATTAGCTTTAAACTTCGCCGTACATTCTGTTGCGAGAGATACATCTTTGTGTGCTCTGCTCGTTACCTACATATTTATAGCTTCTCCTTTGAAACGTATATCTCAATTCTTAAATTTTTTGTATAAATATTAATATAATGTCTTATAAATAATTTATCATTGCGACTTATATAAGTCTTTTCCGATGGATATATAAAAGGTTCGATATACAGTCACCATGTTTTATATATAAGTGTTGCTCCAATGTGTGCGCAATAATACCTGACTTATAGTTAAGAGTTCCGTGTCTCTTAAGAATATTGGATTAGTACTTTTATTCCTAAATGAGTCTCTTGCCAGAGGATAAATGTCATTCATATCTAAATTCGCTTTAAGACTAATCGTGATTAAGATACATCCGCAGATAGAGCGACACGTGCGCTAGTGAACTACTTCATTCGATATTAAATCAATTTAATGCCTTTTATCGCGGACAAGAAGCAATCTCCATGAGAGTCTAATGCGGATAATGTCATGTCTATTCGAAATAAATTGAAAACCGGTTTCGACAAACGCGCGTGACTCCAAGGACCATGAGAAGTCTTGCCATATCGATCCGCATCTACAATTTTCTCAGTTTCAATTTTTCCAATTCTCTAATCAGCACTACATAAAGTATCACCACCGAAGCAATCGATACCCACATTTAAAAAGGTTTATATTGAATTGAAAAGTAGCAGTCATATCTTGCGCCATTTACGCGCCATTCATTTATACATACATTCCGATGCGTGACCACACCTGTGCTCACAGTTCTCCAACTTTGCTCGGCAAAAAACCGTGACAAGGCTAAGCACATCTTCTTTTTCAATTATTCACACTTCAATATTTTTCAAAATAAAATTATTGAATAAATTTATTCTTTAAATTAATGTCAAAAAAAATACTAATTTCTCTTGAAAAGATTTGCACCTCGGAATCTCTTGGCTATTAAAAGGGCACAATCGGAAGTGGCAATTTTTGAGAAGCGCTCGCACATCCGGCGGAGATGCGGCCCACCGCGTCCGCGGACTTGTCCGTCTCGTTCCCTTCGTCCATGCCTATTGTTTCACGGTACATCATCGCGGGGTCCGTGAAATGCTGTGTGCGCGGAGATTTCTTGCGGAGGTAAAGGCGAAGGACGAAAGGGACGAAGGAAGAAGAGGCAACACGACGGGCGACCCCGGGTCGGTGCGGAGCGAGGGGCAGTGGGGGCGAATATCGCCCGCACGCATGCGCGGTGCGTACCGCGATCTCTTAGGCCGCCCGGTTGCTCCGGCTGGTCTCAGTCGTCCGCGACGTTCTGTCCGCGATACGATTCGGCGCGACCGTGTCGTCTCCTACTCTGGACCGCCACCGGTTGCAGCAAGTCGACACGCGCCGGTGTAAGAAAAACCAACCCCCTCCCGAGAAAACCGTCATTAATGAAATAGACTCGGACAGTGACACTGTGCTCCGAAATTGTTTAGATGATTCACGAATGTATTGACAAATAAATTGAGGACAGAAAATAAGTTCCACGAGATATTTATCTGATCGGTCGTTGATTCGCGGACACGATGTGGTGAATGAATCATTTGAATCGGTGACTTAGATCTTAGATTCGCGAGGAGGAATTTTTCAAAGACGCAGAGGGTAGATTTTATTTTAGACGACTCGCGGAATATAAAAGCAGTGCGAGAGAATTTTCACGAATATTTTCTATGACATTTAAATAATACAATAAGCAGTGATACGTTGCAGCGAACTCTCTGTTATCGCACTGGAGCCGCGCCAGAAAGAAATACACGGTTGCACCATCGTTTCAGGTTCCGCGGTCGCACCGCATGGTCACCGCAATCCGGTCGTGGTTAAATTTAGAGACTACCATCAGAGAAAATTGACGGTTCCCAGATTGAGCTATCGACTATAATCAACAAACGCCGAGGGTGTCAGGTGCGTCGACAGGGCGGGCCATCTCGCCTCGATCGTGGAATGATCGACGTGATATCGATCGTGCGCGAGTGCTACTGTTGCTCGACGATCGAGCCGGCTCGATGCGCGGCTAAAGAAATCGCGACCGGCGAGAGGCATCGAGTGGTGATCGATCAAGGTGTTATCGCGCGCAAGCCGCAGCCACGTGGTCACATAAGGATGTAAGGTGCCTGTGAACAGTGCTGCGGAGAGACCGAAATGACACACGATAAAAGGCTGCTGCTGCTGCTGGGCCTGATGGCCTACGGCCTCCTCGTGGCCGAATGCCGACATCATCAGCGCGATGACGCGACGATGACAGCGACAGAGGCGAGACATCGACATAGACACAGGCACGAATCTTCCAATAGAAGGAATTATCACGAGCTCGACAGGAGCTCCTGGCAGAAAGACTTCGAATACGACGGAGACTCCGAGGACGCGATGGAGGAAGACGACTACGAGATGCAATCGTATCACGATCACCCGAGAACGCATCATCGATCCACGCACAGGAGTTATCACGGCCGAATGTTTGAGCCGCGTTATCCACCCAGGTACCACCCTGGACATTACGGAACCTGGTACGACGAGGACAGCGACAGGCGTAGAATCCCGTCGCGATATAATACGAAGAATCATCGGTACAAGCTCGGCAGGAGCTACCATAGAATTCCGTATTCGCGCAATCGCGATACGTCAGAGGATGTTTCGGAAGAGGATTACGATTACGAGAGGCCGCACAGATACATCGAAAGCGACGAAACCGATCACGAGTGGTGGAGAAACTCCAGGCGACGCACCCCCTTCAGGAAAGACACGATGAATAGAATAAACAGTTATCGTGGCTCGAGAAAGCATCACTTGGCGGATCGCGGAGGCGATATTAGTCGTATCGAAGGATCGAGATGGGCGGATGATCGGAGAAAAAAATCGAATATCTCGGATTTATTTCATTTCCCGAAAGTCGATAAAAAGATAGAAGAGGATGAAGATTACGAGGATCATGGTGGACTCGAGGAGGACGATAAAGATGAAGACGAGAATGATCTTTGGAAAATCGATGACGAGGAGAACGAAGATAACGAAGAAGAGGAATTTGACAGTGATTTTTACGAGGACAAGAGCAAATCACCCTTGAAGACCTATGAGGACATCATCAGGAGACTTACGTCCGATGACCGGACCACTCCAAAGACCACCGTTAAGAGGGATTACCGGAACATCGACTCGAATAAGCACGCGAAACACGACGGCTTCAAGAATTTCAACGAAGCGAGAAACGTCTCGAGATCGGTGAACCACTCCAAATTCACCAACACATCTCGTACCGCCAAATCCGTCGGTTCGACCGGACATAAGCTCTCGAAGAACGCGACCGACGTGACAATCAGGGGCAACGATCGGCAGGCAAGAAAGATCGCGTTCGATACCAAGACCGCGTTCGATACGAAGATTAAGAGCCTCGAACAGGATTACGACGAGTATCTGAACGCGAATGATAATGAGAAGGAGGGCGACCTCGCCAAAACTGGCGCCGAGGACGATTCGATGCAGGCGGATGTGACAACTAACGTGAGTAGTGAGATTTCTGTAAATCGATTTCTTCAATATTTTTTTTATCTTCTCCCAATTAAACGCTCGCAATCAGGAAAATAAAAATACAAAATAGAATAATATTAAGAAATTACAGCGGGTCGAATCTGTCGTGATCACTCTTGTCCGATGAGATAATTATGATTTGAGAAATTGCGTTATTCGAGGAAATACGGAAAATTGTATAATTCGATCGAGTATCCGTTGCATTACGACAGGCGGGGCTGCGCAAGTAAAGAGCAAATGTAATTCGGTTTCCAAGAAATCACAAAGAGAAAAAAAATGTATGTACGTGTGTACGTGCCTTCGATGCCATCGCGGGAGTTGAAAATCGTAAAGTCAGTTACTGTCGAGCTCTCTCCCCGTATCGACCTTGCCTCGACGAGGAGATTAGGATCGAGTCGAGAGCTCTCGGGCCACGTACGGTCGCAAAACGTGAATCCGTTCATCGATGCTTCCCTCTCGCGAACGTCGCTCCATTTGCATGAACACCCGAAGAAATGCACGCGATATATAGAACTTTTCCCCCTTGAACATCTAACTGTATCGAGAGAGAACGAAAGAAAAAATCTTCGCAGATTTCTCCAAGATTCTCACAGTCTTGATATCTATCATCTTCGGTATATCTTCTCTGGTATTGTCAGAGACTCGATCGTAATTCTCCTCGAACGTGAGATCGAATCGAACATTCAGGATTAATTTAATGTAACGGCGCTACCGTTACGACGATTACAGAGAACTTTGTTACGATGATTTGTGTTCTTTGGCACAATTCTGGGCGAGAATGAATACGCGAATTGTTAGGTGCGCGATATAGGTTGCGGAGCTTCTGCCAATAAACATTTATTTCGACAAAATGGATCTTCAAAAGCGCTAAACATTTAACGACGTAATAATTTGTGATTTATTATGACAACAGATGCTGGCAATGAAAATTATTTTTGACAGTTTTATTAGCCAGCATATATATATATATATACACACACACACACACACACATTCGTGTTTTACTATAATAAACTAATTTTGTCAAAGGCAGTTTCGCAATTTCACACCCGCAAGAACGGCCCAAAGATTGAGAATTGATCGCTTTTATTTCTATGTGTCGACAGAGCGTAACAAAAGATTGGCAGGATAGGGCACATTAGATTTACCAGTCATTCACGTAATATACGGGCCAGAACATTCCGGATTGATCGTTCCGCGCTGCCGAACGCGAGATTAACTTTCACGAGGTGCATCGGCACCGAAGGTAGCCCTGGTTCACCTTGAAACATTATTTCGACAACCCTCATAGTCCAATGAAACAATCCAAGACACGTATCCACTATAGCTGTCATACTCGAATCATTTTACTTCATACTTTATTTTATTTAATTTGTTAAATATCGTCTCTAAATTATCCGTATTTTTATATTATAAACTTAAAATTATCAGTAGAAACGTGTTTTCAACAAAAATTATAACGTTTAATCATGAATAAATATATGTATAAAGAAGGTTGTTGAATTTTATGATTTCAAAGAACAGATAAATGAAAATAACTTCAAAGATAAAATTTTCAGATAAATGAAAGTAACTTTGAAGATAAAATGTTCCATTAGAGATTCTTTATTACAAATGATTATTCTTATCAATGCATTATTGTCGAGTTATTCAAGATTTTTCAATTCTTTTGTTTGTTGCGGATGTACTCTATCGTGGATATCCAGCGTCATTAACAACTGATGTATGCATGCATCCCGAGACGTCGGGGTGGTTCTCCTCTTACCTACACAAGGCCAAGATTAGATTGACCTTGGCAATGCGGACCGCCCGGCAAATCGTTTTATTCGCGTCAAAACTCCTCTAACTGACGTTCGTAAGACTGACCTCGCCGTCCGCTAGGCGCCAATCGTCTGCCAGACTTTCAATATGATTTATCGTTAACAGAAGCTCGATGCAACAGTGTGTGAATATATTTATAGAACTTGAAATGTCAAGAGAAAACATTTCACGTAATTTGGCAAATTGTCTGATCGATTTACGCATTTAGAGCTGTCACGTACTCTCTTTCCCAATCAAATTTAGTTCATTTCATGCTTTATTTTATTTCAGTCGTCAAATACTTACATATCGTCCATAAATATTCATCAAAATTATATATATATATATATATATATATATATATATATATATGAAAAGGAATAAAGAGAAGAATTGTAGAAAGAAATTTAATGGATACGTTTTCCCTTGACGCATAAATTCTCAAAAAAAATAATCCTCATAAAAGCGGATCGAGAGAAGCTTAAGCTCGTTCCTTTAGAGAACCTAACGAGATCATCGCTCTCAGTTTTACAGTGTTTCGTTGCCAAACGGGCCGTGCGCGCATCTTAATTTCAGCATAGCTCGCAGCGACGGCGATCCTGACGAACAAAACGACGGGCACGTCCACGGCGGCTGTCGTCGCGATCGTGCTTTGCCCTTTTTGCGCCAATTTACAAAGGTAAACCCGCCCCGTTCCATCGACAATTTACCTCTGCAATGCCGGTCGGAGCGGAATTGCCGCGCCGGAGTAATTGAGCAATTCCGCCACGTGTTGCAGTTATACCCATCATGCGGTTTCCCGCCGTAAATTCACGTGCATCGATGCCGGATGATCAAAGGGAAGTATTCCGTCACTTCGTGGCTTTCGAAGTTGAATTGAAACAATTGCGAATTTTGTCGCGTGACCGCGATAGCTAGTAGGTATTTCTTGTATCGCGAATTTCTAGTCAGACCTTGTTAAACAGATGCATATATTTAGCTCATGGTGAATCCGGTGATCTAAATAGGACGAGAAAACCTTCAATTAGTGTTTCGGATGATGAAATTAAATAAGACACACACAATTTGTTATTTCACACAGTAAGAGACTTGAAAGAGCCGCAATTTTCTCGCGGCGTTCCAATTTATTACGAATCTTTAGAAGTCGCACAATTCGCGACTTTGTGCGAAACTGACTAGCATTTAATTCCATTACGTTGAGTCCTCGAAAGATAAACGCTCCAAAGAATTACGTACAATATACTATATACATCTTCAAACGCGACATAGAACATAATAATATCTCAGAACGAGAACAAACTCAGTCATCCCTTAATAATGGTGTAGATAAAAGAAAATATATTATATCGTTAAATTCTTCACTTTACAAGGAAATCATGTATAGAACACTAATGGTGGCCCTTTCTTCAAAGTTATCAACCCTGATTATCTTTCAAATATATTACCTTCATAGAACAACCTTTACAAATGGCACGCGCATACGTCAAACCTTAATCATCGATAAAGCGTTTTCTTTATCGCTTGACATGTTTATTCGAACGACAGCGTTAATCTGCAATTGACCTACCTCTCGACAAAAACATCTTGTGTAACGTAAAAGTCCTATCCAGACGCTAATATGGTAATAAATGCACGTTAACCAACTTATCTTGCTTCTTAGGATCCTCGTTAAAGTCTCAGGAAGATAATGCTGGAGACGTTCTTTATCAAAACCCGGGAAAATCCATAAAATCGAGTGGATTTTACGATTATCGTCGTAACTATCCGTCTGTATGCAAAACACGATGAGCGTTGCATGTTAATGCATCGTGCAAATACATAGTTCCCCCTCGATTTTGGATTTATCTACTATGCAAATAATAATAACGCGCATTAAATTAAATAACCAGCATATCCTCCATTTACTTCAAAATCTATGATAAATAATGCAAATATATTTTTCACGTGTTAAAAATATTTCTCGCTTTTAGATACAAAAAATATATTAATTAAGAAATAGTTATTTTAATTTAAAATTATATCAAATTCGCGAAATAATGCATTCCCTGAAGAGATCTATAAGATCACGGCGCCTGCCAGGCCTGCGATTCATTTTAAGCAGCATTCCATCCCTTGATAAACAGCCGATAGACTTCACGGAAGTATTGTTTACACACGTAAGCTCTTTCGCTGCTCCCTTCTTCGATTCATCCGCCCCTACAAGCCAGATTGCGGTCGCGTTGCATCCGCTTTTATCTCGATTTCACGCGTGCATTCTCTCTCCCTTTCTCTCTCGAGTGTGTTTCGCCGAAACGAACCTTCGTCTCGCGCTATGAGCATTAAAAAACAACTTTACCACCTGGCCGCACGGCGAAGAGCATTCATAAATCCGCCATAAAGCTCACCGCGGAAGCTCGTTACCGCGGCGCATAAAATCCTGTCGGCGAATCCATCTACGCGCGAGAGATTCGGCAGCGAGGAAATTCACGCGAGAGCGCGGATTTACGGGCGACAACATAATGCAACGAGGTATGAATTAAAGGGAGATCTCTCGCGCCGCAAAACTCCCCTTCATTTTTGGCGACCGTAAAAGCGCCGTGCGAGGCCTATTTTCGTAGGCGACGTAAATTATCGATGCGATCGCGTGTGCGAACGGAAAGGATGGATGCGTAAATCGGACACAACGCAACATTTAAGGGCTGATTTAAGATTACGGTGTTCGTAGAATCGTTAAACGCGCGGGCGAGATTGCTTCCTTATCTTTTGCAAACTTTAAGCACTTCGGTGATTCGACCCTGCGTAATTTTACAATACACATATTTCACATTCTTCTTGTCATCAGTCATGCGATCTTTTATGAGTAATCTGAATGCACTTAAAAGATATTTCTTTCTTCGCAATATTGCGCGTTAGAGAGGAGATAATTGTATATTACCCATATTACACATCGCATTTCTAAAAATGACACAATCATCGGATGACGATAAACGATGACAACGCTTTTAAAAAACTGACATCAGTGATACATATACTATAAAGATCGACGAATCATTGACCTGCCAAGACGATGATTCATCAAGCCGTTTTCTGTTCCGATCTAATGCATGACTCTAAAAGAGATAAAGTTTATCGAGAAATATAATAGATCGAGTATATCCATTTAATTGGCGAATACACGCGATCGAGATTAACAT